CTTGCAAGCAGACGCGGTGATCTCTCAGGTGCGACAGAACGATCGGAATAACCCGTTGGCTTTGATTTTCGATTTGAAGCTTTCGTGACTGCAGGGATTCATCTGCTTGGTTCTTTCGGTAAAGCCACCACCACCACGTAGAATGGAAATAATAAAATATTAAAACATAATGAAATAAAATTCTCACGACGTTTCGGCCGCAACACAAGTAGCCTTCCTCAGGTGAAGAGGCAGAACTGTCGGCAAGACAGCGCTTCGATGAACACCGCTAAGCTTGGCAGCGTCTTTTAAGCTGGGTGGGAGGAGCCAGAGCGCCTTGACAAAGGAGATTACATATCAACAGAAGAATTTAGCATTGAAGTAGCTGTGTTAATGTGTTGTATTAGCAGGGTGTTAAAGTCTGAAATTAGCATGTAACTGGGAGATTAGCATGATGTTAGTGTGAGGGATTAGCATGTAACTGGTCACGGAAGTGGCTATGTTAAAGTTAAGAGTTTACATATCAACAGAAGAAATTAGCATTGACGTAGCTGTGTTAATGTGATAGATTAGCAGCGTGTTAAAGTCAGAAATTAGCATGTAACTGGGAGATTAGCATGATGTTAGTGTGAGGGATTAGCATGTAACTGGTCACGGAAGTAGCTATGTTAAAGTCAGAGTTTACATATCAACAGAGGCGTTTAGTATATTGACGCTAAAGAACTGCAACTACCCAACTATCATACAATAAGCCGATGTGAAAGAACCAAGTATAAACTACATCAATGTAATAAATATACTCAATATATTCTTCAATAAGTTGAGCTATTAACATGAAGTAACTGCGATGGAAACGTCGCGATCTGTTATTTTTTTCTACCCACGTGACTTTACCGAAAGAACCAGAGTGTGGATTCCATGCAGTCACGAAAGCTTCAAATCAAGATCGAACGATCTTTAAAAAAAAACATTTTTATTCCTCCTCGCCTTAATTTTTTTCAACAACCAATAATCGTTTTTACTTTTTACTGCCAGGCAAGGCCCAACACGCGTATCAAAAAAGACCGCCGCAAACGTTCGGGAGCAAGGGGTGGCAGAAATAAAAAATGGGGTCAGGTGCTGGTGCAAGTGAACGCTGGGTGTGTGTTTTGGTCCTACAGGGAAATAAAGAGGGTGAGCTGAAGGGGGGGGGCGGGGGGGGGGGGGTATCACGTGCCCCCCCCCCCCCGCCAATGATCCGATCGAAATCCCTAATTTCGATCGGATCATTGGGGTTTATTAGTGATACATCGGCATGATGCGACCCCCCACTGCCACTGTGTAGCATATTATTATTACGTGGCCAGAGACTCTACGAGATGGTAGGACAATAGTCTGAGTCCATGATTGGCAATAAGTAACGGCAAAGCGGTTTATAAGCGACTCACAGAATTGCGCGCAGTCGCGTCTACAGAGTCCACGACTTCCCTGAAGGCATCGACACCTTCAGCGAGCGCGATGGCGATCACTAACAACGCGGTTCGCAATTGGACCCCTCGGTCGATGGACTGCCCCATCGCCGCACACGCGTCGAATACAAATCAAGGGACACAAGTCCTTACAAACAACTCCTTACTTACTAACAACTCCACTATCATTTTTCATTGCTGGAGGGGTTGCCCCTCATACCTACCTGAAAATCCTGGCTCCGCCATTGGAAGGGAGGTCACCGAGTTGGAGGTGAGCGGGAAAGACATTCGACAAATCTGGGGCAGCAATGCGGAACCATTGACACTAAAACTATTTTTTTAAAATACTTTACCAGGTAAGGCCCCAAACTGAGCCTCGTGGCTCTTTTTCCAGAAGCCACCTGGCCACAAATGACGGCCAAACGAAGTGGCTTCTCGTCATCGTGCGGAAAATTTCTAGCGGCCAGGTAACTCCGAACGCGCGTTTCTAAATGCGGAGGGAAAAACGGGCGGACCCGGAGGAAAAAAATCCACTCGACCACGGGGAGGGAGAGAGACGCGCAAACTCCGAATAGACAGCAGCGGACGTCAACAGGATCGGGATCGAACTAGGCCACCTCCTGAGTACCAGGCGAAGTAGTCAACATCTCGCTGGACCCCGCTCTCAATGATTTGACGAATGAGCGAGCGATTGAACGAGCGAACGAACAAACGGAGCGAACGGGCGGGACTACCGTTGGCTGACGCTGCGCCCCTGCCGCAGCTGGACCGCATGGAGCTGGACCCGCTGAAACGGGAGCTGGAGGAGCGCTGGCGGGCCGTCAAACTGCGCCTGCGGGACGGCGCGCAGATACAAGCGGACGACGCCGCCGGATTTCGAAGGTCGGCTGCCCCACCCACCCCCCCATCCCTCTCCTTCCCCCCCACCTTCCCGCCCCCCCCCCTCGGTGTCAGCGGGGTGGCAGTGGCAGCGGGGCGGAGGCACTGGCACGGACGGCAATGGTCGGCTGGCGCTGGCTTAGGGGCTGGGTGGGGAGGGGCTGGTCACCCCGTGGTGCCCTTATAAAACTCAACGTTTAACCTACTCACGCCGGCTTGTGCCCGCCCTCACAGTCGGGCATATTGTGTGGAATACACCACGTGGTGGTGCCGCCGTTGACCCTGGCCACTGACCGAGCAACCCAACGTTCCCACCAGCAGCTCCCTCCATAGGAATGTGTTCATGTTACGGTGTATTATCCATTCTTTTCCCCATTTAAAAAGCTGGTCCCATGTAAGTGTTAACATCTTTTATGAAACACCCTGTATACATTTTGATTTAAAGCTTTCGTGACCGCAGGGATTCATATTCATGGTTCTTTCGGTAAAGTCACCACGTAGAAGGGAAACAATAAGATAATAATAATATAAAACAATAAAATTCTCACGACGTTTCGACTGCAACACAAGCAATCATCGTCAGGTGTGAAAACCACAGCAAGAAAATTTGAAAAAAGTGGCGGTTATTTTTTTACGTTAGCAACCACGGAGAGCGATTTGACACTTCGTTCAGATGGACCAGTCCATCTATGGGGGGGGAGAAAGAAAATAATGGATGCGGTCTGAAAGCCGCCGTAAGCGTGAACACAATCGATTAAGACCCGAAATGGTTTATCGAATCCTTCCAATGATTGCTGAGCCCAGAACCCATCTTCTCGGTTGAAATTGTCTCCGTGTTTGTATATGCGGATAGCCTCATGAACGAATCTCTCGCGGTAGCCGGATGGCTTGCGCCCTGTATAAGTTAACGAATCATCGTCGTCGTCATCGTCATCATCGTCGTCGTCGTCATCATCATCGTCGTTGTAAATGTCCTCATTGTTCTACTTGCAGGCAACTGATTGCCCGTTTCCACTGCATCTCGTGTGACCGTCCGCTGGACCTACCCGTGCCCGCCCCGTGAGTTTGAACGTTGAATCCGGTCGGCGGGTTTATCCCCGATGGGGGAAAGAGTCCTTTGTTTTCTTACCTTGATGACAATTGTGGAACGCCTTCACAGCAATTATACATTTTGATTTAAAGCTTTCGTGACTGCAGTAATTCATATTCTTAGTTCTTTCGGTAAAGTCACGTAGTTTTATATATATATTTTATTATTTTATTGTTTCCCTCCAACGTGACTTTACCGAAAGAACTAAGAATATAGCAATTATACAATTGTACATAGCGTGGTAATAACTTCGAAATTAAGACACGGGTTAGGGGCCGTCCATAAATGACGTCACGCACCTAGGGGTTAGGGGGGGGGGGAGGGGGGTCAGACATTTGTGACGATGTGTGACGAGGTGGGGGGAGTGGGGGGTTTGAGAAATGTGACGTCACATCAAAAGGCGCAACTTTAAATAAATATATAATTGTTATGACAACACTAATTGTGTTATAACAACACTCCTACAACATCAGAGTGCAGCGCCACATTAAATACGCACTACAATGACAATAGTTTAAAGCGACTTAAAGCACGTTTTATTTTTAAAATGGAAATATGGCTTTGGGGAGGGGCAGAGCTTTGTGACGTCATATTTGAGGGGGGGGGGTCTGACTTTTTGTGACGCCGTGTGACGAGGGAGGGAAGGGGGGGGGGTGGTCAAAAATCGTCCAAAATCGCGTGACGTCATTTATGGACGGCCCCTTATTCTAAGTGGTGGTGTTTAAGAAGCCGAAAAGGCCGAATCCCATATTCCCCCCCCCCCCATCATTTTGATACCGGCCAACAAAAGGTCCCCCTCGATGGGGTTTATTCCTTTTGTGCAATCCGCATCACGTGTCCATTCAAATCCCAGAGCTATGTATCTCCCACAGAGCCCGGGGGCCCAGACCTTAGATTTGACACTTTTGGGTACCGCCTGAGATAGCAAAACTTGTTGTAATCAATGGCGTAGCCAGGATTTTCAGGTAGGTATGGGTGGGGGGGGGGCAAGCCCTCCAGCAATTAAAAAATTATAGAGGAGTTGTTAGTAAGTGAGGACTTTTCGATTTAAAGCTTTCGTGACTGCAAGGATTCATCTTCTTTGGTTCTTTCGGTAAAAGTCACCACCACGTATAGAATGAGAATAAAATAATAAATTGATAAAACAAAATAACGCAATTAAATTCTCACGACGTCTCGCTCCATCGCTGTCCTCCAGACAGTCTCGTCCCTTCACCTGATGAAGGCCACTTGTGTTGTGGCCGAAACGTCGTGAGAATTTTACTGTGTTATTTTATTTTATCAATTTATTATTTTATTCTCATTCTACGTGGTGGTGACTTTACCGAAAGAACCAAAGAAGAGGCGACGACTTGTCCCTTGCCTTGTATTCGACGCGTGTGCGGCGATGGGGCAGCCCATCGGTCGAGGTTCGAATTCGAACCGCGTTGGAATTTGACCGCTTTCACTCGTGCGTGGGGAGCGGTGGCGCTTCGCCGCGCTACCAACCCCCGGCCCATGCCACACTCGAGTTCGATTCCCGCTCACCGCCACCGACACCAGTGACGAACCGTTCCCGGGGCCTCCGCTAGGTCGACTCAGCCTCAAATGAGTAACTCGGTGCACTTTCGTCTGGTTAGGGAGCAGAGCACATGGACGAATGTCAGAAGCAGAGCCTGGTATTTAGCCTTGCTCATGAAAGTTTGATTTTGTCCAGATTTTCTTGCAAATTGAGAACCTCGTGGTTTCTCTTAGCTCTGCCATCACCACACTTAGGACCCGTTATGAATATATTAAAGCACAAAAAAAAGTATTTTACAGTAGTCACAAAAATAAGCGCAGTGTGAATACTGCACACGCGTTTTACAATCACGAAAATAACCATGGACACTGTAGTATTAAACTGCTGTCACAAAAATAACTATTAATTGTTTACAGTATAATCACAGAAATAAGTACAGTATTAATACATCTTGACGTGAAGCTTTCGTGACTGCAGGGATCCCATACTTATATATATTGTTTTATATATATTTATTATTTTATTGCTTCCCTCCAACGTGACTTTACCGAAAGAGCTAAGAATATGAATTACTGCAGTCACGAAAGCTTTAAATCAAAATTTAGGATCCCATACTCTTTGGTTCTTTCGGTAAAGTCACTGAGGTAGGTAGAACATTTGTGAATGAACACAAATACAGCGGAACCTCGGAAATCGAACGCACCAGAACTCTAACAAATCGGTGTTCGACCGATATTTTCGAAGATTTTTGGCCCCGCGTAGATACTACTGACTCTATTGTAGTATGTAGGGTGTGTAGGCATGTATGTAGATACTACTGCCTCTATTGTAGTATGTAGGGTGTGTAGCCATGTATGTAGATACTACTGCCTCTATTGTAGTATGTAGGGTGTGTAGGCATGTATGTAGATACTACGGACTCTATTGTAGTATGTAGGGTGTGTAGGCATGTATGTAGATACTACTGAGTCTATTGTAGTATGTAGGGTGTGTAGACATGTATGTAGATACTACTGAGTCTATTGTAGTATGTAGGGTGTGTAGGCATGTACGTAGATACTACTGCCTCTATTGTAGTATGTAGGGTGTGTAGGCATGTATGTAGATACTACTGAGTCTATTGTAGTATGTAGGGTGTGTAGGCATGTATGTAGATACCACTGCCTCTATTGTAGTATGTAGGGTGTGTAGGCATGTATGTAGATACTACTGCCTCTATTGTAGTATGTAGGGTGTGTAGGCATGTATGTAGATACTACTGCCTCTATTGTAGTATGTAGGGTGTGTAGGCATGTATGTAGATACTACTGCCTCTATTGTAGTATGTAGGGTGTGTAGGCAGGTATGTAGATACTACTGCCTCTATTGTAGTATGTAGGGTGTGTAGGCATGTATGTAGATACTACTGACTCTATTGTAGTATGTAGGGTGTGTAGGCATGTATGTAGGGTGTGTAGGCATGTAGTGAGTAGATACCGCCCAATGGGTTTTTCCTGCGCCAAAATAAACCAAAAACCAAACCAGCTCGCCTGTTGACAAAGTAATCGGAATTCAATTCTGGGGATCTATAAATGGATCGCAGTGTACGGCATAGACCTATCCGCATCACAAACATGAAACGTTCAAACGATTGATATATACGCGCCCCAAGCAGAAGTGAGTGCATGACATAGACTCAGTAACAGAGCAAGCCTCGCAAGGCCATGCAATGGGAACATAGACCGACTAAAGTTGCCAAGATACCGTTGAACAGAAATCATTTTGTTGTATATCCATTCTGATCCATTTGTAGATACCCCACGTATGTGTAATGTCCATCTTCAATATCTTCTCAACGGGTTAATGAACGTGGTGAAAGAGATGACTCCCACGTCTTACAAAAGTCGAGTGGTGTACAAAAAAAAAATGTAACGACCTCTGTTGAGAATGGTGGCACGTAAGAGGCTCTGAAAGAATAATAAATACAAATCATCGACACGCGAATTTCTCACAACAAAATCTGATGGAGTATCTAGAAATGGAAACCGAACGAAATTCGGAGGCCGAACGGGCAATCCTGTACGCGGCTGAGACACGTGGTGACCCAGCGTGCGTGACGCTTGCCCAGGCAAAGGCTTTACCGTATGAGAGGAAATCTCTTCAGAGGAGGGGGAGGAGGGAAGGGATGATGCCCCTAGTTCAGTGATAAAAGAAATGTGTGCTAAATCGGTTGAGTTACAGATTTTTTTTTTTATAAAACTATCACCCAGATAAGGCAGCAGCCAACCGAGTGAGCAATCTTTTTAATGTTAATGCAATGTGTCACTTTCGAAACGTTCTAAGACGGAGGCAGGAACACACCTCTTTAGATGAGTTTTTAGTCAGAAAGAGCTCAAGTGACTCGCAGTTAGTGGCAGATAAGAGGCACAAGTGAGAAATGAGCCCAGAAGGGCATTTACCCAACGTTATTATTGAAGGGGGCTCCCCTTCCAAACAATAGCACCACCACCTTGCACCCAAGCCATCAACTCTCCTTACTACAGGTAAAGTGAAGTTCAATGTTCGTTCATTTAAATTATTCCATGTATTTATTCATTCATTCCATTTGCTTATTGTGCTTATTGCTTTTTTTTGTTTGATTTTATGCAATCGCTGTAAACTCCGTGTAAAAATGCTTTATAATGAGAGATGTCCTGCGTCTGGAAACAATGTACGTCGCTTATGTTAATTCTTATGGGGGAAATTAATTCGGTGTTCGAACTAATCGGCGTTCGAATGGCCTTCTGGGACGAATTAAGTTTCGATCTCCGTGGTACCACTGTGTAAGAGATGGTCACTGTACGACTTCTATTAAAAAAACACGGCGCGTGGCACGAACGCCGTGAAAGGTTTGGGGATGAAATCGGACGAAAGAGGAAAGCCTCCTTGGACGAAATTAGAAACGTGGTTACAATTTGAAATAGGAAATATTTTTCAAACATCGCCACTGGGGAGACAAAGGCGGCCGTGGGTGGTGCTGGCCACCCACTCCCGCCCGGTGTGCTACACGCTAACAGCACTTGCCTCCCCGACAGTCGGTTAAGGCTACCCGCAGGGACCTCTGCGTGGGGAAAGGTGGCGAACCGTGCCGCTACCACAGCACGGTTCCGTCTCACTGCGCCGAGGAATTCGTTCGCAGCGAGCCCGCACACAAGTGGAGCTGGGGGGGGGGAGGGGGGCGGAGGGGACTTTCTCTCTCGCTCACTCGCCCGTGACTCTCTCTCTCTTGCTCTCTCTCTCGCTCGTGACTTTCTCTCTCTCTGTCCCGTGACTCTCTCTCTCGCCCGTGACTTTCTCTCTCACTCACTCGCCCGTGACTCTCTCTTGCCCGTGACTCTCTCTCTCTCCCGTGACTTTCTCTCTCTCTCTCTGTCGCCCGTGACTCTCTCTCTTGCCCGTGACTCTCTCTCGCCCGTGACTTTCTCTCTCGCCCGTGACTCTCTCTCTCTCCCGTGACTCTCTCGCCCGTGACTTTCTCTCTCTCTGTCGCCCGTGACTTTCTCGCTCGCTCGCTCGGACGGTCGTCATCAACGTCGCGGTACCGAGCCTGACCATGTGAGACGTGCAGGCTGCGCGTTGTTTAGAACAAGTGTGGCGGTAATGAAGTATTAAAGCTTTCGTAACTGCATAAAATTACTCATTGGTGTTTTCTCGGTAAAGTCTCTCCCTCTCCCGTCACGTATGTGACTTTACCGAAAAACACCAATGAGTAAGTGTGGCGGTAATCGGTGAAGCGGGGGGGGGGGGAGTGGAGCCCCCCCCTTCACTGTGTATCCTTCAGCAGACCTTAGGGGGGGGGGGTGGGGGAGCCCCCCTTCACCGTATAGCCTTTAGCAGACACCCACGTATTCACACTTCCCACTCACTCACCCACCCACGTATTCACACTCACCCACCCACGTATTCACACTCCCCACTCCCCCACTCACTCAGCCACCCACGTATTAACAATCTCCCCCACTAACCCACACACCCACGTATTCACACTTCCCACTCCCCCACTCACCCACCCACGTATTCAACATTCACCCACCCACGTATTAACACTCCCCACTCCCCCACTCACCCACCCACGTATTCACACTCACCCACCCACGTATTCATACTCCCCCACTCACTCACCCACCCACCCACGTATTAACAATCTCCCCCACTAACCCACACACCCACGTATTCACACTTCCCACTCCCCCACTCACTCACCCACCCACGTATTCACACTCACCCACCCACGTATTCACACTCCCCACTCCCCCACTCACTCACCCACCCACGTATTAACAATCTCCCCCACTAACCCACACACCCACGTATTCACACTTCCCACTCCCCCACTCACCCACCCACGTATTCAACATTCACCCACCCACGTATTCACACTCCCCACTCCCCCACTCACTCACCCACCCACGTATTCACACGCTCCACCACTCACTCCCACACTCACTCACCCACTCACTCACCCACCCACCCACAGAACGTGACAAATGGGAACGTTACAGAGTTCCCACTAGAAAGCCCCACGATTATGAGAGGCCAAACGTTCGAAACTGAAACCTTCACATGCGCACACGCGTAACACACACACACGCGTAACACACACACACACACAGGTTTGACACCTACAGGCAAATGCTCACTCGCTGCACCGCACTGCCCGGCTCGCTTTTAACAGTTGCCACGTGTGTTGCGTCTCCTTCCTCTTTGCCAGGCGTCTGATCACCGTTCCAGTGGCGACATCAAAGCAGAAGAACCCCCAGGGGCTTGCAAGGTGCTTTATTCTTTCAGAGCTGTGATGCCGGTTATCCAGTGGCGTACAGGGGATCGCCAATGGATGGTTTGGCTTAAATTGTTTTCCCCCTGTCGCTGTTTCGACTGGAATGTAAAAGTAAAACAAAAATATTTTCAGCCCGCAAGCCGATGAACCACAGATTAAGCGGTAAATTCAGCTGCAACCGCAACAAACCACTCGCTTGCTCAACTACAACAACAACAACAACAACCGCCATTCGCCACTAAGTGGTGGTGACGTCACCACGACGCTTGTGCCAGGCTAGGTGCACGTTGAGGCCACGTGAAGTGTCGAACGCCTGCTAGCAGGTCATGAGGCAGACCCAGGTGCCACGGGTTGACTGACTGAGATGAGTGGCTGATGCACCACCTGTGCCCCCTACTGTGCCAACCTGCTGTGCTTTTAGGTACCCGGCGCGCTGCTCGTTGTTGTGAGTGTCGCTCCTCCGCCCTCCGTTGTTGTTGGAGGGCGACTGCCTCCAACTGCCCAGCAGCGTCTTCTTAAAGAGGGGGGACCACAAGGGCATCCTTCCAATCCTGCGGAACCCGTCCAGTGGTCCAGACTGTTGTTATGTCATGTAGGGCAGTCTGTGCACAAACGCCACCCTCCCTCAGCATTTTGCTTAGAAGATCATCTCTGCCCGGTGCCTTTCCTGGTCTCAGACTCTGGATCGCCTTTAGTACTTTCTCAACAGATGGCACCTCAGCCAGCCACTCACAGGGGGTGACTTCTTCCTCTAATATTTGAGGCACCGCAGCCTCAGCAGGGTCATCCCCACTTTGTCCCATGATGTTTTCTATGTCGAGGGATTTACCCTCCCCCAGGACTTCACAGAAATGCTCAGCAAATCTGCCAACCTCTTCCTGGGGGTCGGAGATTGGATCACCGTTTTTTCGCCTAATGATGGTAATAGGTGTGGCGCTGCAGGTTACTTTTTGATGGAGTTAAATAGGGATTTGTGATCGCGGGCCATTGAGGCAGACTCTATCTCCTCAGCAACCCGCGACCACCGCCCATCCTTTCAGCGCCTCACGGCTCTCCGAACCTCCGAGCGAAGGCTGTGGTAACCCTCCTCATTCTCTGATGTGGGATGCTGTAGACGATTAGAGTGAGCCTGTCGCTTTTTCTCAGCCATCCTGAACACATTCTCTGTCAGCCAGGGTCTCTGGGGAGGTCTGGACCGCGTGCCTGAGTCACAGTCCTAAACCTCGCCCATTTACCCTCGACATCTGGAGGAGTGGGGGACGATGCCAACCCCAGCCGGAAGCGATGATGGAATGGGGTCCTGGGTGTACATCCACCACCGGAGTGGAAGAATGGCAGGCGCATCTTACAGATGACAAGTCGATGGTCAGAGGGTAGATCAGCTCCACGGTAGGTCCTGGTGTCAAGGACATGGGCCCCTCATCCACTGTTCCATCACTATGTAGTCCAGCAGATGTTCTTGCTTGGATCCGGCTCGCATCCATGATGTTGTGTGGATGCACCGATGCCGGAACAGAGTGTTGGTAATTACAAGCCCAAAGGCTGCACAAAAATCTAACAGCCTCCTACCGTTGTTATTGAGCTGATCTGGCCCATGCCCTCCAATCACTCCAGACCAGGTGCCAACATCATGACCAACTCGGGCATTGAAGTCACCCAACAAGATTACCCTATCCCGAGGGGCCACTTTAGCCAGCACCTGTGACAGGAGGTCATAGAAGGCATCTGACTCATTGGTCTTGCCTGCATTCCTCCATGAATGTCATCTTCGGTGGGGGCATAAGTAACCACGACCACCACTCCTCACCTCCGGTTGATGGGAAGGCGAGCCCAGAGTAGCCTGGGGCTTACAGCTTCCCACACCTCACCGCCATGTTCCCACGCCCCCTTCATTCTTTTGTTCAGAAGAAGAGCCACTCCCTGTTGTTTGGTAGTCTCCTGCCCCGAGTAGAGGACTGTCCACCCCTCATGGTGGCAGGAGCCAGAGCCGGTCTACCGGACCTCCTGAATGTCACAGAGATCCAGGTGGTACCGGTCCAGCTCCCGACAGAGGAGTGGCAGCCTCTCCTGTGCAGTGAGCGTTCGAACATTCCACGTGGCCATCCGTAGTAGCTTTTTGTTGTTTCTGGAGGAGCCCCGAGGGTAAAGATTCAATCTCCTTGATCCGCCAATTGGGGTTTGGCCAGGAGACGTCATAGCTACCTGTCCCCCCGGGGCCTCTGGCACAAGCTTATGAATTTGATATTTTTTACGTGGTTTTGTGGTAATTTATTGAAGGTGGAGGGGTTATCAGCCCCTCGCACCCATCCAGAGCCCCCATTTAGCCACTGTGGTGCTTACAAACGCCCTGAGGGGAAAGGCCAAACGGAATTGGCCCTCCCTCCCACAGCACTGTCCACGACAGCGTTGCTTACTCAATCACCTACTCACACACACTCACACACCCACACCAACTCACCTATTCACGTACTCACAAAGTCACACACACACACTCACTGGCTCTGCAAGTTGGCGCACACATGCAGTACCTATGAAGGCCGGCACGACACACGAGGGGATGAGTGGCCAGCACCACGCCCGGCCGCCTTTGTCTCCCCGGCGGCGATGCTTACACACCGCACCGGCTACTCATTCGAGGCTGAGTCGATGCGCGCGCGCGCTCGCACGCATCCAGACAGACAGACGGAGAGACAGAGAGACGGACGGACAGAGAGACAGACGTACAGAGAGACAGACGGACAGACAGAGAGACAGACGGAGAGACAGACAGACAGACAGAGAGACGGACGGACAGAGAGACAGACGGACGGACAGAGAGACAGACGGACGGACAGAGAGACAGACAAACAGAGAGACGGACGTACAGAGAGACGGAAGGACAGGCACAGACAGACGGACAGACACAGACAGACGGACAGACGTACAGAGAGACGGACGGACAGAGAGACGGACAGACACAGACAGACAGACGGACAGACAGAGAGACAGAGAGACAGACGGACATACAGACAGACGGACAGACAGAGAGACAGACAAACAGAGAGACGGACGTACAGAGAGACGGAAGGACAGGCACAGACAGACGGACAGACACAGACAGACGGACAGACGTACAGAGAGACGGACGGACAGAGAGACGGACAAACACAGACAGACGGACGGACAGAGAGACGGACGGACAGACACAGAGAGACGGACAGAGAGACAGACGGACAAACAGACGGACAAACAGACGGACAGACAGAGAGACAGACAAACAGAAAGACGGACGTACGGAGAGACGGAAGGACAGGCACAGACAGACGGATAGACACAGACAGACGGACAGACGTACAGAGAGACGGACGGACAGAGAGACGGACAGACACAGAGAGACGGACGTACAGAGAGACGGACGGACAGACACAGAGACGGACGTACAGAGAGACAGACGGACGGACAGAGAGAGACGGACAGACACAGAGAGACGGACGGACAGACACAGAGACGGACGTACAGAGAGACAGACGGACGGACAGAGAGAGACGGACAGACACAGAGAGACGGACGGACAGAGAGACGGACGTACAGAGAGACGGACAGACAGAGAGACGGACGGACAGACACAGAGAGACAGACGGACATACAGACAGACAGAGAGACAGACAAACAGAGAGACGGACGTACAGAGAGACGGACGGACAGACACAGAGAGACGGACGGACAGAGAGACAGACATACAGAGAGACGGACGGACACAGACACAGAGAGACGGACGGACACAGACACAGAGAGACGGACAGACACAGAGAGACGGACAGACACAGAGAGACGGACGGACACAGAGAGACGGACGGACACAGACACAGAGAGACGGACAGACACAGAGAGACGGACAGACACAGAGAGACCGACGGACACAGAGAGACGGACGGACGGACAGAGAGACGGACGGACAGACAGAGAGACGGACAGACAGAGAGACGGACGTACAGAGAGACAGACGGACAGACACAGAGAGAGACAGACAAACAGAGAGACGGACAGACACAGAGAGACGGACATACAGAGAGACGGACAGGGAGACAGACAGAGAGAGGCTTGTGAACAACGCGTCCCCGTCGTCCCCGTCGTCCCCGTCGTCCCCGTCGTCCCCGTCGTCCTCGGCGCTGCGGCAGCGTGCGGCACCCGGCGGACCCGGCGGCGCTGGACACGCGGCCCTCGCTGAGGACGTGCGGGGGAGGCCACACGCTCATCGCGCACGCGACGGGCAAGCGCGTGGCCCGCGTGCCGCCCCTCGGCCAGCAGGGCCGCGCCGACGAGGGGCCCGGCGTTCCGGCCTCGCGCACGGTCAGTGCCGAGCCGATTTCTTTTTTTTTAAATCCCCCCCCCCCCCCTCCTTCTCCCCCCCCCCCCTCGCCACCCAACTCTGATGAGTCTGGTGTGCCTGCTGATACTCTCGGTGGCCCCTGGAATCTACCGTCCGGAAACGTGGGACTGTTGCAATGTTAAGATGTTCAGTTTCATTGATTAGGTGAGCCATGAGGCTCGTGGCTCGGGTGCAACCGCAGGAAACAAAAAACACGAACAAAGACAACATCTTAGAATGACGACGCGCAACAGAAGCGTCCAGGAAAAAAAACCCAGTGAAATAATTGTTCGGGAAGAATGTCGATTTTTTTTTTCAATAGAGATAATACTAAAAACTACTATGGCCCACTGAGCTGTACAGCTGTTTTTTTTCAGAAGCGACCTGGCCATCACAAATGATAGCACAACTAAGTGGGCTGCCCATCATCGCGCGGAAATCTCTAGCGGCCAAAAAGTCTGAACGCGTGACGTCGATTATAAATGTGGAGGGAAAAGCAGAGGACCCGGTGAAAAATCCACGCGACCGCGGGGAGAGAGACATGCAAACTCCAAATATACAGCAGCAGGTGTCAGGGTCGGGATCGAACCCACGAACCCCTGTACACTCGGAGAGGTAGTTAACATCTCCTAGCCAACGTGATGATGATGATGAGAGAGAGACACCACAAACTCCAAATATACAGCAGCGGGCGTCAGGGTCGGGATCGAACCCACGACCTCCTGTACACTTGGAGAGGTAGTTAACATCTCCTAGCCAACGTGATGATGATGATGAGAGAGAGACACCACAAACTCCAAATATACAGCAGCAGGCGTCAGGGTCGGGATCGAACCCACGACCTCCTGTACACTCGGAGAGGTAGTTAATATCTCGCATACAAAACAAGCCCCAACGGATTCGCGTCCAGGTGTAATGTACGTTGAACGTCTTTCGCACCGTTCGTGGCCAACCGTGCAAATCGGAGGTGCGGGGGGAAGGATAACAAACTAAACACAAAAAGCAGTTCCAAAGAAATGAGTTTGTTAATCTAGATGATGATTTGAAAAGTGCGTAGCTCCAGTGGATCCCTGATATCGGAAGGGAAGAGCGTTCCAGACGGCCGCAGAAGCGCATCTGAAAGCGCCGCGCGAAGCGGCGACCGCCGTTTTTGTTCGACGGCTGAGCCAAACGTCGCTCCTGCTGCTGCTGCTATGATGCTGCTGCTGCTATGATGCTGCTGCTATGATGCTGCTGCTGCTATGATGCTGCTGCTGCTATGATGCTGCTGCTATGATGCTGCTGCTATGATGCTGCTGCTGCTATGATGCTGCTGCTGCTATGATGCTGCTGCTATGATGCTGCTGCTGCTGCTGCTATGATGTTTTACACTCCTTGACGAGACCAGCGAGCTACCGCCGTGGTTCTTTTGCGGCGAGCGCTTTGCGTGCGACGAGCGCGACCGCGTACAACGCTGTCATTCGTTCGGCAAAGCGGCGAGCAACCGGACAGACACGGCTTCGGATCATGCACAGTCACGACAGAACAACGTGCCATCATTCGACAGCTGAGATTTGCTGTGGGCACGCCTCCCCACACCCCCCACCCCCCACCCCCCTACCCCGCCTCCCCTCGTTGCTAACCCGGAGCGCGCGTGCGCTCGGGCCCACGCGTCGCGCAGAAGGAGATCCACATTCTGGGATTGGACGGACAGATCTACAGGGGGAGGCTGGAGCCGTCTGCCCCGTCGTTCCTGCCGCCCATCCAGAGCCCAGCGGGTAAAAGCGCGAGACAGCTCTGCCCCGTCGGCCGCTCTTGACTGTCCGCCCGTAACACGGGGTGGTGGGTGGGGGGGGGGAGGGTGTGGTGCGTCAAAACCCCAGTGATGATCGAGCGATATGTACGAAACTTTGAGGGCGACGTTGCGTTGCCGTCGGGAACCGGTACCACGTTGATCGAAGGGTTCACGCGTTGTGGCTCTGTGTGCCCCGTGTGTAACGTGGGGTCACGGTGACGCTCGTAGAGCTGATCCGCTACGAATGCAACTTGAGAGTAAAAGCTCTGTTGCTGCTGCTAGGGACTTGCCCGAGATCGAAGGGTTAACGCATTGTGGCTCTGTGTGCACCGTGTGTAACGCAGGTTGGGGGGGGGGGGGGTCACGGAAACTTTCGTAGAGTTGCTCCGACACGAACGGAACTTTAACTCTTTGGTTCTATTCGGTAAAGTCACGTAGGTAAAAATAAAATAACCAAAAACACGACGTTTCGGCCACAACACAAGTCACGTAGGTAAAAATAAAATAACAAAAAAATCACGACGTTTCGGCCACAACACAAGTCACGTAGGTAAAAATAAAATAACAAAAAAATCACGACGTTTCGGCCACAACACAAGTGGCCTTCATCAGTCCCTTCACCTGATGAAGGCCACTTGTGTTGTGGCCGAAACGTCGTGATTTTTTTGTTATTTTATTTTTTACCTACGTGGTGACTTTACCGAATAGAACCAAAGAGTACGGATCCTTGCAGTCACGAAAGCTTCAAATCTAGAATACGAACGGAACTGTTTTTCTTAAATCTGCGTTGCTATTGGGGACTCAAGCTGACACAAAAAACAAACACCGGGGCCACATTGATCAGAGGGGTTGATGCCCACAACTTGGCGACAAGCACCAGTGCTTGGGCAGGACGCGCCAAGGCCACGTGGGCTGATGACCGATGGTCAAGATCACGGCGGAGTGGCAGCCGACGGAAGGGGGGGGAGCGCGCCCGTGAGGACGAAAACCCTGCGGAGATGGAGCCAGTGAAGTCGTCTTGCGAGCATGAGACGGATGGATTGTTGGCATCGCCTAGGCCGAGAGAGACGGCCACGGATTGGAGAAGGGGTGGGGGGGGGGGCGCCCATTCTTCATGATGGTATTTGTGTACCAGAGGCATCTCGTAATGTAGAGTAGCTGACGCCGAGGTCCTAATTCTTCTATCAGGGGGGTCAAAATACTATCTGGTACTTCGTATTCTTAGCTCTTTTTTCGGTAAAGTCACGTTGAAGGGAAGCAATAAAATAATAAAATATATCTAACATTTTTATTGTTTTATATATTTTTTTATTTTATTGTTTCCCTTCAAAAGTCACGTTGAAGGGAAACAATAAAATATATCTAACATTTTTATTGTTTTATATATTTTATTATTTTATTGTTTCCCTTCAACGTGACTTTACCGAAAGAGCTAAGAATATGAATTACTGCGGTCACGAAAGCTTGAAATCAAAACAATCTGGTACTATTCATATTTTTACTCCAGTGGAGGAGGGAGGAGGGAGGAGGAGGGAGGCAAATAATAAAACTCATACTCCCGGAGAGGGGGGGGGGGGTTCCAAAAAATATACACTCTGTTCTCCTGCCTACGTTACATTTTCATAGCGCAAAATTGGATGTAACGCGATCGAGTCAACGGGACTACGCCGCGCGTGTAGGAATAACGGGCGGGCGCACAGCGGGACGCCGCTGGACTCTTCGAGACGCTGCCCACGCGCCTCGGGTATTCGTCCGGCCCTTGCGCAAGCATCCCCGCGGTGCTATCGCGGACTGTGCTTCGCCCCTCCCCCCATGTATGGTGATGGTTTTATTATAGCGCGACGTTTCCGTAGCAGCGCGGTCTTCGGTAAAGCAGCTTCCGCATTGTCGTGGGGAAAAAAGAACGGGACTGTGTCCTGGCATGCGGGCCTTTTTTTTGTTTGTTTGTTTGTTTGATTGTTTTTTTCTACCAGTGTCGTAGTAGGGAAAAAAAATAAGGGTTGTGTTTTTTTTTTCCTCCTCCAAGGGCAATGCGAGCATATTAGCGGAGCACGTTTGTTCACCGCGGAGTGGGGGGGGGACTGTGTGTGGTCGATGCAGCAGTACCCGATTGCTTACAAAAAAAGTTTCTATTTTGTAGTTTGAACGTCTTAACACACCGCCCCCCACCCCGCCCCCCCGTTTAATTTGCCATAAAGGCTAGAACCGTCTTTTTCACCCTGACTCAGGGGTCATAACTGCATGGCGCAGGTGAAAATGCCGTCCGTGTGTCTGGGCGCAGGCAACGTGCGGCCACGGAGCGGGAAGGGAATCCGGCAGCGGTCCCCCCTCCCGTCCTCCTCCTCCTCCTCGGCCGTGCTGCCACCTGAGTTCGACACCACGTTCATCATGTCCCGGAGCAGCAGCGCCATCTCCAGCAGCTACACAGGTGGGGGGGGGGGGGGGGGGGGGGGGGGACAGTGGATCAGTGCGGTCAGGGGAGGCAGATACCTCACCTTGTCATACACCAATGAAAATAGCTGTTCGGAAAAGTAACAAAAAAAAAGAATGATAAAATAAACTAAAAACTTAAGATTTTTCCACCGATCCGTGTTCTAAATGTCATTTCTGTACGATTCCAATCATTTTTTTTATCGTCAAAATCGCCAAATTTGCGGAGCTCCGCTGCAAATACTGCAGTAAGAGACGAGAGGTGAGGCAGCGACGTGCTCAGCCTCCCCTCTGATTGCGCAACCCCTCAGTAACTGGATGGAGCGCGGGCAATAAGCGCGTGCCTGTTACTATCTCTCAGTGTGTCACCAATGTAATGTTTGTAGACCCCTTCATTTCATGTCCTCGCCTTCCATACTCCAGGTAACTTATTCCACGTATTATGTGTATAAATATATTTAGGCTCGCTGGTCTCGTCGTGAAACTGCAATGAAAAAGCACCAGGGGGAGGCAGCTATCACATCTGCCTCACTGAGGGGGACGTGTCTAACACGCCCCCCTCAGTGAGGCAACGCCTCCTCAGCGAGGCCACGCCCCCTCGGCGAGGCCACGCCCCCCCGCCGTGTGTGAATCTGGCTCTGACACTAGCCAGTGCCTCCCCAGCCATTGACCTCAATGCACGTCACTGGGGGGGGGTGAGGCTGGAGCCAGCTGATCGTGGCTCGTCTGGTGAGCCAGTGGCTGGCGACTCAAAACGGGTTTGCTCGCCCAGTGGACGTGCGGCGTTGAGTCTCCCGCGGGGATCTCCGGTTTCCTCCGAACAACAACAACAACAACATACAAATGCCATTGGTGATTGCCAACCATCCCGACGCAGGACCCTCCTGATCAAAGAGTCTTTGGGCTCAGCGTGGCTTTCCCGGGTATAATTAATTTAATATCATTATTATTATTATTCGAACCGCGATTAGAATCGTGGTCTCACCCCAAACCCCCTGCGTTCGAATTTCGTGACCTTACATTCCGCAGCCTTGTCGCTTCCCGCTTTCGCGAGCGAGTCGGTGATTTAGTTGTTGTTGTTGCTATTGCTATTATTGATCAATAAGGATCCCAAAAACATCGTCAAGCCACCTCACCCTTTCCGTTTAACGCCTAGTAGTGGTGGTGGTGGTGGTAGTAGGAGGCTTTTCGTGACCAATATTATCCAGAGGAAAGGTTTTTTTTTGGGGGGGGGGGGGGGGTGCGGAGGGGGGGGAGGTTTCGGTTCGATCCGCCACCCGAACGTGGCTTTCCTTGGCGTCCCGCAGTCTGCAGACCGCCCCAACGACGCCACCTGACGCCTGCCGCTTGCCTTCTGCCGCAGATCTGGGGAACAGGCCCGCGTCTCCGCTCCCCGCGAGCTCCCAGCTGTCACCGGCGGCTCCTCTGGCCGGCGGGGGTGGCGGCCGGCCCACGCGGCTCACACGGTGACTCCCCGGACAGGCGTCTCTCGGGCTCGCCCGCGCCTAGCCGGGACAGGATGAAACGCCGCCGCCGCAGCCGCCACCGCCGCCGCTACAGTAGCCACCGCCACCACCGCCACCACCGCTCCGACGAACCCACGTGGGCGGAAAGGACGCCGAGGAATAACGACATGCAGCGGGAGTTCGAGATGTTGGCTACCTCGCCTGATATGCAGGAGGTCGTGGGTTTGATCCGGACCCTGACGCCCGCTGTATATTTGGAGTTTGCGTGTCTCACTCTCTCTTTCTCATCATCATCATCATCATCACGGAGGCTAGGAGATGTTAACTACCTCGCCTGGTATGCAGGAGGTCGTGCGTCCGACCCCGACGCCCGCTGTACATTTGGAGTTTGCGTGTTACCTCCCCCGTGGTCGCGTGGATTTTTCTCCGGGGTTCCTCCGGGTTTTGCCCCCTCCACACGTTTAGTATCGAACGTCACGCGTTTGGGGTGCTGTATTTGGCCGCTGTACATTCCCACGCGGTGGGCCACATCGTTGGGCTGTCATCTGCGACGGCCAGGTCGCTTCTGAACTCGAGCTACACGGCTGAGCGGGCCTTACGTGGTGAAATAAAACAACAACAAAAAGTGTTCGGTTCGTTGGACCTCGCGTGCCCGGCCACTCGGATCACCGCATCGGGGTGCGCAATGCATGTCGGTCCACGCCGTCGCTTCCGGCCGGCACGCATCTTTCTCGTTCTGATGGGGAGGTGGGGGGTGGGGGTGGATCTCATCGTTTGCAGCGTCGGATTTTGACGAGGGCAGCGCTCTCGCTGGACCCTCGCTAAGTGGGGCGGTGGCTGCGGTGGTTTAGGGGTTGGGCTGCACTCTTTGGTTCTAATTCGGTAAAGTCACGTAAAAAAAAACACAACGACAAAAAAATAAAATAAAAAAATTCTCACGACGTTTCGGCCACAACACAAGTGGCCTTCATCAGGTGAAGGGACCAGACTGTCTAGAGGACAGTGCTGTCCTCTATATATATAGACAACACGTTCTACTCGTATTCTTGGTTCTTACGGTAAAGTCACGTAGAAGGGAAACAATAAGAACCATGAATATTAATCCCTGCAGTCACGAAAGCTTTAAATCACGTTCTACTTAATTAATAATAAATGTTTTCTTTTGATTTAAAGCTTTCGCGACTGCAGGGAATCATATTCTTGGTTATTTCGGTAAAGTCACCACCATAAAATAATAAAAATATAAAACAATAAAATTGACAATGTTATTGTTTTATATTTTTATTGAGAATTTTATTGTTTTATATTTGTATTATTTTATTGTTTCCCTTCTACGTGACTTTACCGAAAGAACCAAGAATAATAATAAATGTTTTCTCCTACATCAGAGTGCAGCGCCACATTAAATACGCACTACAATGACAATAGTTTAAAGCGATTTGAAGCATATTCTTAGCTCTTTCGGTAAAGCCACGTTGAAGGGAAACAATAAAATATATATAAAACAATAAAAATTCTCACGGTGGCCGAAAACATCCATGAGAATTTTTATTGTTTTATATATATATATTATTATTTTATTGTTTCCCTTCAACGTGACTTTACCGAAAGAGCTAAGAATATGAATTACTGCAGTCACGAAAGCTTTAAATCAAGATTTGAAGCATGTTTTTTTGGGGGGTGGGGGGGGGGCAGAGCTTTGTGACGTCATATTTGAGGAGGGGGTCTGACTTTTTGTGACGCCGTATGACGAGGGGGGGGGTCAAAAATCGCCCAAAATCGCGTGACGTCATTTATGGACGGCGCCTCAATCGTAAAAAAAACGTAACAGAAATCCACTGGGGGGTTTGATGAGACAAAGTGAGTAGCAACGTTACGTGCCCCGTTGCTTTCATTTGCGTTTTCGATTATTTCTACCTTCTAATCAAAATCTGGCCGCGTCTCGCTCACCCCACCCGAAAGGGCTGAACTATAAAGCCAAGCGGTAATGGGGGGCGCTGTCTGTGCCATCGTTATCAGGCACCGTCATCCCACCGCCGGACGAGGGCCTCCTCCGGGCAACCGCCCCCACCCGCCCGTTGAACCGCCTCGCACTCGAACCGAACTCATCGCTCCATCTCCCCCGTCCGCCGTGCCCCCAACTTCTCCGCAACCCCCGGGGTAGGACGCCGTCCCGGACGCGCTCCATTCCTCGTTGATGTGGCGGTCGAATGGCTTCATTGTTATTGCGTTGCCTATCGGGGCACGGCTGTCTGTGGGTGGGGGCGGCTGTCTTTCGAAGGTGGTGGGTGGTGGTGGTGGTGGGTGGGTGGGGTGTTGGTGGGTGGGTGGGGTGTTGGTGGGTGGGTGGGGTGTTGGTGGGTGGGTGGGGTGTTGGTGGGTGGGTGGGGTGTTGGTGGGTGGGTGGGGTGTTGGTGGGTAGGTGGGGTGTTGGTGGGTGGGTGGGTGGGTGGGTGTTGGTGGGTGGGTGGGGTGTTGGTGGGTGGGTGGGGTGTTGGTGGGTGGGTGGGGTGTTGGTGGGTGGGTGGGGTGTTGGTGGGTGGGTGGGTGGGGTGTTGGTGGGTGGGTGGGGTGTTGGTGGGTGGGTGGGGTGTTGGTGGGTGGGTGGGGTGTTGGTGGGTGGGTGGGGTGTTGGTGGGTGGGTGGGGTGTTGGTGGGTGGGTGGGGTGTTGGTGGGTGGGTGGGGTGTTGGTGGGTGGGTGGGGTGTTGGTGGGTGGGTGGGGTGTTGGTGGGTGGGTGGGGTGTTGGTGGGTGGGTGGGGTGTTGGTGGGTGGGTGGGGTGTTGGTGGGTGGGTGGGGTGTTGGTGGGTGGGTGGGGTGTTGGTGGGTGGGTGGGGTGTTGGTGGGTGGGTGGGGTGTTGGTGGGTGGGTGGGGTGTTGGTGGGTGGGTGGGGTGTTGGTGGGTGGGTGGGGTGTTGGTGGGTGGGTGGGGTGTTGGTGGGTGGGTGGGGTGTTGGTGGGTGGGTGGGGTGTTGGTGGGTGGGTGGGGTGTTGGTGGGTGGGTGGGGTGTTGGTGGGTGGGTGGGGTGTTGGTGGGTTGGTGGGGTGTTGGTGGGTGGGTGGGGTGTTGGTGGGTGGGTGGGGTGTTGGTGGGTGGGTGGGGTGTTGGTGGGTGGGTGGGGTGTTGGTGGGTGGTGGGTGGGTGGGGTGTTGGTGCCTGTGAGTGGTGCCCGAGACAAGAATGTGAGCCTGCGGCTAGAGAGTTGTCATTCACGGAGTGCGATGCGTTTTTCGTGGGTGGCCGTTCGAGCGGCATTTGGAATTCCCCCCCCGAGGATTGTTTCCACTGCTCGGCACCGCCGCTGCGAGCTCAACCCGGGGCTAGAGAGAGAGAGACGCAAGTTGTTCCACGGCGTAAATTTGATGCAGTTGAGCTACGGTGGCTTTCCGATGTGTTTTTTTTGGGTGGGACGGTTCGTAATGGCCATGTCAGAGTGCAGGAGTGGCTTCGTGGACCGCACATGGCCCAGGGCCACAGTGAGGCCCCACCACTTCGAAAGCCGAAAGCGTCTTTCTTGGCCTTACTCCGGTGCGTTCTCGAGTTTTACCCGCGCGCAGTTCGGTTACGATGTCCGGCGTTTCGCTCCGTGCGCTGGAAGCTTCTTCAGGAAATGAATGGAGTAGCTCGCCTTGCTCTCTCTCGAGAGAGAACAGAAAAGAGAGGCAGGAGAGTGAGTGAAGGGGGAGTAGAGTGAGATGGTGAGCTGAGAGGGGAGAGCTATGAGAGTGAGTGGATGGGGAGTCGAGTGAGATGAGAGAGAGAGTGGAGAGTGAGTAGAGGGGAGTCGAGTGAGATGAGAGAGAGTGGAGAGTGAGTGGAGGGGAGTCGAGTGAGATATGAGATAGAGTGGAGAGTGAGTGGAGGGGAGTCGAGTGAGATGAGAGAGTGGAGAGTGAGTAGAGGGGAGTGGAGTGAGATGAGAGGGGAGAGGCAGGAGAGTGAGTGGAGGGGAGTGGAGTAAGATGAGAGGGGAGAGAGAGAGTGGAGAGTGAGTGGAGGGGAGTCGAGTGAGATATGAGATAACATAATGATATGCACTGTCCTTGAGTTGTCTCTTTTTGTTTGCATTTTTGACTGCTTGTGTTGTGGTTATTCCAAACATGATCCCTCGTATAAAGGTGTCAGTTTTTTTGTGCCAGCCTAAAGGGTAAAAACCTATTACTGTATCTTGTTACTGGCAAAGGAGGTGTCATAATGTAAATGTGTTTTTGTTTTTCTGCGCTCCGATTGCCGCCTGCTGCATCGTCGCTGAACTTTCTTTTGCTCGCGTGGTTTCGGTGAACGCGGGTCAACGTGCCGGGCGCGATCTCTCCCGGGTTTGTAACCAAAATTGGACTTGAAACCAAGAAGGTACCAGCGCGACTTGGAGCGAAACGTCGGACATCGTGCCAAACAAACGCACCGTACGCAGCGCAAAACAGGAGTGGTTCTTGTGCAACCCAAGAGGGATAGAGATACTAAGGGCGGTGATTGCAGATTTGTTGTTGCTTAATCGTTTAGAGACAAGAGTTTGTAATGTATCCTAAACTGAAGATTTTGTAATGTATCCTAAACTGAAGAATTTGCATTGAGTTTGATTTCACGTTATCGTGCCTGTAATTGCATTGTGATATGTCAATAATATTACTGGTAAGAACTTCCTGGTTACTACACCACCAGCCCACAGGGGATTATTGTGTCCGTCCGTCGTGCATCCAAAAATGGGAGGGGTGGGGCTGGGTGGGGAGGGGAGGGTGGGGAGGGGCTGGGTGGGGAGGGAGGGGCTGGGTGGGGAGGGGCTGGTCACCCCGTGGTGCCCTTATAAATCTCAATGTTTAACCTACTCACGCCGGCTTGTGCCCGCCCTCACAGTCGGGCATATTGTGCGGAATACACCACGTGGTGGTGCCGTGTGACCCTGGCCATTGACCGAGCAACCCAACGTTCCTACCAGCTCCCTCCGCAGGAGAATGTGTTGATTTGAAATGGTAATAAAGATCTGTGAGTGAAAATGTATCGCCGTCTGCGTGAATGGCAATGTCACCATCGTCAGCCATGATCGAGCCACTGCTGGATGAAGTCCTCCGTCCCTCCACTCCCTCCCACCCTCGTCAGCCATGATCAATCCACTGCTGGATGGAGACCTCCCCGAAGGTGGCACCACCGCTCTCACAATTCTATGCCCGCGATGTGACAAGCCACCCGAATCCCTACAGACGCGCCGATTTTCATCGCTCCATCTCCCACCCCCCCCCCCGCCCGCCCTCGATGGACATCATTGGGAAGAGCCACCACATGCCATCTGCAGATCGATTATCGTGCAGACGCTACAACGTTTATCCTACAAAGTCCCATCACAAGGGAGAAACATATTCTTAGCTCTTTCGGTAAAGTCACGTTGAAAAGATTTGATAAACCATTTCAGGTCTTAATTGATTGTTCACGCTTACAGTGGCTTTCAGACAGCATACATTAATTTTTCGTCTCCCCCCTCCTCTTTTCAGAACATAGATGGACTAGTCCTTCTAAATAAACTGCCAAATCACTGCGCGTGGCGCTGACGTTTCTTATAAATAAATAAATACACCGTTTAAAAATAAATAAATTTATGCAAACCGACACACCTGATGACGACCGTTTGTGTTATGGTCGAAACGTCGTGAGAATTTTTATTGTTTAATATATATTTTATTATTTGATAGTTTCCCTTCAACGTGACTTTACCGAAAGAGCTAAGAATATGAATTACTGCAGTCACGAAAGCTTTAAATCAAAATTTAAGGGAGAAACAACCAAAAAGACAATTGTTGTAATTTTTGTGCCCGCATTGAAACGGCTGTACACACCGTATGGACCTGAAAACTCAATTTCCCTGTACAAGAACACGGGCTGAAACATATCGGTTGACAGGTATGATATAGTAGTGTATAATGTAGTGTCGTGTATAGTGTAGTATATAGTGTAGTGTATAGTGTAGTGCATAGTGTAGTATATAGTAGTGTAGTGTATAGTAGTGTATTGTATAGTAGTGTAGTGTATTGTATAGTAGTGTAGTGTGTAGTGTATTGTATTGTATAGTAGTGTAGTGTATAGTAGTGTAGTGTATAGTGTAGTTTATAGCAGTGTAGTGTATAGTGTAGTGTATAGCAGTGTAGTGTATAGTGTAGTGTATAGTAGTGTCGTGTATAGTAGTGTAGTGTATCGTAGTGTAGTGTATAGTGTAGTGTATAGTAGTGAAGTGTATAGCGTAGTGTATAGTAGTGTATAGTGTAGTGTACAGTAGTGTAGTGTATAGTTGTGTAGTGAAAAGTAGTGTAGTGTATGGTGTAGTGTAGAGTGTAGTGTGTAGTGTATAGTGGTGTATAGTAGTGTAGTGTATAGTAGTGTAGTGTATATTGTAGTGTATAGTGTGTAGTATAGTAGTGTAGTGTATAATAGTGTAGTGTATAGTAGTGTAGTGTATAGTGTAGTGTATAGTAGTGTCGTACATAGTAGTGTATAGTAGTGTAGTGTATATTAGTGTAGTGTATAGTGTAGTATATAGTGTAGTATATAGTAGTGTAGTGTATAGTGTAGTGTATGGTAGTGTAGTGTATAGTAGTGTAGTGTATAGTGTAGTGTATAGTGTAGTGTATAGTAGTGTATCGTAGTGTAGTGTATAGTAGTGTATAGTGTAGTGTATAGTGTAGTGTATAGTGTAGTGTATAGTGTAGTGTATAGTAGTGTATAGTGTAATGTATAGTGTAGTGTATAGTAGTGTATAGTGTAGTGTATAGTAGTGTATAATAGTGTAGTGTATAGTAGTGTAGTGTATAGTAGTGTAGTGTATGGTGTAGTGTATCGTGTAGTGTATAGTAGTGTATAGTAGTGTAGTGTATAGTAGTGTATAGTAGTGTAGTGTATAGTAGTGTATAGTAGTGTAGTGTATATTGTAGTGTATAGTGCAGTGCATAGTGTAGTGTATAGTAGTGTATAGTAGTGTGTAGTAGTGTATAGTGTATATTAGTGTAGTGTATAGTAGTGTATAGTAGTGTAGTGTATAGTAGTGTAGTGTATAGTTGTGTATAGTAGTGTAGTGTATAGTGTAGTGTATAGTAGTGTATAGTAGTGTAGTGTATAGTAGTGTAGTGTATAGTAGTGTATTGTTTACTGTAGTGTATAGTGTAGTGTATAGTAGTGTAGTGTATAGTGTAGTGTATAGCGTAGTGTATAGTAGTGTAGTGTATAGTGTAGTGTATAGTGTAGTGTATAGTGTAGTGTATAGTAGTGTATAGTAGTGTAGTGTATAGTAGTGTATAGTAGTGTAGTGTATAGTAGTGTAGTGTATAGTGTAGTGTATAGTGTATAGTAGTGTAGTGTATAGTGTAGTGTATAGTTTAGTGTATAGTAGTGTAGTGTATAGTAGTGTATAGTAATGTAGTGTATAGTGTTGTGTATAGTGTATAGTAGTGTATAGTGTAGTGTATAGTAGTGTATAGTAGTGTAGTGTATAGTGTAGTGTATAGTGTAGTGTATAGTGTAGCGTACAAGTGACACGGTCTGTCCGGGTTGGTTCCCCCCTCCTGACGTGTTGGGGTGCATCACGTGACCCGCCCCCCCCCCCACCCCCCGTGGTCTCGCTCGAGGGGAATGAGGAAGAACGTTCAATGGCTGAGGCGAAAGCGTTTGTAGCAGCAGCAGCAACAGCAACAACAGTGGCAGTGCTGCTTCATCATCGTCCTAATCACCACTCCTCCTGCTTCTTCTTCCCCGCATGAGTAGCTGGTGAGACGGCGTTACTGGCAATCGGTTATCGCCTCAGATGGTAACCCGCGCGCTCCGCTAACTTTTTGCGTGTGTGGGTTTAAAAATAAATACATATTTTTTTGTTTTTTATTTTTTATTTAAAGAAAGCAGAGAGTGTCGATTCCTGCAGTCACGAAAGGTACAGATTTACAGATTGAACTTTTTGTGTGTTTGTTACCACCCAAAGTCGTCGTTGTTGTTGTTGTTCGTTGCTGAAGATTTTTTTTTTACTTTTTTAACCTTGGGCGGGAAAGCGTCTAGCGAGCTTGTTAATGTGTGGTGTGGTGAGCCTCTGTGTGTGGTGTGGTGTGGTGAGACTGTGTGTGTGGTGTGGCAAGGCTCTGTGTGGTAAGCCTGTGTGTGTGTGGTGTGGTAAGCCTGTTAGTGTGTGGTGTGGCATGCCTGTTAATGTGTGGTGTGGTGAGACTGTGTGTGTGGTGTGGTGAGACTGTGTGTGTGTGGTGTGGCAAGCCTGTGTGTGTGGTGTGGTGAGACTGTGTGTGTGTGTGGTGTGGCAAGCCTGTTAACGTGTGGTGTGGCAAGCCTGTTAATGTGCGGTGTGGTGAGACTGTGTGTGTGGTGTGGCATGTGTGTGTGGTGTGGCAAGCCTGTGTATGTGTGTGGTGTGGCAAGCCTATTACTGTGTGGTGTGGCAAGCCTGTGTTTGTGTTAATGTGTGGTGAGACTGTTTGTGTGTGTTAATGTGTGGTGAGACTGTGTGTGTGTTAATGTGTGGTGAGACTGTGTGTGTGTGGTGTGGCAAGCCTGTGTGTGTGTGGTGTGGTGAGACTGTATGTGTGGTGTGGCAAGCCTGTGTGTGTGTGGGTGGTGAGACTGTATGTGTGGTGTGGCAAGACTGTGTGTGTGTGGTGTGGCAACCTGTGTGTGTGTGGTGTGGCAAACCTGTTAATGTGTGGTGAGACTGTGTGTGTGTGGTGTGGCAAGCCTGTGTGTGTGGTGAGACTGTATGTGTGGTGTGGCAAGACTGTGTGTGTGTGGTGTGGCAACCTGTGTGTGTGTGGTGTGGCAAGCCTGTTAATGTGTGGTGAGACTGTGTGTGTGTGGTGTGGCAAACCTGTGTGTGTGTGTTAATGCGTGGTGTGGCAGTGTGGACCACTGGACGGGTTCCGCAGGATTGGAAGGATGCCCTGGTGGTCCCCCTCTTTAAGAAGGGGGACCGCACAGACTGTAACAACTACAGGGGCATCTCACTCCTCAGTGTGCCGGGAAAGGTCCTGGCAAGGATTATTCAACATCGCCTTGCCAGGCACGCTGAGGAGAGGCTTGCGGAGCCCCAATGCGGTTTCAGGAAAGGGCGGTCCTGCACAGATGCCATGTTTTCCGTCCGTCTGCTACAGCAGAGGTGTAGGGAATTCCAGCAAGACCTACATCTCTGCTTTATTGACCTGGTCAAGGCCTATGATACCATCAGTAGGTCTGGGTTGTTCTTCGTGCTTTTGGAGTACCTGACCCTCTGCTCACGATCATTATGGACCTTCATGATGGTGAGCGGGCCCGGGTAAAACTACGTGGCCGTGAGTCAGAGCCATTCCCTGTACACCTTGGGGTGCGACAGGGATGTCCTCTGGCTCCCACGTTATTTAACATCTATTTTGACCACGTAGTTCGTGAAGCCTTCAATAGCTGTATCAGAGGAATCTCCATATGGTACAGATTTAATGGGTGGCTGATCGATGCCTGGGTGCGGTCAAGGGATGGCTCCCTATTGCTCAACCACGTTATGTATGCCGATGATTTGGTAATAGCTGCTCATTCAGAGGAGAAGTTGGAGACGCTGCTGCTGAGACTGGAGTGTGCCACTAGGGGATGGGGCCTTACCCCCAGCCCCACCAAAACTAGGCACCTGCCTGGGTATTTTGTACCATCGGACACTCCACCCCCACAACTCCCAATCGGTGATGGGGCAGTTGTGGAGAGAGTGGAGAGTTTCCCATACCTGGAAAGTGTGCTTATGACCGGCTCCAGTTTAACAGCAGAGGTCTCACTCCGAATCAGTCGAGCGGCAATATATTTTCATCGGTTGCGTAACGTTCTGTGGAAGCTACCTGGTCTGTCGCTCCGCACTAAACTTCATGTCTTCTCGGCCACAGTCATTCCCTCCCTTCTCTACGCTTGCAAAACGTGGACCCCCCTAATGGAACATCTTCGCCGGTTAGAAACATTTAGGCTGGCCTGCCTACGATCCATCCTAGGTTTAACCAGGCAGGATTGTGTGAGGAGCTCACAAATCCTTGAAAGATCTGGGCACGGTCCCATCGGTGAGCTCCTCCGGCAGGCAAGGCTGCGTTGGCTGGGTCATGTAGCCCGCATGTGTCGTGTGGTGAGCCTGTGTTTGTTAATGTGTGGTGAGCCTGTGTGTGTGTGTACTTAGTGTGTGGTGTGGTGAGCCTGTGTGTGTGTGTACTTAGTGTGTGGTGTGGTGAGCCTGTGTGTGTACTTAATGTGTGGTGTGGTGAGCCTTTGTGTGTACTCGATGTGTGGTGTGGTGAACCTGTGTGTGTTAATGTGTGGTGTGGTGAGCCTGTGTGTTAATGTGTGGTGTGGTGAGCCTGTGTGTGTGTTAACGTGTGGTGTGGTGAGACTGTGTGTTAATGTGTGGTTAGCCTGTGTGTGTGTACTTAGTGTGTGGTGTGGTGAGCCTGTGTGTGTACTTAATGTGTGGTGTGGTGAGCCTTTGTGTGTACTCAATGTGTGGTGTGGTGAGACTGTGTGTGTTAATGTGTGGTGAGCCTGTGTGTGTGTTAATGTGTGGTGTGGTGAGACTGTGTGTGTTTGTTAATGTGTGGTGTGGTGAGCCTGTGTGTGTGTTAATGTGTGGTGTGGTGAGACTGTGTGTTAATGTGTGGTGAGCCTGTGTGTATGTACTTAGTGTGTGGTGTGGTGAGCCTGTGTGTGTGTACTTAATGTGTGGTGTGCATGTGTGTGTACTTAATGTGTGGTGTGGTGAGCCTGTGTGAGTGTACTTAATGTGTGGTGTGGTGAGCCTGTGTGTGTACTTAATGTGTGGTGTGGTGAGCCTGTGTGTGTGTACTTAATGTGTGGTGAGCCTGTGTGTGTGTACTTAATGTGTGGTGTGGTGTGCCTGTGTGTGTGTGTACTTAATGTGTGGTGTGGTGAGCCTGTGTGTGTGTACTTAATGTGTGGTGTGGTGAGCCTGTGTGTGTGAGCGGGAATCGAACCCGGGTCGCCGGGTTCGTAGACACACACACGCAGACACACACACAGACACACAAACAGACACACAAACAGACACACACACACGCAGACACACAGACACACACACGCAGACACACACATAGACACACACACGCAGACACACAAACAGACAGACACACACACACAAACAGACACACGCAGACACACAGACACACACACGCAGACACACACACACAGGCACACAAACAGACACGCAGACACACACGCAGACACACACACAGACACACACACACGCAGACACACACACGCAGACACACACACACGCAGACACACACACGCAGACACACACACATACGCAGACACACACACACGCAGAAACACACACGCAGACACACACACACGCAGACACACACACCGACGATGTGGGAGATGGAGCGGTGAAATCCGTTCGTGTGCCCGGGGGTGCTCGTTTGGGATTTGTCGCGGCCTCGGCCATCGTGAGAGGTCACAGCGGAGGCTTGGGGATGCCCTTCATCCAGCCGTCGATTAACCATGGCTGATGATGAAATGTAATATTGGTGGGTGGATGGGGGGGGGGGGCTCATATCTACCGTTATCAGCTGTTGGGGGGGCGGTGGGCTGCCTAGGGCATGCAATGTAACTCCTCTGTGTGGTTACATGCCCGGTGCTGTATAGCACCAACTTTGCAGTAACTGTAATTACTGCCGAAACGCCTTTACTCAATATTGTAAACGTTGACGTGGATTTGCTCCCCAACACACCGGTGGATGCCGTGCTGGTGACGAATTGGCCGCGATCCGTTTACGTGACAAACCTCCTCACTAGTTACTGGTTGGCTGTGTCGGGTGGTGGCGGGTTTTAACGACACATTTATCTACGCGATCTAGCCCCAAAACAGCATCTATCATTGGATTATATTGTTCGCTTTAGCCTACTACTACTACGTGTTAAATAGGCAGTAACTAACAGCAGGAATTCGTGGTGCTATGGAAGAGGAGGGGGAGAATTCCTGGTCTTCCATCACATTCTTTATCCCCACCACGTTTGGTTAAGGCTTAAACACATTCCTGCAGAAGACGCTGGTAGGAACGTTGGGTTGCTCGGTCAATGGCCAGGGTCAACGGCGGCACCACCACGTGGTGTATTCCGCAAATATGCCCGACTGTGAGGGCGGGCAAAAGCCGGCGTGAGTAGGTTAAACGTTGAGTTTTTTAAGGGCACCACGGGGTGACCAGCCCCTCCCCACCCAGCCCCACCCCTCCCATTTTTGGATGCACGACGGACGGACGGACACAACAATAATCCCCTGTGGGCTGGTGGTGTAGTAACCAGGAGGTTCCTACCAGTATTAATCATTCTTGGACCGTAGTTCAAATGTGTGGCATATCCACGCCAGTGTAAACATGGCACTGTAATTTAAACTTGTGGGTGATGGCAGTGGATGGACGGGCGAGTGCCAACGGTGGTTTAATGTTGTTGAGGGCACTTTACTTGCAGTTCGGAGTTCGATGGTTGTATTCAATCTCGATGGTTAGGGGCCGCCCATAAATGACGTCACGCACCTAGTGGGGGGCAGGGGGGTCAGACATTTGTAACGAGGTGGGGTGGGGGTTTGTTTGAGAAATGTGACGTCGCATCAAAATGGGCAACTTTGAATAAATATCGGCACGTTCCACTTAATGAAATAGACTTTTTTTTTAAATAAATGTTTTATCGTGCAACATCAGAGTGCAGCGCCACATTAAACATGCACTACAATGACACTAGTTTAAAGCGATTTGAAGCATGTTTTAATTTAAAAATGGAAATATGGATATGGGGGGGGGGGAGGGGGCAGAGCTTTGTGGGGGGGTGGTCTGACTTTTTGTGACGCTGTGTGACGAGGGATGGGGGGGGGGTCAAAAATCTTCCCAAATTGCGTGACGTCATTTATGGACGGCCTCTTATTCAATCGCCCCTGGCTGCCGCTGTCCACCCATCGGTATGAATGGGTTCACCACGGTTCAGTTGATAGGCAAGTCCGTGTGTGGAGAGATGTTGACCACCTCGCCTGGTACACAGGAGGTCGTGGGTTCGATCCCGACCCCTCACGTCTGCTACTGTATATTTGGAGTTTGCGTGTTTCTCTCATCATCGTCGCCACGGTGGCTAGGAGATGTTAACTACCTCGCCTGGTGTGCAGGAGGTCGTGGGTTCGATCCCGACCCCTCACACTTGCTGTATATTTGAAGTTTACGTGTCTCTCTCTCATCATCGTCGCCACGGTGGCTAAGAGATGTTAACTACCTCGCCTGGTGTGCAGGAGGTTGTGGGTTCGATCCCGACCCCTTATGCCTGCTGCTGTATATTTGGAGTTTGCGTGTCTCTCTCCCTGTGGTCGCTTGGATTGTTCTCCGGGTCCTCCAGTTTTCCCTCCACATTTAGAATCAACATCAAGCATTTAGAGTTATTTGGCTGCTATAAATTTCCACACTATGATAAGCTGCTGCTTTGAGCTATCATTTACGATAGTCAGGTCGCTTTGAAAAAGGCTATACAGCTCAGTGGGCCTTACCTGGTAAATAAAAAAAAAGTTCAGTAGTTTTAGTTTTAAGTCAGAAGTGGCGTGGGCAAGCAGTTGCAGGGCTGCACCTTTGAAGTATGGTCAAACAGCTCCCATGGTTGACAAGGCACGCATTTATGTTGAATTTCTTTCGCGCCGTACGTAGCCAACCGTGCAAATCGTTCATTCTTACGCTGACAGAATGAACGGACAACACGAGAACGGTTTACGAAATGAACGCGCAATAAATCTACGTTACCCCCCTCCCTTTGTGATGTAGCCCGACTCGCAGTTCATACGCGACTTGTTCACGCTCAAGATGTTTTTGATGCAGTGGGGTTTCGGTATAGAGTTTCAACAACAACAACAACAAAAAAACAACTCGCGCTGATGCTCGTGGTGAGTAGTGCGCGGAGAAGCGATCAAGGCACCGGGGCGGTTTTTGCGAAAATGTTTTTTGCAAGTTTAATAATAAACGGGGTGATTATTTCGTGTGTGTGTGTGTGTGGTGTGTCACCGTGGTACCGAAAGCTTGTGCAACATTTCCCTTCAAAAGCCGTATCACAGCCCGGCCTCATGTGCGACATTACTCAATGTGGAAGTTTGGTTATAACATCACAGCCGCTCGGCGGTCAGCCTCTGTTTGCCAAAACACGCTTGCGGTTTCTCTGTCGCACTCTGTGAGACTGGAAGTTCTCTAACCGGGAGCTCTCGCCCATTCACTACTGTTAGCTCCATCTCACTCCACTCCCCTCCACGCACTCTCCCACCACTCCCCTCTCATCTCACTCCACTCCACGCACTCTCCTACCTCTCCCCTCTCATCTCGCTCTACTCCCCTCCACTCACTCTCCTACCTCTCATCTCACTCCACTCCCCTCCACGTTCTCCCCTACCTCTCCCCTCTCATCTCACTCTACTCCCCTCCACGCACTCTCCTACCTCTCCCTCTCATCTCACTCCACTCCCCTCCACGCTCTCTCCTACCTCTCCCCTCTCATCTCACTCTACTCCCCTCCACACTCTCTCCTGCCTCTCCCCTCTCATCTCACTCCACTCCCCTCCACACACTCTTCCACCACTCCCCGGTCATCTCACTCTACTCCCCTCCACGCACTCTCCCACCACTCCCCTCTCATCTCACTCCACTCCCCTCCACGCACTCTCCTACCTCTCTCATCACTCTACTCCTCTCTACTCACTCCTCTACCTCTCCCCTCTCTCGTCACACTCTAGTCCCACTTCACTCACTCTCCTACCTCTCTGTTCTCTCATCCAGAGCTATTCCACTCAATGCATTTTCATTCCCCACTCCTCTCGTCTCCCCTCCATCACACATTCTCGGTCTGCTGCTGGCTGTTGCCCCTCTTGTACCCCTTGTCCACCGGCGCGTCTGAGCCGCGCGTCTGAGCCGCGCCGGTGCTGGGCCCTCACGGGTAAATGCAAATTTCAAATATATTTGTTTAACCAGGTGATAACTAAACTAAACTAAACTTCCAACTATTTTTAATTTTATCAGGTGAGGCCCACACGGCTACAGGGCTCCTTTTCAGAAGTGGACCTGGCCATCACAAATGGTAGCTCAACGAAGCGGGCTTATCGCGTGGAAATTTATAGCAGGCAAATATTCTGAACGCGTGATTCCAAGTGTGCGGAGGGAAAAGCCGGAGGACCCGGAGAAAAATCCACGTGTCCGCGGGGAGAACGTGCAAACAACTCCAAATATATACCGCAGGGTCAGGGTCGAACCCACGACCCCCTGCGTACCACACGAGGGTTGTAAACCACGATGAGTCTTCATTTGCAAGACCCACCTGCATGACCAACGTGACACGAGCGGTAATATAAAGTCCGGCAATGTAGGTAAATTTGAAATAGGTGAAACCGGATAGAGCTTTCCACTGCGCCACACCCTACGGTTGAAGAGCACCTCTGCGCAAGATTAGAAATGACATCGGCCTGGCCTACGTGGAACACCGGCGGCACACCAGCCGGCAACCGCTAGCTCCCGGCACGCGGAGCGAAACGCCGGACCTCGTTTCCGAACCGGCGCGCGGGTGCAACCCGAAAACAGCGTCGGATGGCTACGCGGCAGCACAGCCGCGGACATCCTGCCGCTCGGTGTTGTCCGTACGGCCGGCCGGGGCGCGGTACGGGGGAATATCTTTTTGTTCTGTGGCGGGGCGTTTTTTTTTTTGGGGGGGGGGCCTCGCATATTTGCCGTGCTTTCCCATCGTACGCCACGCAGGACGCAACAAGTCGGGGCGAGGTGGTGGCTGGCTGCGCTCAACATCTGCATTCAATCGCGCGTCGTGGTTTCCAGCGAAGGGCTGATGAAGGGCGACGGGCAAGCGCGTTGCGTGCGTGCTTGTTCGTACGCGCAAAGTGGAGAGAGAGAGAGGAAAAAAAACCCCATCTCGCTGACCCACGCAGAGTCGTTGCTGAGTGACCCAGCGGAAACTATTAATACAGGAAAGAGGTTTTTTGTTTTTCTTTCTTGGCAGCGAAGCGATGAAAGGTTAAGGCGCAGCCACTCAATTGCTCGCTCATTCCGCTGCTGGTGTAAAGCACTCTGCTCGTCGGAGTTTTAGACAGCCCTTCCGGATGATGCCTTGGCCTACTCTTCTACATACTTTCTTCTACATATATGGGCTTTTTTTTTGTTCCTGAATGGGCCCCCAAGGACTGATTTGTGGAAACTACAAGCCTGATAAGGCGGTTTGATAGGCACACTGGTTATGGAAATAAGTGAGTGGGTGGTTGTTTGGCGAGACGTGTGGCTTTTGCCAGCTTCTGTTGCGGTGACCTCATGGAGGTGTAGCAGTAACTCAAGTCTGTGCATGCGTGGTCGTGGTGGTAGTGGGGGGGGGGGGATGTTACGGTGAGTGTTTGCACCGTGGTTAGTGCGCTCCGATACGAACCCCGCTCCCCGCCAGCCTTGGCCGGTTCACCTTCGACGAGCGTTGGAGAGCCGCGCGTGCGTGCGCGCGGCAGCGATTGTTTTTGCAACCGAGATCTGGATTTGCCGCGCCGAGCTTTACGGCGGCAGTCTTACCTCCGCAGCTTTGTGGGGGGGGGTGGGTTTTGTTTTTTTACAGCCTCAGGCCGAGCGAGAAATGTGTCTGGTCTGCGAGTGTGGGCGCGGCGCGTCGCGGACGTCAGCGACGGGGAGAAAAATGTGGCCGGCGGGTGCCTCGTGTGCCGTGCCGGTCTGAATTGGTGCACGCTCGTAGCGCATGCCCCCATCAGTCTGTATGCATCTGTGGGGGTGTGGTGGTGGTGGTGGTGGGGGGGGGGGGCAGAATTTTTGATTTTTTTCATGTTTACGTGGGTGTATGCGTGCGTTTCCCTGCATCTATATAATCCCACCCTTTCATGGCAACTCCCAACTATGTGGCCTCTGTGGTTAAGGAGTAGATAATACGAGCGATCGTAACGCCCCCGTTCATTTACCCGGGACGGAGTACTTGCCCAAGTCCCAGTACTTGTTTTCCGGGAGGGTCCTGCGTTGGTGTAATAACCAGCAAAACTGCACTTGCAATTAATCGGTCGACGAGTTGGTGCCGCGTGCAGGAGGTTCGTGGGTTTGTATAGCTCCGGTGGCTTCCGATTATTGGGAAAGAAGAGCGTTCCAGACGGCCACGGAAGCGCATCTGACAGCACCGCGATGCACGTGCCCGTCTTTGTTTGATGGCCGGCCAAAAGCCGCCGTCTCTGCTCGTTTCGCCGTCTCTGCTCGTTTCGCCGTGTGTGTGAAGGGGGGCACGCCGTGTGACATCGGCGGCACGGCTCGGCTTCCGTGGCGGAAAACAAACAGCTGGGGCGGGGCTCCTTGTGAGCCGCCGCGGAGCTCCGCAGGACCCTGGCCGTGGCTACCGTTCGTGCCTGCGTGAAGAGGGGTCTCGAGAAGACAAAGTTGACCTGCCCCCCCCCCCCCCGGTCTCCCTCCGCGCGTTCCTCGCTGAGCAGGCGCGGAGTGCGGCGATCGTCATGTCGGACGGCGCGGCGGAGAGTCCCTCGGGGCTTCAGCGCAAGAAGCCCGCGGGGCTGACGATCAACATCCCTCCTCGCGTGGACGACGTCACCGACTCGACGGTGAGCGAGGCGGTGAGATGAGCGGGGCCCCCCCCCCTGCCCCCCCCCCCTGCCCCCCCCCAAAGACATTTTCTACGTCGTAATTTTTTTTTTTGGTTTTTGTTGCCGCCGCTACTGCTGCTGCTGCTCTCACGCAGCACCGTGATATCTCCTTGGCGCGAAATACGCGGGGAACTGGCTAGACTGGATCATCATGTAACAAATGAACATAAACTCGCAACGCAAACTTTGCTCCCCTCCGGCAGGCATGTTGGGCCAGAGTAGAGGACGTGTTTTTTATTTTTTATTTTCTGCTATTTTTTATTTTCTCATATTGTTTTTTTTTTAGCAGGGAAGGCCCCGCTATGCTTTTGTTTGGAAGCGACGGGCCTGCGTATCACAAATGATAGCTCGTCGGAGTAGCTTATCGTCGAGTGGAACTTTATAGCGGCCACATGCTGAAAAGGCGTGTTGATTTCTCAACGCAGTGGGAAAAACCGGTAGAGAATTCCACGCGATCACAGGGGGAACATGCAAACTCCAAATGTACAGCCGGTGTCAGGGTTGGGATCAAACTCACGACCTCCTGCATACCAGGCGAGGTAGTTAACATCTCCTAGCCACCGTGGCGCCCCCATTTACAGATTTGATTGCGACAACGTGTTACGACATCGGTGGAATGTCGTAAGTTTTGACCTCCGATGGTATTTCTCATAACTTCCGAGCAAATAACAGTTACTGTCTTGGGCGCTTGTAAAGTTTGGTTGGTTCCTGAGTCAGTTGTGTTGTGCTATCAGGATTGTGAAAGCGTGTTCTGGGTTCTGAAGGTATGAGCGTATTGTCTGGAACCACGTGTTTGGAGTTAGCCCCCCCCCCCCACCCCCCCGCTGTTCCTCGGCATACCAGCAACCAGAGCATGTTATGACATCGAAGCGATGTGACAATTTCTGTTTATGTGAAGAATACATTTTTTTGTTTGTTACGAAACTCCCGAGTGAATCAGAGTTTCTGTCGTACGGCGTTTGTAAAGTTTCCGGGGAATCTTCACGGAGAGCGGTTCGGGATGCGTGGGCTGCACTTCCCGCACGAACACTCAAGATGTCTCTGGGCGATGTCGCAAATGTATTCGCTGTAACTTCATTTATTTTTCAACGAAGGTTCTACCGCGGGTCATTCTTGTGAAACAGCCGAAGGCTGAGCGTCCCTTTACAACGTGTAAACAAATACAACCAATCGATCAAACTCACCCCTATAAGGCGGGCCATGCCTGTAACCATTGTCTTTGTCTTCTTTGGTTCTTTCGGTAAAGTCACGTAGAATGAGAATAAAATAATGAATTGATAAAATAAGATAACGCAATAATATTCTCACGACGTTTCGGCCACAACACAAGCGGCCTTCATCAGGTGAAGGGGACGAGACTGTCTGGAGGACAGCGCTGGAGTGAAAAAAGCCATGCTCAGATCGCGACCTTTAAGCTGTGTGAGAAGAAACAAAGCGCCTTGACAAAGGAATTAGCATATAATTTAGCATTGAAATGGCTGAGTGATTAGCTTGTGACTGGTCACAGAAATGGCTATGTTAAAGTTAAAGCATACACATCCGCAGAGGCACCCCTTGACAAAGGAATTAGCATAGAATTTAGCAATGAAATAGCTAAGTTAAAGCATACACATCCGCAGAGGCACCCCTTGACAAAGGAATTAGCATATAATTTAGCATTGAAATAGCTGAGTGATTAGCTTGTAACTGGTCACAGAAATAGCTATGTTAAAGTCTTTGTGTCTGTGGCCACGCCTCTGTCAATATCTTGGCCTATGTCGGTGGCCGTTTATCTGTCTTTGTGGCCCAGCTGTGAGTTCTCCGCCTGTGTTTGATGTTGTTGTTGTTGTTGATGCTGTGAACGCTGTGACCATGTGCGGTGTTGTCCGTGTCACGGGCACCATGCCCATGTCCGTCATCATTAGCCGCATGTCTGCGCGTGTTTTCTGTGGGGAGCGGCAGTGTAGGTTCGCGCGATGTGCTGCGAAATCTGGCGACCCTAGTTGGATTCCCGCTCGTGTCTACGTATGCATTTGTAGTCCATCATGGGGCGCCGTGGTGGTGAGATGTTAACGCCCTCGCCTGGTATTCGGGAGGTCGTGGGTTTGATCCCGACCCAGAGTTTGCGTGTGATCCCGGTAGTCGTGCGGATTTTTCTCCGGGTCCTCCGGGGCTTTCCCTCCGCATTTCGAAACACGGGTTTAGAGGATTTGGCTGCTGTAATTTCCACATGATGAGCCACTTCGTTGAGCTTATAATTTGTGGCCAGGTCGCTTCTGAAAAAAGAGATACATTATGGCTCAGCGGGCCTTTCCTGGTAAAATAAATCACGAGCTGTCTCTGTGTGTGTTGTCTGTCTCATTAACCCCGTGTCTGTCTGTGTGTGTATAGTCTATCATGAGCTGTGTCTGTGTGTATTGTCGGTCTTATTAACCCCGTGTCTATGTCTGTGTGTGTGTAGTCTATCATGAACTATGTCTGTGTGTATTGTCTCATTAACCCGTGTCTTTGTCCGTGTGCGTAGTCTATCATGAACTGTGTCTGTGTGTATTGTCTTTCTCATTAACCCCGTGTCTATGTCTGTGTATGTAGTCTATCATGAACTATGTCTGTGTGTATTGTCGGTCTCATTAACCCCGTGGTCTATGTTTGTGTGTGTATAGTCTATCATGATCTATATCTGTGTGTATTCTGTCTCATTAACCCGTGTCTTTGTCCGTGTGTGTAGTCTATCATGAACTATGTCTGTGTGTATTGTCGGTCTCATTTAACCCCGTGTCTTTGTCTGTGTGTGTAGTCTATCATGAACTATGTCCGTGTGTATTGTCTTTCTCATTAACCCAGAGTCTATGTCCGTGTGTGTAGTCTATCATGAACTATGTCCGTGTGTATTGTCGGTCTCATTTAACCCCGTGTCTTTGTCCGTGTGTGTAGTCTATCATGAACTATGTCTGTGTGTATTGTCTGTCTCATTAACCCCGTGTCTATGTCCGTGTGTGTAGTCTATCATGAACTATGTCCGTGTGTATTGTCTCTCTCATTAACCCCGTGTCTATGTCTGCGTGTGTAGCCCATAACGAGCTATGCCTTTGTGTGCGTGCGTGTCTCATGCCTGTCTCGGTAACCCCGTGTCTGTGTCCGTGCTCAGCCGCTGCAGGCATCGTCGGAGCTGTACCACCGGAGCGTGAGCGTACCGGCCGGCCCGGGAGGACCCTTATCCCCGCCGGAGCCATCGCGGCCACGCCATGGCCCCTTCCAGAGACAGACCTCCCTGGCTCAGTCCATCCGAAGGTGCCGTCCGATTCCTCCTCCCAGACATCCGCTCGCCCTCTCGCTCTCGTTAGGTGTCGGCTGTCTTGTGCCAACTCCAAACTTTCAGCGCGTGTTCTTTTTGAAACCAGGTATGGCCCGCTGAGCTGCTACGTAGCTGTTTTTCCAAAGCGACTTGGCGATTTGCAAATGGTGGCTCAACGACGTGGCTTATCGTCACGTGGAGGTTTGTAGCAGCCAAATAACTCTTGAGAGCTGCACGCCGATTCTAAATGTGTAGGGAAAAACCAGGTGACCCGGAGGAAAAAATAATATAACAACGCGGCCACAGAGAGAGAGAGAGAGAGAAAAACACGCAAACTGTTTCGTTCCTTACATAGTTAGACTTCTGCACAAATCTGGCTGTCGCCTGATGAAGCTGGTTGTAATTACCGGCGAAACGTCGTACTCGGATTGTAAATGTTGTGGCTTGGCTCTCCAACACAACCGGTGTTGCTGTACTAGTGTACTACATTATACACTACACACTACACTATACACTAGTGCTGTACTAGTACACTACACTATACACTACACTATACACTACACTATACACTACACTATACACTAGTGCTGTACTAGTATACTACACTAAACACTACACTATATACTAGTGCTGTACTAGTATACTACACTATACACTACACTATACACTAGTGTTGTACTAGTATACTACACTAAACACTACACTATATACTAGTGCTGTACTAGTGTACTACACTATACACTACACACTGCACTATACACTACACTATACACTAGTGCTGTACTAGTACACTACACTATAAACCACACTATACACTACACTATACACTACACTAGTGCTGTACTAGTACACTACACTATACACTACACTATACACTAGTGCTGTATTCGTGACGATTGGCCACGTTCTGTTTGCGCGACAACCCTTAGTAGTTGGCTGTGTCAGGTGGTGGCGGGTTCTAACGACACAACATTTATATATTTACGCGATTTAACCCAAAAAAACTCCTATTATGGATGACATTGGTCGCGAAAGCCTACGTGTTAAGCTGTTGAGATTACGCATTCCCAGAAGTCAATGGGATTTCTAAACGAACAGAAATAACTTTTATTTTCTATTAGGAGAGATGGACATGGGATGGAGGTGCGTACTTTATGGGCGCCGCTTTGTCGAGATGTGTAACTACCTCGCCTGGTGTACAGGAGGTCGTGGGTTCGATCCCGACCCTGACGCCTGCTGTATATTTTGAGTTTGCGTGTCTCTCTCTCATCATCGTCACGGTGGCTAGGAGATGTTAACTACCTCGCTTGGTGTACAGGTGGTCGTGGGTTTGATCCCGATCACGACGCCTTTAGATTTGGAGTTTGCCTGCCTCTCCCCGAGGTCACGTGGATTTTTATCAAGGTCCTCTGCTCCCCCACCCCCCCCCACCCCCGCATTCAGAAACACGCATTTAGAGTATTTGGCCGCTGTAAATTTGCACATCATGAGCCACTTTGTTCAGCTCTCATTTGCGGCCAGGCCGCTTCTGAACAACAGCTATATAGCTCGCCCTGTGAGCCTTACCTGGTCAAATAAACAAAATAGTCGAGTTTTGGCTTAGTTTCTGCTAAACTTGGCTCGGGAGAGATTGAATCGCTGACCGGCATCGGCGTGTCGCAGGGGGACGGCCGTGTGGTTCGGGGTGGACAAGGAGGGCGGCGCTGTATCGCGACAGCAGCGGTGGCACCAGCGGAGCCTCCGGCACTGCAGCCAGCGCTACGGACGCCTCAAGCCGGAGGTGCTGCGCGACCTGGAGCAGCCGAGCGGCAGCGAGCTGGGCTCCTTCGGCGGCATGGAAGTGCCCGCGCAGCAAATTCAGCGCATGCACAGGGTATGTACGCGTCGTGTCTGTTGAACTTCTTTCGCGCCGTACGTAGCTAACCGTGCTGATCAGAGGTGCGGGGGAAGGACAACAAATTATGGGTCTCTGTGCGAGTCTATGGGTCTGTGTGAGTCTGAGTCTCTGTGTGAGTCTATGGGTCTCTGCGTGAGTCTATGGGTCTCTGTGTGAGTCTATGGGTCTCTGTGTAAGTCTATGTGTCTCTGTGTGAGTCTATGGGTCTCTGTGTGAGTCTATGGGTTTCTGTGTGAGTCTATGGGTCTCTGTGTGAGTCTATGGGTCTCTGTGAGCCTATGGGTCTCTGTGTGAGTCTATGGGTCTTTGTGTGAGTCTATGGGTATCTGTGTGAGTCTATGGGTCTCTGTGTAAGTCTATGGGTCTCTGTGTGAGTCTATGGGTCTCTGTGTGAGTCTATGGGTCTCTGTGTGAGTCTATCGGTCTCTGTGCGAGTCTATGGGTCTGTGTGAGTCTGAGTCTCTGTGTGAGTCTATGGGTCTCTGCGTGAGTCTATGGGTCTCTGTGTGAGTCTGTGGGTCTCTGTGTGAGTCTATGGGTCTCTGTGTGAGTCTATGGGTCTCTGTGTGAGTCTATGGGTCTCTGTGTGAGTCTATGGGTCTCTGTGTGAGTCTATGGGTCTCTGTGTGAGTCTGGGGGTCTCTGTGTGAGTCTGGGGGTCTCTGTGTGAGTCTATGGGTCTCTGTGTGAGTCTATGGGTCTCTGTGTGAGTCTATGGGTCTCTGTGTGTCTGTGTCTCTGTGTGAGTCTGTATATGTGTAGTGACTCAACTCAGAGACAGTAACACTTGGAGGCAATTCTTTATTTAGCGAGCACCATCGGGGTAACACACAGCACCCTCCGTGGGTGCACACTATTATTATTATTATCATTAAGACCGTCCATTGTGGGCGGCACTACTTAGAACAGTTGTTAGGAGGCTATCTGACTAACAGCACCCCGGGATGGCGGAGACGGCGACGAGGAGATGGTGACGACGACGATGATCTTGAGCAGCGCGACGGGGGGGATCCCATTTGCAGCAACAGCCACGAGGTCCCGCACAGGTCCGCCTGTTACACTCCCAGCGTGGCCTCGCTCCGCCCCGGCCACGCCCCCTTTCCAGAACCTACCGGCGGGTTCCCGGGGCTTCCCGATGGGCCCCTTCTATGAGCTACCCCCTAGGTGAGGGGTCGGCAACCTGTGGCTCGCGAGCCAGACGCGGCTCTTTTGATGACTGCATCTGGCTCGCGAATAAATCTTAGCTGACATTTCTTAACATGACGAGTCTTATCGTGTTAGGAAATGTCAGCGAAGGTTTATTTGATAAGTCTTATCACGTGAAGAAATGTCATCTGGCTCGCGAGCCACAGGTTGCCGACCCCTGCCCTCGATGTTCCAACCCTCTTGTGTATACCGTGGCCTGCTGACGTGGTTTTGAGGGGGCGTAGCACAACAACGACGCGGTGAGCGAGCGCAGACCACTGCCGGCGCGGCCGACGTGCGGGGCCGAGTGCGAGTCTCGAACGGCACGTGACCCCCCGCTCCCCCCCACCCCCCCCAGCAGTCTGTTGAGGCTCCACGAGGGACCTTTGCGTCTTTGTTCGCGGCGGTTGGCGGCGCTGCGCCAGGAACCCGACGGCGCTCGCTCGATTCCCGCCCCTCGCGGCCGGCGATTATCTGAACCGGCCCTGGGCCTCGCCTGGGTCAACTCGGCCTCGAGCGGGTTGAGCGTTGCGGGAGGACCTTCGAACTTTTGCTGCCGACTAAAACGTGACGCCCCCCCCCCCCCCCCACCCCACCCCCGCTCCTCAACAACCGCCATCCTCGACGCGCCAGGTGGTGGACCCCCTGGCGCGAGGCCGCCAGTTCCGAGCACCGGACGCGGAGTCGGAGGGCCTGCACGTTCCGTTCACCCCGCGCACCCCGCTCTCGCCCCGCACGCCGGGCGGAATTTCCCACGCCTCCTTCACCAGCTCGCGCTCCGCCATTGGCCGCATGCCCACGCGGCGTAAGCGCGAGTCCGTCGCCAAGATGAGCTTCAGGGCGGCTGCGCTGCTAGTGCGGGTGAGACGAGTTTTACCGGTGTCAACCATAGCCTCAACACCGGTGTGAACCATAGCCTCAACACCAGTATGAACCATAGCCTCAACACCAGTGTGAGCCATAGCCTCAACACCAGTGTGAGCCATAGCCCCTACACCAGTGTCAACCATAGCCCCTACACCAATGTCAACCATAGCCCCTACACCAGTGTCAACCATAGCCTCAACACCAGTGTGAATCATAGCCCCTACACCAGTGTGAGCCATAGCCCCTACACCAGTATGAACCACAGCCCCTACACCAGTGTGAACCATAGCCCCTACACCAGTGTGAACCACAGCCCCTACACCAGTGTGAACCACAGCCCCTACACCAGTGTCAACCATAGCCCCTACACCAGTGTGAACCATAGCCCCTACACCAGCGTGAACCATAGCCCCTACACCAGTGTCAACCATAGCCCCTACACCAGTGTCAACCATAGCCTCAACACCAGTGTGAACCATAGCCCCTACACCTGTGTCAACCATAGCCCCCATCACCAGTGTGAGCCATAGCCTCAACACCAGTGTCAACCATAGCCTCTACACCAGTGTGAGCCATAGCCTCAACACCAGTGTCAACCATAGCCCCTACACCAGTGTCAACCATAGCCCCTACACCAGTGTGAACCATAGCCCCTACACCAATGTCAACCATAGCCCCTACACCAGTGTCAACCATAGCCCCTACACCAGTGTCAACCATAGCCCCTACACCAGTGTGAGCCATAGCCCCTACACCAGTGTGAACCATAGCCCCTACACCAGTGTGAACCATAGCCTCAACACCAGTGTGAGCCATAGCCCCTACACCAATGTCAACCATAGCCTCAACACCAGTGTGAGCCATAGCCCAACACCAGCGTGAACCATAGCCTCAACACCAGTGTGAGCCATAGCCCCTACACCTGTGTGAACCATAGCCCCTACACCAGTGTGAACCATAGCCTCAACACCAGTGTGAGCCATAGCCCCTACACCAGTGTGAGCCATAGCCTCAACACCAGTGTGAACCATAGCCTCAACACCAGTGTGAACCATAGCCCCTACACCAGTGTGAACCATAGCCCCTACACCAGTGTGAGCCATAGCCCCTACACCAGTGTGAACCATAGCCTCAACACCAGTGTGAGCCATAGCCCCTACACCTGTGTGAACCATAGCCTCAACACCAATGTCAACCATAGCCCCAACACCAGTGTGAGCCATAGCCTCACCACCAGTGTGAGCCATAGCCTCAACACCAGTGTGAACCATAGCCCCTACACCTGTGTGGACCATAGCCTCAACACCAGTGTGAACCACGGCCTCAACACCAGTGTGAGCCATAGCCTCAACACCAGTGTGAACCATAGCCCCTACACCAGTGTGAACCATAGCCTCAACACCAGTGTGAACCATAGCCCCTACACCAGCGTGAACCATAGCCCCTACACCAGTGTCAACCATGGCCTTAACGCCGATGTTTACCGATGCCACCGCCCGGGCCTTAACTCCGACCGCGCCGATGCGAATGCGCGAGCAGGGCCGCTCGCTGAGGGATGCCAACCTCCTGCGGCCCCAGCTTGGCCGCCAGAGCTTCCCCAAGGCGAGCTTTGCCGAAGACGACACGGCCGACGAGGACCCAGACACCTCCTTCTTCAGCAAGGCAAGGGCTCCGGCTTGCTGGGAAAGCTCCCCCCACACGCCACGCGCGTCACCCACGCCACGCACATATACGCCACGCACACCGCACACACACACACGTCGCGTGTGCCACGCACACACAAGCCACACACACACATGCCACGCACACACAAGCCACACACACACACATGCCACATACCCATACCACGCACACCATACACAACACACACACCAATACCACACACATACACACCGCACACACAGACCCCAGGGTACCCGAGTTCGATTTCCGTTCATAGCCAACACCGTTGACGATGATCTCAACGAGGCCTGGGACTCCCCCAGCCTTTAATGAGTACCTGGTGCGATGTGTACACATAGACCCTTGGGAAACACAGGTGGCTGGGCGTGGGGCTGGCCACCCACCCGCTCGCATGTCGTGCCGGCCTTCATAGTGCGCTACACGCTAATAACACTTGCCAACACTTACCCCAACAGTCTGTTGAGGCTCTACGGGGGATCTTTGTCTTTTGTTGGCATGTGCGTGCGCGTGGTGCGGACTGCGGTAGTGTAGCAGGTAGCGCGCCGCGCCACACACGGCCGGCGACCCGAGTTCGATTCCTGCTCACTGCTCACACCTTTTACGATTACCTGAACCGGTCCTGGGCCTCCCCTAGGTCCACTCGGCCTCAAATGAGTATCTGGTGCGGTGTGTAGTAAACATCGCCAACTGGGGAGACAAAGGCGGCCGGGCGTGGTGCTGGCCACCCACCCCCTCGCGTGCCGTGCCGGCCTTCATAGTGCACTGCGCGCTAACGCCGCTTGGCCCCCAAACAGTCTGTTAAGGCTACACGGGGTAATCTTTATCTTTTGTTTGCGCGCGTGTGTGTGCGTGCGTGTGTGTGTGTGTGCGCGCGTGTGTGTGTGCGCGTGTGTGTGTGTGCGCGTGCGCGTGTGTGTGCGCGTGTGTGTGCGCGTGTGTGTGCGTGTGTGTGTGCGTGTGTGTGTGTGTGCGTGTGTGTGTGTGTGCGCGTGTGTGTGTGTGTGTGTGCGCGTGTGTGTGCGCGTGTGTGTGTGTGTGTGTGCGTGTGTGTGTGTGTGTGTGCGCGTGTGGTGCGATGCTGCCTGTCGACAGTACGGCGGGTTGTACGAGGACGGCACCCTGCCGGACGAGGTGTTCGAGTCCCCGCCCGACTCCGCCGTTCCCCAGGGGGCGCCCGCGGGTGCCCTCCCCAGCGCAGACGCGGCCAAGCAGGCGGTCAAACCGCCCGTCCTGTACGTTGAACCACACGGGCCGTGCCCCTCTTTGCCCCGCGGGAAACATGGTGGGGTGGGCGGGGGGTGGGCTGTCACAACAGCGAAGGCCGCTGGCGGCGGTGAACGGAGGCGCCGGGGCCGCGCGACGACGTCGCTTCTTCGGCGTTCGCCGTCAATGTGATACTGCACTGTTGCGATAATAATTTAGCACGGCGTCATTCATGCAAGTTGCATCTCACAACGCTGCACATGAATTCGCCAGTCCCTTACACGGATGATACAAAAGCGAAACCCCACTGCTTAGCAGGCCTTTGTGAACCCACTGTTGGATGAAGGCCTTCCCCACGTGGTCTCACCATCGTCGTTACCGTCATCACGACGACGGATGTTTGACCCGTGTTTCCCCACGCTGGTCGGTACGGGTTGGTGAAGCCACGGCGGCCAGGACCGGTTCAGATTTCGCGTGCCACCGACGTTTACACCGGGGTCCGCTGTAATACGATGAAATCGGACATCCGGCAAAATCTTTGATGGTGTTGCGGTTCGTGAACCGAGGTTAATTGTGTCGATTCAGCGCAGTCGATCCTGCAGTCGCTTAAAATTGATCGGGCAGCCATCTTAAAAATGTTGATTCGTAGGCAATGTATTCATTGGCAAGCAATATCTTCTTTGGTTCTTTCGGTAAAGTCACGTAGAATGAGAATAAAAAAAAATAAAAAAAAATAAATAACACAATAAAATTCTCACGACGTTTCGGCCACAACACAAGCGGCCTTCATCAAGTGAAGGGACGAGACTGTCTGGAGGACAGCGCTGGAGCGAACACAGCCAAGCTCAGACCGCGACCTTTAAGCTGTGTGAGAAGAAACAGAGCGCCTTGACAAAGGAATTAGCATAAAAATTAGCATTTAATTGGCGGACTTAGCATGATGAACGGTGTAGAGGGGGTGAACATGTGCAGACCGGCGAGGGAGAGTTCACCTATTGATGGTGTGTAAAGGGAATTTAAGCTGCTGCGAAAGTTTGGGATACCACTACTTGAAAAAATATACTGTACCAGCAATACTTGTATCGAGTAGTCATGTGACACGTCCCGCCCCCCCTCCCCCTTCATTTGAATGGCTAATATCAGCAAGATCGGTGATTCCGTCGCACTCCGCTTTTATTGCGCCACAGCGCACCACTGGCACATCTGAGCCGTGCCAGCGCGGTGGCTGCGGTGGGAAGGGTGCCTGGCACGGCACAGGTGGTTTTCCACTGGTTACTTGCCGAGTCGAGCCAGAGCCAAAACACGCATATATCCATGACCCTTCATGTGCTTTCTTACCTTTGCTGTGTCCCCTGCCTGTACACCACCCCCCTCTCGCCCATCCCTTGATTCCGCGTCTGCCGTAGCCCCATGGCTGTGGGCTGGCGCAAGGAAACCACGGGCGGCAAAAGTTTTACAAAACTTGGCGTCGGCGACCCTGCTCACCGCTTGCAGCAAGATGTTGTACCCGGCCTCGCTTTCCAGGTGCGGTCGGGGTGGTTGGTGCTGTTGGGGTGGTTGGGGTGGTTGGGGCGGTTGGGGCGGTTGGGGTGGGTGGGGTGGGTGGGGTGGTTGGTGCTGTTGGGGTGGTTGGCGTGGTTGGGGTGGTTGGGGTGGTTGGGGCGGTTGGGGTGGTTGGGGTAGTTGGTGAGGTTGGTGCGGTTGGGGCGGTTGGGGCGGTTGGGGTGGTTGGGGTGGTTGGTGCGGTTGGGGCGGTTGGGTTGGTTGGGGTGGTTGGGGTGGTTGGGTAGTTGGTGCGGTTGGGGTGGTTAGGGCGGTTGGGTCGATAGGGGTGGTTGGTGCGGTTGGGGTGGTTGGCGTGGTTGGCGTGGTTGGGTCGATAGGGGTGGTTGGGTCGATAGGGGTGGTTGGGGTGGTTGGTGCGGTTGGGGCGGTTGGGGTGGTTGGTGCAGTTGGGTTGGGGAGTTTGGGTGGGTTTGGTAGGTTAGGGTGGTTGGTGCGGTTGGGGCGGTTGGGGTGGTTGGGGCGGTTGGGGTGGTTGGGGTGGTTGGGGCGGTTGGGGTGGTTGGGGCGGTTGGGGCGGTTGGGGTGGTTGGGGCGGTTGGGGTGGTTGGGGCGGTTGGGGTGGTTGGGGCGGTTGGGGTGGTTGGGGCGGTTGGGGTGGTTGGGGCGGTTGGGTCGATAGGGGTGGTTGGGGTGGTTGGGGTGGTTGGTGCAGTTGGGTTGGGGAGTTTGGGTGGGTTTGGTAGGTTGGGGTGGTTGGCGCGGTTGAGTTGGTTGGGGCAGCCGGATTGTTAGTGCCATTGGGTCAATTGGAGCGGTTGGGGATGTTGGGGGGGTTAGTGCATGACCGAGAAACAGTGGGGGTGGGTGGGGGGAGATGGAGCTTGACCTCTGGATTGCAAATCCGGCTTGCTGACCGCGACACTGCAGCAGCAGCATCGGCATCCCTCGCATCACTTCCCAACATTCCACCCCCCGCGCAGGCGAAACGCGGCCACAAGCTCGACCCGAAGCTGCGCCGCCTGGTGCAGCGCAGCGCCAAGCGCAAGTACGGCCTGGGCGTCGTGGGCAAGTGGCTCAACCGCAAGTACCGCACCCGGCGGCTCGACAGCTACGTGCAGCGCCAGATCGACGACATGGTCGACCACCGGTGGGTGGGTGGGTGGGTGCTGCCCGCGCGCGGCGTTCGGGTTTCTTTGACGAAATCGGCGACACGTATCCCTCGACCGGGAGACGACGAATATCGGCAGGCGCGTGACGGTGAAGGCGACGGCGACGTGAAGCGACGTGAAGTGACGTGAAGTGAAGTGACGTGAAGTGATGTGACGTGAAGTGATGTGAAGTGACGTGATGTGAAGTGACGTGAAGTGACGTGAAGTGACGTGAAGTGACGTGACGTGAAGTGAAGCGACGTGAAGTGAAGTGACGTGAAGTGACGTGAAGTGACGTGAAGTGAAGTGACGTGAAGTGACGTGAAGTGACGTGAAGTGAAGTGAAGTGACGTGACGTGAAGTGAAGTGACGTGAAGTGACGTGAAGTGACGTGAAGTGAAGTGAAGTGACGTGATGTGACGTGAAGTGACGTGACGTGAAGTGAAGTGACGTGAAGTGACGTGAAGTGACGTGAAGTGAAGTGACGTGAAGTGACGTGAAGTGAAGTGACGTGAAGTGACGTGAAGTGACGTGAAGTGACGTGACGTGAAGTGAAGTGACGTGAAGTGACGTGAAGTGAAGTGACGTGAAGTGATGTGAAGTGAAGTGACGTGAAGTGAAGTGACGTGACGTGAATTGATCTGACGTGAAGTGAAGTGAAGTGACGTGACGTGAAGTGACGTGACGTGACGTGAAGTGACGTGATGTGACGTGAAGTGATGTGAAGTGACGTGAAGTGACGTGACGTGACGTGAAGTGACGTGACGTGACGTGAAGTGAAGTGACATGAAGTGACGTGAAGCGACGTGAAGTGAAGTGACGTGAAGTGACGTGACGTGACGTGAAGTGATGTGAAGTGAAGTGACGTGACGTGACGTGAAGTGACGTGAAGTGAAGTGACGTGACGTGAAGTGACGTGAAGTGATGTGAAGTGAAGTGACGTGACGTGAAGTGGAGTGACATGAAGTGACGTGAAGCGACGTGACGTGAAGCGACGTGACGTGACGTGAAGTGGCGTGAAGTGACGTGACGTGAAGTGAAGTGACGTGAAGTGACGTGAAGTGACGTGAAGTGAAGTGACGTGAAGTGACGTGACGTGATGTGAAGTGAAGTGACGTGAAGTGAAGTGACGTGAAGTGACGTGAAGTGACGTGAAGTGACGTGAAGTGACGTGAAGTGAAGTGACGTGACGTGACGTGAAGCGAAGTGAAGTGACGTGAAGTGACGTGAAGTGACGTGAAGTGACGTGAAGTGACGTGAAGTGAAGTGACGTGACGTGAAGTGAAGTGACGTGAAGTGAAGTGACGTGAAGTGACGTGAAGTGACGTGACGTGATGTGAAATGAAGTGACATGACGTGACGTGAAGTGAAGTGACGTGACGTGAAGTGACGTGAAGTGACGTGAAGTGACGTGACGTGACGTGAAGTGACGTGACGTGAAGTGACGTGAAGTGAAGTGACGTGACGTGACGTGAAGTGAAGTGACGTGAAGTGACGTGAAGTGAAGTGACGTGAAGTGACGTGAAGTGACGTGAAGTGACGTGACGTGACGTGACGTGACGTGACGTGAAGTGACGTGAAGTGACGTGAAGTGACGTGAAGTGACGTGACGTGACGTGAAGTGACGTGACGTGAAGTGAAGCGACGTGAAGTGACGAACGAAGACGCGGGCGCTTGGATGATCGAGCGATGCGATCGGAAACCCGACTTCGTTTCCCACTCGCGGCCTCCCCCACCCCCTCGTGCGCCCCGTTGCCAGACCACCACAGGTGCCGCTGCTCGCCAACGAAAAGTCATGGCGGGGCCGTGCGCTGGGCTGACCTTTGTCCGCGTGTTGTCCCCGGCAGGCCGTACTTCACCTACTGGCTGACGTCCGTGCACGTGCTCATCACCCTGCTCTCCGTGTGTACCTACGGCATCGCCCCCATCGGCTTCGCGCAGCACGAGGACCAGGAGAGCGTGAGTGCCGAGGCTCGGCGCCGGCCCGCCCCACCCGGGCTCCGGCGGGCGGGGCGGCGCGCCAACTGCCCCACTAGCGTCATAGCCTTGACAGATGTGTTGGGGCGAGCGTTGTGAGCTTGGGAGCGCACCGCAAGAGAGCCGGCGATGACGCGCCGAGAGGGGGTGGGTGGGGCAGGCCGGCACCACGCCCAGCCGGCCTTTGTCTCCCCAGTGGCGATGTGTAGCGTTACTTTGCTTTTAAGGGTGGTGGGGAGGGGAAGTGGGGCGTACGAAAAAATCTGTTCCTCGTCTCGCGGCTCGTGCATCGGCCCTGGCTGGAGCGAGCCGCGCGGAGCCGACAACCTCTTGACCCTGCCGCTGGTGCGTGGCGCTGCCCGCCGTGTGCCGCAGGTGCTGAGGAACAAGGGCGTGTACGAGATCGTCAAGTACGTGCAGCAGGAGAACTTCTGGATCGGCCCCAGCTCGGTACGGGCGCGTCGCGGGCCGTGCCGAGCTCGTTGGACGCCGTGGTCTGTGCGCGACGCGCCGAGAGGCGTCGCATCCCGTCGTGCTGCCGCCTTGCGTGCACGCTCGTGTGCGGCCCACGTTGTGCGGCCCACGTTGTGCGTGCGTGTACGGCATGCGTGTTGGGCTTCTTTCGCGCCGTACGTAGCCAAATCGGAGGTCGAGGAGCTCATCGGATGTGCCCGCCGTGTACCCGCATCTGTACCCCCCCCCGTGTAGCCCACATCTATACCCCCGTGTACCAATGTTTGTACCCACCAGCTCGTACCCATGTATTCACCCACGTGTACGTATGTGTTACCCGCTTGTGTATTTTGTATGTGCCCACGCCTCTACCCCCATGTTCCCATGTGTGTACCACGTACCTCCGTGTAACCCATATGAGTACCGTGCGCCCGTGTGTTCACTCTCGAGCACCCAATTTAATATTATTCGTAATAAATGTTGTTTTTTTTGGGTTGGGTCGCGTAAACATAACTGTTTCGTTAACCTGCCACTACCCGACGCACAGCCAATCAGTAGGATTTGCCACGTAAACAAAACGTGCCAGTTACTAACTTCGGGACAACGGTGGTGTGTGTGGTGTGTGTGGTGTGTGTGTGGTGTCTGTGGTGTGTGTGTGTGGTGTGTGTGGTGTGTGTGGCGTCTGTGTGGTGTGTGTGTGGTGTGTGTGGTGTGTGTGGTGTGTGTGGTGTGTGTGGTGTGTGTGGTGTGTGTGTGGTGTGTGTGTGGTGTGTGTGTGGTGTGTGTGTGGTGTGTGTGTGGTGTCTGTGGTGTGGTGTGTGTGGTGTGTGTGTGGTGTGTGGTGTGTGTGGTGTGTGTGTGGAGAGCAAAACCCAAACAACGTTTACAATTCGAGCGGCCGTGACGTTTCCGCCCTCACCCCCGCGGCCGCGCTCCGCGTGCCCGCACGTGTTCTCCCGTCGCGTGCCCAGGACGATCTCATCCACCTGGGCGCCAAGTTCTCACCGTGCATGCGCAAGGACGGGCAGGTGAGCGCGCGCATCGCCCAGGAGCGCGGCCGCGAGAACGGCACCGGCTGCTGCGTCCGGAACGACGGCTCGGGCTGCGTGCAGATGGTGCGCGAAGACTGCTCGGTGAGGAGAGCCCCGACGGCCGCGGGGCGGCACGCGCGAGACGTGCGGTGTTGCCGCTCTTCCACCGCGGAACCGAAGGGCTGAAGTTTGATCTCTCGCCCCCCCCCCCCCGCCCACCCCCCACCTCCCACCCCCCAACCTCCCCCACCTCCCCCATCATTATGCATGAGAGAGGTTTTTTTTTGGGGGGTTGGATCGCGTAAATATTAAATGTGTGTCGTTAAACCCGCCACCGCCCAACGCAGCCAACCAGCAATGTCCTTGTCGCGTGAGCGAAACGTGGCCAATTCGTTACTAGTCCGGCACACCGGTTGTGCGTTGGGGAGTAATCCCACTTAATACGTTTACAATTATAGTGTAGTGTATAGTGTAGCGTATAGTGTCGTGTATAGTGTAGTGTAGTGTATAGTAGTGTATAGTGTAGTGTATAGTGTCGTGTGTAGTGTATAGTGTAGTGTATAGTGTAGTATACTAGTTCGGCACACCGGTTGTGCGTTGGAGAGTAAACCCACTACTACGTTTACAATTATAGTGTAGTGTATAGTGTCGTGTATAGTGTCGTGTATAGTGTAGTGTATAGTGTAGTGTATAGCGTAGTATACTAGTTCAGCACACACACGGTTGCGCGTTGGAGAGAGTAAACCCACTACTACATTTACAATTCGAGCATCGTAACGTTTCGCCGGGAATTCCAACAACAACAACAACCAGCATCATCAGGCGATGATGTCAACTTGAAAACTCCGCGCCGCCACTCCCTCGCTCTCTCTCTCTCTGAGTTCAAGTTATCGATGAGAGAGCGAGCGAGCGAGGGAGGGTGACTCAGAGGCACCAGGAGGAGGGACCACCTGCTGGCGCCTCTGAGCAGCAGCAGTAGCCAGGCGGCAAGCCGGCACTACCAACAATTGCCTGAGCTCTGCGGTCCTCGGTATGTGAAGGTGTAATCGGCAAAATAACGAGTCGTTTACACGTGGGAGGAAACCGGAAACCCACGTGTGTGCGAGGGGGAAACGCTGTATCCCGTACAGACGTACAACAGGTGGAAGTCCACTTATTTTGTGTACCACCAATCGCGGCCTGCAACGTGATCATCCCAGACCATGACTCGGCCCAGGCAAACAGCTCCCTCAGCTCCTGCTTCATGGGTCGGTCACGTGCTCCGATGGGAGAGTCACACGGCTGCCCCCCCCCCCCCCCCCCCGTGTATCTTGGGCTGAGGAACGGGGGTTCCCAAAGCACCGCCCAATCTTTCGCTGGACCAATCACGGCCCGGTGTTACTTGCGCTGCCGCTTACGCGATTCCAGCGTGCTCGCGACTAGGTGGCGCCAATATGCACGCATGTCCTTAGCATGACTACGCCGGTTGCACTTGGCTTGCGTGCTTCGCTGTACATCCCATCAAACCCATGTCATACTCCCGTCCATCGACAACTTGAGTAGCAAGTTTCATTTAAATTGTTCGTGGCGTGTGTGTGCGCGTGTGTATGTATGTATGTATGTTGAACCACTTTTGCGCGCCGTACGTAGCCAACAGTGCTAATTGGAGGTGCGGGGGAAGGACAACAATTATGGTGTGCGTGTGATGTGTGGCACGCGTGTGGTGTGTGTGCGTGATGGCGTGTCTGGTGTGTGTGTGGTGGCGTGTCTGGTGTGTGCGTGTGCACGTGCGTGGCGTGTGTGACGTGAGCGTGGTGTATGGTATGTGTAGTGTGTGTAGTGTAGTGTATATGGGGTGTGGTGCATGTGGTGCGTGTGTGCGTTGTCTATGGTATGTGGTATACGCGTGGTGCGCTACACGTGGTGTACAGTGAGGGAAAAAAGTATTTGATCCCCTGCTGATTTTGTACATTTGCCCACTGACAAAGAAATGATCAGTCTATAATTTTAATGGTAGGTTTATTTGAACAGTGAGAGACATAATAACAACAAAAAAATCCAGAAAAACGCATGTCAAAAAAGTTATAAATTGATTTGCATTTTACTGAGGGAAATAAGTATTTGACCCCCTCTCCATCAGAAAGATTTCCGGCTCCCAGGTGTCTTTTATACAGGTAACGAGCTGAGATCAGGAGCACACTCTTAAAGGGAGTGCTCCTAATCTCTGCTTGTTACCTGTATAAAAGACAACTGTCCACAGAAGCAATCAATCAATCAGATTCCAAACTCTCCACCATGGCCAAGACCAAAGAGCTCTCCAAGGATGTCAGGGACAAGATTGTAGACCTACACAAGGCTGGAATGGGCTACAAGACCATTGCCAAGCAGCTTGGTGAGAAGGTGACAACAGTTGGTGCGATTATTCGCAAATGGACGAAACGCAAAAGAACTGTCAATCTCCCTCGGCCTGGGGCTCCATGCAAGATCTCACCACGTGGAGTTGCAATGATCATGAGAACGGTGAGGAATCAGCCCAGAACTACACGGGAGGATCTTGTCAATGATCTCAAGGCAGCTGGAACCATAGTCACCAAGAAAACAATTGGTAACACACTACGCTGTGAAGGACTGAAATCCTGCAGCGCCCGCAAGGTCCCCCTGCTCAAGAAAGCACATATACATGCCCGTCTGAAGTTTGCCAATGAACATCTGAATGATTCAGAGGACAACTGGGTGAAAATATTGTGGTCAGATGAGACCAACATGGAGCTCTTTGGCATCAACTCAACTCGCCGTGTTTGGAGGAGGAGTAATACTGCTCATGACCCCAAGAACACCATTCCCACTGTCAAACATAGAGGTGGAAACATTATGCTTTGGGGGCGTTTTTCTGCTAAGGGGACAGGACAACTTCACCGGATCAAAGGGACGATGGACGGGGCCATGTACCATCAAATCTTGGGTGAGAAACTCCTTCCCTCAGCCAGGGCATTGAAAATGGGTCGTGGATGGGTATTACAGCATGACAATGACCCAAAACACACGGCCAAGGCAACAAAGGAGTGGCTCAAGAAGAAGCACATTAAGGTCCTGGAGTGGCCTAGCCAGTCTCCAGACCTTAATCCCATAGAAAATCTGTGGAGGGAGCTGAAGGTTCGAGTTGCCAAACGTCAGCCTCGAAATCTTAATGACTTGGAGAAGATCTGCAAAGAGGAGTGGGACAAAATCCCTCCTGAGATGTGTGCAAACCTGGTGGCCAACTACAAGAAACGTCTGACCTCTGTGATTGCCAACAAAGGTTTTGCCACCAAGTACTAAGTCATGTTTTGCAGAGGGGTCAAATACTTATTTCCCTCATTAAAAGGCAAATCAATTTATAATATTTTTGACATAAGTTTTTCTGGATTTTGTTGTTGTTATTTTGTCTCTCACTGTTCAAATAAACCTGCCCTTAAAATTATAGTCTGATCATTTATTTGTCAGTGGGCAAACGTGCAAAATCAGCAGGGAATCAAATACTTTTTTCCCTCGCTGTATGCGGTGTACGCGTGGTGCGCTATACGTGGTGTATGTGGTGCGTGGCTGTGATTCGACAGGAGACGCTTGCCACGTGGATCAAGTGGCCCAGATATAACCCTCCGGCGTTGCAGGGCAGCCCCCGCACGTCCGGCGCCGTGTGTGGACAACAACCAGAGTACGGGACGCGACAGTGCACGCTCACCCACGCACGTACACACCTGCACGTGCTCGCGCTCGCTCACACTCAACCCACGCACACCCACGGCTACCCGGAGTCACCCCACACACACTCGCTCACCCCACATACGCGCACACACTCACTCGCCCCACACGCGCTCACGCTCACCAGGACTCACCTGCGGCTCGCTCACGCCCACTTGCAGCTCACCCACGCACACCCACAGCTACCCAGAGTCACCCCACACACACACACGCTAATCTCACACATACACACACCCACGCACACCCACTGCTACTCAGAATCACCCCACACACACACACGCTCATCTCACACACACACACACCCACGCACACCCACTGCTACTCAGTCACCCCACACACACACGCTCATCTCACACACACACACACCCACGCTCACTCCTGCACAAATAGAATTACCCAGATTGACCCGTTCACGCCCAGGCAACAACAGCAACAACAGCTGCGAGTAAGTGGCGGTGACGTCATCACGGTGCTTGTGCCAGGCTAGGTGCATTCTGAGGCTGGCAGGAGGTCATGGGACAGACCCAGGTGCCATGGGTTGACTGACTGAGCTGATTGGCAGATGCACCACCATGTGTGCTCCCTCCTGTGCCAAATTGCTGTCTCAGTGTCTCTGTCTCCCTCTCTGTTGATCTCAGTGTCTGTCTCTTCGTGTATCTATCTCAGAGTCGCTGTCTCCCTGTCTATTGATCTTGGTGTCTCTATCTCTGTCTGTCTGTCCATGTCTTTTGCAGACTGTGTGAGGAACCAGCCTCGACTCCACCACACGAATGGCCTGATGACATTACCAAGTGGCCTGTAAGTGCAAACCCGCCAACATATGTGTACACACACACATACGTGTACACACAACAACAACCGCCATTTGCCACTAAGTGGCGGTGACGTCACCACGACGCTTGTGCCAGGCCATGTGCACCTTGAGGCCACGTGAAGTGTCGAACGCCCGCTGGCAGGAGGTCACGGGGCAGACCCAAGTGCCACGGGTCGACTAAGATGACTGAGATGACTGGCTGATGCACCACCTGTGCCCCCTACTGTGCCAACCTGCTGTGCTTTAGCCACCCGGCGCTCTGCTCGTTGTTGTGAGCGTCGCTCCTCCGCCCTCCGTTGTTGTTGGAGGGCGACTGCCTCCAACTGCCCAGTAGCATCCTTCACGAGCCTCCTCCACAGAGGCCGATCTTGACACCGCTGGTACCAGTCATCGGCAAGTCCACTCAGCTCCACGTCCTCCTGTGCCACATCACTCCATCTCTTCTCTAGCCTGTGCCGTGCCCGTTTAGCCCCCTCGATCCGGCCGAACAAAAGCTGTTTAGGCATGCGGTGGCTGGGCATGCGAGCTACATGACCCAGCCAATGCAGCCTTGTCTGCCGGAGGAGCTCACCGATGGGACCTTGCCCAGATCTTTGAAGGATTTGTGAGCTCCTCACATAATCCAGCCTGGTTAAACCCAGGATGGATCGTAGGCAGGCTCGCTTAAATGTTACTAACCGGCGAAGATGTTCCATTAGGGGGGTCCACGTTTCGCAAGCGTAGAGAAGGGAGGGAATGACCGTGGCCGAGAAGACCTGAAGCTTAGTGCAGAACGACAGATCAGGTAGCTTCCACACAGCGTTACGCAACCGATGAAAATATATTGCCGCTCGACTGATTCGGAGTGAGACCTCTGTTGTTAAACTGGAGCCGGTCATAAGCACACTGCCCAGGTATGGGAAACTCTCCACTCTCTCCACAACTGCCCCATCACCGATTGGGAGTAGTGGGGGTGGAGTGTCCGATGGTACAAAATACCCAGGCAGGTGCTTAGTTTTGGTGGGGCTGATGGTAAGGACCCATCTCTTAGTGGCACGCTCCAGTCTCAGCAGCAGCGTCTCCAACTCCTCCTCTGAATGAGCAGCTATTACCAAATCATCGGCATACATAACGTGGTTGAGCAATAGTGAGCCATCCCTTGACCGCACCCGGGCATCGATCAGCCTCCCATTATATCTTACCAAATGGAGATTCCCCCGTAACAGCTATTGAAGGCTTCACGAACTACGTGTACACACAGACACACGTGTACACACACACACACGTGTACACACACACACACATGCGTACACACACACATACGTGCGGTGCAGGCATACACAGACACATGCGTTGACAGTTTAACACGTAGGCTTTCGCGACCAATATTGTGCATGAGAGAGGTTTTTGGGTTAGAGCGCGTTAATGTAAATGTGTCGTTAAACCCGCAACCACTCGTCACGTAAACAGAACGTGCCAATTCATTACTAGTACAGCACTAACCGGTTGCGTGTTAGAGAGTAAAACCACTCCGTTTACAATTCGAGTACCGTGCCGTTTCACCGGTAATTACAACAACAACAACAACCAGCATCATCAGGCGACAGCCACAGAGTTGTGGAGAAATCTTTGGCAGCATGCGGAGACGCATGTTCGCGCGCATGTTCGCGCACAAGTTCACGGACAAAGGTGTGTGAATGAATGAACACACTTCACGCTCACAACCTGCAGAACAAGTACAGAACACACAAACTCCACTCACTCACACCCTGCAGAACAAGTAGACAGAACACACAAACTCCACTCACTCACACCCTGCAGAACAAGTACAGAACACACAAACTTCACTCACTCACACCCTGCAGAACAAGTACAGAACAAACAAACTACACTCACTCAAACCCTGCAGAACAAGGACAGAACACACAAACTCCACTCACTCACACCCTGCAGAACAAGGAGAGAACACACAAACTCCACTCACTCACACCCTGCAGAACAAGTAGAGAGAACACACAAACTCCACTCACTCACACCCTGCAGAACAAGTACAGAACACACAAACTCCACTCACTCACACCCTGCAGAACAAGGAGAGAACACACAAACTCCACTCACTCACACCCTGCAGAACAAGTAGAGAACACACAAACTCCACTCACTCACACCCTGCGGAACAAGTACAGAACACACAAACTCCACTCACTCACACTCACACCCTGCCGAACAAGTAGGGAACACACAAACTCCACTCACTCACACCCTGCGGAACATGTACAGAACACACAAACTCCACTCACTCACACCCTGCGGAACAAGTACAGAACACACAAACTCCATTCACTCACACCCTGCAGACACATGGCTAGCGACTACAAACTCTTAACACAGAGTCGCACGCGTCACCGACTGCCGTCGTTACCGCGCCCTGCGGCTAATCTTCCACCCCCACCCCGCATTTCCCGTTTTCCTCCTCCACATGCAGATCTGCACTAAGAAGTCGGGCGCAAACAGGACGAGCGTCACGCACATGGACTGCACGGTGACCGGCCACCCGTGCTGCATCGGAACCAAAGGCAGGCGAGTAAAGTGGCCAGTCGGTCGCGCGATGTCGACGCGACCACAGCGAGCTAACATAAGTCTGCGTGGCGTAAGGGAGGAGGGGCGGAGGATGGGTTGGCTTGTGTCTGTGTGTAGTGTGTCTGGGGGGGGGAGCGGTGGCACCTGGGTCTGCCCCGTGACCTCCTGCCAGCGGGCGTTCGACACTTCACGTGGCCTCAAGGTGCACGTAGCCTGGCACAAGAGTCGTCGTGGTGACGTCACCGCCACTTAGTGGCGAATGGCGGTTGTTGTTGTTGTTGTTGCGGTGGTGTAGCGGTTCGCGCCGCGCTACGAACCCGGCGACCCCCCCCCCCCCCCCCCCGCGTCCCCCCCCCCCCCCCCCCCCCCCCCCGAGCTCGGTTCCCGCTCACGGCCAACATCGGCGGCGAGTATCCAAACCGGTCCCGGGAGTCCCCTAGGCCGACTCGGCCTCAAATGAGCACCTGGCGCGGCGGTGTGCGAACATCTCCACTCGGGAGACGAAGCGCGGCCGGGCGTTGGTGCCGGCCACCCCCCCCCACCGCCTTGTGTGCCCTGCCGGCCCGCATAGTTTCTGCTCCTCGCTTGACAGCGCCTTGCCCCAAACAGCACCTGTTAAGGCTACCACGGGGGAATCACCCTTTGTCCTCTGTCTTCCTGCAGCTGTGAGATCACGTCGCGCGAGTACTGCGTTTTCATGCATGGCCATTTCCACGAGTCGGCGACACTCTGCTCCCAGGCAAGTTTCATCGTCCCCCGGCCCTTCGGTAGCCTGGCCAAGGATGGGGGGGGGGGGTGGCCACCCAGTGGGCCCCCCAGTGCCCCCCCCCAAGTGGCCACTGTCCCCTATGCAGCCCCCACCGTGTGCGTAATCCCAATTGAGTAATTCTACGGATGCATTTGTTCACAACATTACGATTCGTGTTTGCGAATGGAGAGCCGAAACCTTTATCTTAAGACGCGCTGTTGTTCTTTACGCTTTGGTTCTATTCGGTAAAGTCACGTAGGTAAAAAATGTAAAACAACAAAACTCACGACGTTTCGGCCACAACACAAGCGGCCTTCATCAGGTGAAGGGACCAACCTGTCCAGCGGACAGCGTTGGAGTGAAGAAAGCCAAGCGCTGGTCGCCTCCCTTTAAGCTGTGAGGGGGCAAACAGCAAACGCCCTGACAAAGGAAATGAGCATGAAACGCACCACTGACAAAGCTTAGAATTAGCACAAGATGATAATACACCACCCTGGGAGTTTGGAATACCACTACTAGAATAAATATACTGTACCAGGGCGTTTGCTGTTTGCCCCCTCACAGCTTAAAGGGAGGCGACCAGCGCTTGGCTTTCTTCACTCCAACGCTGTCCGCTGGACAGCTTGGTCCCTTCACCTGATGAAGGCCGCTTGTGTTGTGGCCGAAACGTCGTGATTTTTGCTGTTTTAATTTTTTTACCTACGTGGTGACTTTACCGAATAGAACCAAAGAGTATGGATCCTTGCAGTCACGAAAGCTTCAAATCTAGAGCTGCTGTTCTTGTTGTGCGCGGCTCCTGCAGGTGCACTGCATGGATGATGTGTGTGGACTCCTGCCCTTCCTCAACCCCGAGGTCCCAGACCAGTTCTACAGGCTCTGGCTTTCGCTCTTCCTGCACGCCGGGTACACGTTTGAACCACAATAGCACGCCGAGCTCGTCGAGCAGCATGAACCATCATCCATGCGAACACCGGTCATCCTCGCAGCGGCGGATTTTGGCTGCCCATCGAACAAAGACGGTCACCGCATCGTGCGCGTTCAGGGATGCTCTTGTGCGGCCGTCTGGAATGCTCTTCCGATGTTAGAAGCCACTGGGAGCTTTAATTTTAAATGTGTGTCCCACCCCGTGTGCTACCCCGTGTCCCCCCCGTGTGTCCCCCACGTCCCACCCCGGGTGTCCCTCATGTCCCACCCCGTGTGTCCCTCATGTCCCACCCCGTGTGTCCCCCACATCCCACCCCGTGTGTCCCCCATGTCCCACCCCGTGTGTCCCCCGCGTGCCACCCCGTGTGGCGGTGCTCCCCAGGGTGCTGCACTGTTTGGTGTCGGTGGTCTTCCAGATGACGGTGATGCGAGACCTGGAGAAGCTGGGCGGCTGGGCTCGCATCGCCATCATCTACCTGCTCAGCGGCATCACCGGCAACCTCGCCTCTGCCGTCTTCGTGCCGTACCGAGCCGAGGTACGGCGCGCTTCCCTCCACCACTTGCCGCTCCTCGCTTTAGGGGGGGGGTGGGGGGTGGGATGGCAGTCAGGGTAGAGGGTGATGCGGGTGTATGAATGTATGTACGTTTAACACGTAGGCTTTCGCGGCCAATATCATCCATAATACAGGCTTTTCTTTGGGTAAAATCGCGTAAATATATAAATGTGTTGTTAAACACGCCACCACCCGACACAGCCAATTAGTAAGGTTTGTCACGTAAACAGAACGTGCCAATTCGTTGCTAGTGTTGAGGTGCAAATGATGACTCGGAGGCAGATCTTCATGTAAGAGCTTGCGCCGGATATTTATTAAGAGTTTTTTTGGTTTGGACATGTTTGTTTTGTTGTAGTACGGAGTTAGACTGACGGCCTTAATCTAAGTTTTCTTGTGGTTGTTGTTGTTTGACTTGCATTCCAATGGGATTTTTTGCACACAGCATTGGTGTACGGTGCTTTTTTCAGGAATATTTTGCTGTTTTTTTTTTCTTCCTGGATTTTCTGTTTGCACAGTCACACATAGTCACTTTAAGATGTTTTTCTTGGTCGTGTCTTTGTTTGTTTGTGGTTGCTCACAGGGCTATACCAAAATAAATAAACTGAAACTGAAAAAAGATAACTTCCCCAGGGGTTTTAGGGGTCCCATGCTGGGTCCTTCACACGACCCCGCACTCTGTCTGTTCCTAGCTCGGCTAGCTCCAGCGCTCTCTCCCTCGAGTCGGATCGGGGGTTCAGCCAACACCGACCGACCGGGGAGAGCAGCACCTGCTGTGACTGCCACCGGCTCCTCTCCAGACTCCCTGAGCTCTACCCCTGGCTCGGCTCTTCGACCGTCCTCACGGGGGGGGGGGGTCCCCCTTAAGTACCGAGAGGAGGCATGACGTCATCGCCCCACCCAACGCGCATGACGTCATCGCACTGGACAAGCGCGCATGACGTCGCGTCCCCATATTACTCCTCTAGACTAGTACAACACACCCGGTGTGTTGCAGAGAAAATCCACATTTACAATCTGAGTACGACGTTTCGCCAGTAATTACAACCAGCATGATGCTCGCCAGTAATTACAACACACCGGTGTGCTGTACTAGTAACGAACTGCCGTGTTCTGTTTACGTGACAAGCCTTACTAATTGGATTTGTCGGGCGGTGGCGGGTTTAATGACACATTTATATTTACGCGATGTAACCCAAAAAAACCTGCACTACGTATGTACGTATGATGACCTTCTTTCAAGCACCGTACGCAGCCAACCGTGCCGATCGGAGGGGCGGGGAAATGACAACAAACTAAAAAAAAAAAATTCCGCTACTCAGTCCGCTTCTCTCACAGTGGACGTGGAAGATCCCCTGACGTCATGCGCAAGGGTAGGGGGCCCCGTCGTGTGCCGTCGGCGTCGGGGTCCAAACTTGACAAGTTCCAGAAATGACACCGCAGATTGTGTCGATTGGGATCGCGTGCGCGCGCACACACTCGCCAATTCGTCGCTCGCCTATTGGCAGCGGATTGCAGGGACTCCTCAACTTACGAACGTTCGACTTGCGAACTTTCGGAGATGCGAACAAACCCGTCCGGTTGCCCGCTCGGATAGATGGCGGTGGTGGCATCTACATCTGCAGAATGTGAAGAACCAGTGGCATCTGCATCTGCAGAACGTGAATAACCAGTGGCATCTACATGAGATTATACAACTTTTAAAGCCATTCCCCGCGTTTAGTGTACACGCCGTACAACACGCTTGCATTCGACACGAGTATAGTTGGACTTACGAACAAATCGACTTGCAAACAGACCTCTGGAACCTAACTCCTTCTTAGTAAGTAGATGAGTCCCTTTAATTCCCCCCCCCCCAGCAGGACTCTTGCGACTAACGCTTGGGGCCTAGCCTCTTGAGTTCTCTCTCACACCTGCTTATTAAACAAAACGAAACCGATATGAACTAAACCCGCTCGCGAATGTAAAATCGACGTTCCACTCGGCTACGAATCGCCCAAACGGAAAGCACCGATCCTCAGCGCGTTGCGACTAGACCCCCCCCCCCCCGACAACCAACCCTCCTCCACCCCTCTCTCCCCCGCGTGGAATCGGGACACCCGCCCTTCTTCGTCCGCCGCAGGTGGGCCCAGCCGGCGCCCAGTTCGGCCTGCTGGCGTGCCTCTTCGTGGAGCTGCTGCAGAGTTGGCAGCTGCTGGCGAGCCCCGGCTGGGCGCTGACGAAACTCCTCGCCATCCTCGTCATGCTGCTGGCATTCGGCCTGCTGCCGTGGATCGACAACTTCGCGCAGATGTCGGGCTTCGTGGCGGGTCTGCTGCTGTCCTTCACCTTCCTGCCGTACATCGCGTTCGGGCGCGCCGACCGATACCGCAAGCGCGTGCAGATCATCGGCTCGGCGCTCGCCTTCGCCGGCCTCTTCGCAGGCCTGATCCTCGCCTTCTACATCTACCCCATGAACTGCACCTGGTGCGAGTATCTCACCTGCATCCCCTTCACCGACGAGTTCTGCGAGAAGTACGAACTAGAGGGGCACATCCACTAGGGCGGCCGGCAACGCCGCGGCCGTCGCGAGAACCTCTCCCGTTTTCGCCGGGGCGTGGGGATGTCCCGATTTTTCCCGTCGTCTTTGCGGCGCGGCGGAGAAGCGCGAACAGGCGGAGGGGGAAGATGGTCCGCCAAGAGCCGGGGAGGGGGGGGAAGGGGAGGGTGGGTTGCTGCCGGCGACGGCCGACGATGTCGTGCCGGTTTCTTGCCGTCACGGAGGCAGACGCGCCGAATTTGTTTTCGTCGTACTCGCCCGTCACCGCTCCTAGAGTGGAGCTGCAACTCAAACTAAGAAACTGCCTTTTTGTTTTTACCAGTTAGGGCCCACCATGTTTTGTAGCCCCTTTTTTTTCAGAAGGGACCTCGCCACGAATTATAGCTTAAGGAAGTGTTTTTTTTTCTCTCTCTTTTTCCCGTGGACATTCTATAGCAGCCAAATACTCTCAAACGCGTTGATGTTCGTTCTAAATGTGGAAGGAAAAACTGGAGGACCCTCAGGAAATCCACGCGACCACGGGGAGAGAGAGAACATGCAAACTCACGGGGATAGAGAAAACATGCGAACTCCAAATATACAGTAGGTGTCGGTGATCGAAGCCACGATCTCCTGCATACCAGGCGAGGTAGTTAACATCTAAACAGAATTGACAATCGTGGCGCTCGCGATTCTGCGCGCTTACCATGAGATCATCCAGAGGATCCATACTCGCCAAATCATTATCCTCACTGCCATCGCCGGCGTCACATTTTTTCGTTTCAAAAGTTTGAAACAAACAAAAATCATCGCAAACAATCCACAGATGCTGTATGCCAAATTCCAACGAGCCTGATGTGACCAGCAACGACTCAACTGTACTCCCCCCCATGTGAATTTCAACCTTCAAGGGGCTCTTCCTTGCAGGGCATTCATTGCAGGGCATTCATTGCAGGGCATCCATTGGCATCAAGGTGATGCTGAGTGTGGTCACGCCCGACGGCCTTACACGTCGGAGGTAGGGGGCACTGGGTTTTGTTGAAATAATTTACTGTGCCAGAGCAGCGGGTGTCAGATGCTGTCGAAATTCACTCCAGCCCGAAATTGTGATTGCGGTGCAATGCAAGGGCAAGGTGAGCCCAGATGACTTTTGTGGCCGGGGGGAGCACGTGACCGGGGGGATCACGTGACCGGGGGGAGATCGTGAGCGTGGCTGTCGAATTGCTGTCGATTTTTCCCACGTGGTGCTTTGATTTTTTTTTTAATGTAGCGATCCGCGATCGTGTGCTGTTTTGTGTTTCATTTTTCGTCGCATTCTTCGGGGGCCCACGTGAAAAAACGCGCGGCAGAGTAAAAAAAAAGAAAAAGGGCCCCCCCCCCCCCCCCCCCCCCCTAACGTGGCGCGGATTTTGTTTGAAGGAAATCGGTGGAAATATTCACTACCAACAATTGTTTATTATTTTTTTTCGATCATATATTTTTCATTTTCTTCATGTTCGTCAAACCGCCGCACTACGAGATGGCGTCAAAGTCATGGAAGCGTCGACGACGACGACTTCGGGAGCTGGCAAACCGCCGGATGCCACCGGCGCGTGTGACCGACCGTGACAAGAGCAGACTTACGAGCCTGAATGATAAAGACGCAGCCTTAAGATAATTTGGTGATGTTACCAGAGGCCACAGTGACCCGAGGAAGACCAAACAAGGCAATTAACTTTGTATTTTAAACAATCTACTGAGCTCACTTTGTTGGGCGCCGCGCTGGCAAGATGTTATCTCCCTCGCGTGGTATACGGGAGGTCGTAGGTTTCGGTCCTGAACCCTGCCGCCTGTATATTTGGAGCTTGCGTGTCCTCCATGTGGGATCTCCAGCTTTTCTCTCCATATTTAGAAACGTGCATTTCGATTCGTTGGCTGGCTTTAAATGTCCACATGATAAGCCACTCCGTCGGGATCATTTGTGGCCAGGTCGCTTCCAAAAAAAACCCCAGCTCCGAGCTCGGTGCGCCTTACCTGGTAAAATAAAAAAAGATTTATTAGGCTGCCGAGCTGATGTGTTGAAGGGAGCGCGCGCACGCCCTTAACACCATCTTAGTGACAGAGATTGGACTGCATTTATGACTCGCGATGAAATCCAGACTTAAAGAATGAATATTTCCGCAGCTTAGAAAAATAATGACTTAGGAGCAATAATTGCTCTGTGAGCCAGTCTGCCAGTTTGGCAGCGATCCATTGCTGTTGCGTAATCCCAACTGATTAATGTGCGGGTCATTTTCTTTGTTGACGATTTGGCAAGAATTTGGAACCACGACTACGTGGGCCCTCGTACCCGTTATGACATCCGACGCAATGCCAACGACGCATCAGGACTTCATGGCGGATGCACGCACCGCAGTATTCACCAGGGCGGCCTGGCGGATTCGAAACCACGAAACCTCCCACAACAGTCATTGAACGAATGGTTGTGGCCGACTAGACTAATACCAAACAAAAAATGCTGATTAAAGTGGACACTGGGGCCCTCTGCACGTCCAAGCCGACCGATGAGAGGGCAACTCTTTTGAGACTAATTTTACTTTTGCTGTTGATGTTTAGTCCGACGATTTGCATTGTATTCGCTCGAACCTGTGCAAGCGCGCGCGCGATTTCCCTTGGTCCGCGAACAAGGGTGTAAGATGGTACAATTTTCTTGTTACCCTAGCAATATGTGGGATATGACAATCAACTATTTAAACGTCCACTTTATACTGAAAATATTTTTGTTGCGAAGAGAAAGTGCAGCTTGTCAGAAAAAAAGTACTTTATTCTGTTGGCAAACCAGGTACTTGGCAAGCGTTGTGATGCAATCAATACTTTCTTTTGAGTAGCTGCGTTTGCCTGCGAGACGAGAGGTGTATACACACACACGCATGCACAATGATATGGCGGGACAAAGAACTGAGATGAGGGTATCCCTCCACGTACTGTATTATTCACGCACTGTATTACGGGCTTATACCCAGATTTCCCGCGCTGCTACGCTGCGCAGCTCAAGCAGTTCATCATGGATGTCAGCCGCTCAGGAACAGTGCCATTAGGGTCACGCATGCGGCATTCCGTGCCTTTACAAAAAGTGTTCCCCAAATAGGTGAACACTTTACAAAAAGTGTTCCCCGAATAGGTGAACCGCGTTGTGGGGAGCGGACACGCATTAAGCGAGGACTTGCTGTACTATTATGCTGCACCAGCAACGCTGCTGCAGTTCAACAACACCGATGCTGCTGCCTTCCGTTTCGTTCTGTGGCGCCCGTTTTCACAGGGCGCTGCTTTCCAATGTTTTTTTTTCCCCCCGCCCCTCCCCCTGTGCGTTGCACGGTCTTATTACCTTTGGGTTTCGATCGTTTGATTCTCAGGTCTGGCATGGTCCTCGACAATACATTTCTGCACCCCCCTTGGCATACCCTTGTCCACTGTCTCGCTCTTGCTGTGCCTTCCACAAAGCCGCACACCACCCCTACGGCGGTCCACCAGCGGGCCTGCAGAATACGAATCGGGACATTGTGCTTGTCATGATCGTACCGACTTAAAATTCATATGGCGCTCGCTTAAACGCCTTGGCAAATCGAAGTGCCTTACCACCACGTCTCATATCAAGTATTCAAAGGGACACCCTCTCCAACCCTCCCCCCCCTCCCCAAATGGCAGCTGTCCCTGTGTGGAACAAGGTGGAACAAGGTGGAACACAGCACCTGGCCTGCAAAAAGGGCATTGGTCTGCCAGTTGGGGAAGATGGCCACGTTTAAACCCCCCCCCCCCCCCCCCAAGTTGAGTAGCTGCAATTCATTAAGACATCTCAACGGAGGATCCTGATGCATCGGAAGTTTTGGCCGCTTCGAGTATTATTATTATTGCAAGTGGAATGATACCTAGAGTGCCTGGAGAAAGCCTGCTGTGATGCCACGCTGTGATGCCGCTGGTTGGTGGCCGTGAGCCGGAATCGAAGTGGGTTTTGCATAGTGGAGCGCGCCAACATTACACGCGTACAGCGAGCGCCTATGAATGCTGACACGTGACAGGAGAGGGTGGGTGGCCGGCACCGCGCCCGACCGCCTTTGTCTCCCTAAGGACGATGTTTAACGCACCGCACCGGGTACTAATTTGAGGCCGAGCCGACCAGGGAGAGGCCCCAAAAGCTGGTTCGGATAATCGTCACTGGTGTTGGCTGTGAGCGGGAATTGAACTCGTGTCACCAGCTTCGTAGCGCGGCGCGCCAACTGCTACACCACCGTTCCCCATACATCTTCAGGATCACACGCACGCACGAACGAACGACTCGCGATCCACCAACCCCAGGGCCGTTTCTCGCGCGCTACTTCTTAAACTGCGGCGCCCTCCCTCCACCGCCCCCACCAAACCCGCCCCTGGCGCCACGCTTGACCGCCGGTCTCCCGCCTCCGCCGGCCGCGGCGGCGGCGGCAGCCAGCACGTCGGCGTACGGCGCGTGCATGAACTCGTGCAGGCGACGCGCGGCTCCCTCCCCGCCGAGCAGCCCGGCGAGCTCGCCGACGCTCAGCCGCGCCAGCCGGGCCAGCGAGCCGGCGCGGCGCGCCACGGCCCGGCAGCAGCGCGCAGTCACGCCGGGCAGACGCAGGAGCAGGTCGTAGGGGCCGGGGTGGAACGCCGACGCGTCGGGGTCGGGGTCGGGGTCGGGGTCGCCGTCGGGGTCGCCGTCGGGGTCGGCCTCGGCCGGGGCCGTGGGCTCGGCCTGGCCGGCCTTGAGCTCGCAGAAGAGCTGAGCGGCGGCGTGCGGGGAGGCGCACCACAGCAGGCGCAGGCGGGGGAAGTGCAGGGTGAGCAGCGCCAGCCGGGAGCACACGTCGGTGGAGGAGATCTCCTGCTGGCGGACGGGCGGGAGGGACGAGGAGTCGGCAAGCGTGGTGGTGTTCTCACGAACGTCCCCACGCGTTGCCTTTCGACGGACTGATGGGGCAAGTGCCGTCAGCGAGCGGCACCTGTGAAGGCCGGCACGGCGCACGAAGGTGGGTGTGGGGGGGTGGCCGGCACCACGCCCCGGGGCGCCTTCGTCGCCCGAGTGGCGGTGTTTTAACACACGGCGCCGGGTGCTCATTTGAGGCTGAGCCGATCCTAGGGGGGAGTCCCAGGACCGGGTCAGACAATCGTCGCCGGTGTTGGCCGTGAGCGGGAATCCAACCCGGGTCGTCGGGTTCCCTAGCGCTAAGCACTACACTGCACACGCGTGTGTGTGTGTGCGTGTGTGTGCGTGTGTGTGCGTGTGTGCGTGTGTGTGCGTGTGTGCGTGTGTGTGCGTGTGTGTGCGTGTGCGTGCGTGTGTGCGCGTGTGTGTGCACGCCCGCCCACGTCACCTGGTACATGGTGCCCCCGCTGCGCGCCTGCAGGGAGAACGGCTTGCCCGGGTCGAACTCGATGAGCAGCGCGGGGCGGCGGTAGCGGCGGCACATGGAGGTGCACTGGGCGTACAGCCGCCCGTTGGCCAGCGAGGCCACCAGGTCGCCCACGCTCTTGCGCTCGACGCACAGCTGCGGCGTGAGCAGGTAGTCGCCCACCGCGATGGTCACGGGGTCCACGCGCAGGCCGCGCCGGTGCAGCAGCGCCGGCAGCTCGCTGCGGAACTCGCGCATGTCCACGATCACGCTGCGCCCGCCGCCGCCGCCGCCGCCATCCGCCTGCCCGCCTGCGCGACGGGTCGTGGTGGTGGTGGTGGTGGTTGTGGTGGTTGTGGTTGTTGTGGTGGAAGACAGAAGGATGGTGGAAGACAGAAAGATGGTGGAAAGCGGGAGAGTTGTGGCGAGTGGTGCGCTACGCGACCCCGGCTACGCGACCCCGGCTACGCGACCCCGGCTACGCGACCCCGGCTACGCGACCCCGGCTACGCGACCCCGGCTACGCGACCCCGGCTACGCGACCCCGGCTACGCGACCCCGGCTACGCGACCCCGGCTACGCGACCCCGGCTACGCGACCCCGGCTACGCGACCCCGGCTACGCGACCCCGGCTACGCGACCCCGGCTACGCGACCCCGGCTACGCGACCCCGGCTACGCGACCCCGGCTACGCGACCCCGGCTACGCGACCCCGGCTACGCGACCCCGGCTACGCGACCCCGGCTACGCGACCCCGGCTACGCGACCCCGGCTACGCGACCCCGGCTACGCGACCCCGGCTACGCGACCCCGGCTACGCGACCCCGGCTACGCGACCCCGGCTACGCGACCCCGGCTACGCGACCCCGGCTACGCGACCCCGGCTACGCGACCCCGGCTACGCGACCCCGGCTACGCGACCCCGGCTACGCGACCCCGGCTACGCGACCCCGGCTACGCGACCCCGGCTACGCGACCCCGGCTACGCGACCCCGGCTACGCGACCCCGGCTACGCGACCCCGGCTACGCGACCCCGGCTACGCGACCCCGGCTACGCGACCCCGGCTACGCGACCCGGGCTACGCGACCCGGGCTACGCGACCCCGGCTACGCGACCCCGGCTACGCGACCCCGGCTAGGGGACCCCGGCTACGCGACCCCGGCTACGCGACCCCGGCTACGCGACCCCGGCTACGCGACCCCGGCTACGCGACCCCGGCTACGCGACCCCGGCTACGCGACCCCGGCTACGCGACCCCGGCTACGCGACCCCGGCTACGCGACCCCGGCTACGCGACCCCGGCTACGCGACCCCGGCTACGCGACCCCGGCTACGCGACCCCGGCTACGCGACCCCGGCTACGCGACCCCGGCTACGCGACCCCGGCTACGCGACCCCGGCTACGCGACCCCGGCTACGCGACCCCGGCTACGCGACCCCGGCTACGCGACCCCGGCTACGCGACCCCGGCAGGACAGGGTGGGGAGGGTGGAGTGCACGGCTACTGCCAGTGGATGGTTGTGGTGGTGGTGGTGGTGGCGGCTTTAACCAGGAGGAGTCTTCTGTCCGTGTGAACTGTGCACCTGTATCACATCGAAGTTGTGGCCGGGCCCAAATCCACTGATGGCTGCACGCCAGTGATTATGTGAACAGCACCCCAGCAAACTACCGGCTAACACCTCTTGCCAGTGACCCGCTGGGGCTGCGGTGTGTGCACGTGTGTGTGGGCGCGTGTGTGTGCGCGTGTGTGTGGGCGCGTGTGTGTGGGCTTGTGGCCGTGTGTGTGGGCGCGTGTGTGTGGGCGTGTGTGTGTGTGGGTGCGTGTGGGTGTGCGTGTGTGTGGGCACGTGTGTGTGTGGGCGCGTGTGTGTGGGTGCGTGTGCGCGTGTGGGCGCGTGCGTGTGTGTGGGCGCGTGTGTATGCCGCACCTGCCCTGAGCGAGTCCACGCTGGCGTCAGGGTCCTGGCTCCCTCGCATGAGGTCCAGGTTCGTGTCTTCAGCTCTCCCTTCCCGCTCCTCCGGAACCACCATGCTGGCCTTCTCCCTGCAAGGACAAAGATCCCACCCCCCCCCCCCCCCCCCCGGACGGGTTAGGCCCAGCAAGGGCTCAGATGTGTCCTTGGATCGTCGGCAGCGCCCGGCGCCTGCTGTCCCTTTCAAGGGCTCCACATTTCGCGTAGCGTTATCGACAAGGGAGGGCATGACTGTGGCCGACAGCGACCCGTGTGGAGCGACGGAGCCAGGCAGCTTACACACAGCAGCGGGGTACGCAGCTGATGAAAAGCGAACGCCACTTGAATGATTCTTAACAAGGCCAAAAACCAGAGCTGGTCATAAGCTCCTCCGATTTGCCAACCGTGCTAGTGAGTATCTAATGACATACCCAGGTGGGTGATTTGTATTTGTGGGGCTGATTGTAAGGCCCCCCCCCCCGCCCCATCTCTTGGTATCACGCTCCAGGTTCAGCAATCGCATCTCCCACTCCTTCTCGGAGTGAACGGCACACTCGCACACACAAACACTCGCACACACTCGAGAAGAGCGGGAGAGAACAAATAAACTTCACTCATTCGCACACGGTCAACATTCGCACACTCGCACACACTAACTCTTACTTACAGAGACACACACATACACTCGCTAACACTCTGCAGAACAGGGGGAGATCATACAAACTCCACTCTGTAGGACGTGGGGAGATCATACAAACTCCACTCACTGTAGGACAGGGGGAGATCATACAAACTCCACTCACTGTAGGACAGGGGGAGATCATACAAACTCCACTCACTCTGCAGAACAGGGGGAGAGCATATAAACTCCACTCACTCTGTAGGACAGGGGGAGATCAAACAAACTCCACTCACTCACTCAGGAGGACAGGGGGAGATCATACAAACTCCACTCACTCTGTAGAAGAGGGGGAGATCATACAAACTCCACTCACGCTGTAGGACAGGGGGAGATCATACAAACTCCACTCACTCTGCAGAACAGGGGGAGATCATACAAACTCCACTCACTCTGTAGAACAGGGGGAGATCATACAAACTCCACTCACTATGTAGGACAGGGGGAGATCATACAAACTCCACTCACTCACTCTGCAGAACAGGGGGAGATCATACAAACCCCACTCACTCTGCAGAACAGGGGGAGATCATACAAACTCCACTCACTTTGCAGAACAGGGGGAGATCATACACACTCCACTCACTCTGTAGGACAGGGGGAGATCATACAAACTCCACGCACTCTCACTCTGCAGAACAGGGGAGATCATACACACTCCACTCACTCTGCAGAACAGGGGGAGATCAAACAAACTCCACTCACTTTGCAGAACAGGGGAAGATCATACAAACTCCACTCACTCTGCAGAACAGGGGGAGATCAAACAAACTCCACTCACTTTGCAGAACAGGGGGAGATCATACAAACTCCACTCACTCTGCAGAACAGAGGGAGATCATACAAACTCCACTCACTCTGTAGGACAGGGGGAGATCATACAAACTCCACTCACTATGTAGGACAGGGGGAGATCATACAAACTCCACTCACTCTGTAGGACAGGGGGAGATCATACAAACTCCACTCACTCACTCTGCAGAACAGGGGGAGATCATAAAAAAACTCCACTCACTCTGTAGAACAGGGGAGATCATACAAACTCCACTCACTCACTCTGCAGAACAGGGGGAGATCATACAAACTCCACTCACTCTGTAGAACAGGGGAGATCATACAAACTCCACTCACTCTGTAGGACAGGGGGAGATCATACAAACTCCACTCACTCTGTAGGACAGGGGGAGATCATACAAACTCCACTCACTCTGTAGGACAGGGGGAGATCACACAAACTCCACTCACTCGCTCTGTAGAACAGGGGGAGATCATACAAACTCCACTCACGCTGTAGGACAGGGGGAGATCATACAAACTCCACTCACTCTGCAGAACAGGGGGAGATCATACAAACTCCACTCACTCACTCTGCAGAACAGGAGGAGATCATACAAACTCCACTCACTCTGCAGAACAGGGGGAGATCAAACAAACTCCACTCACTCTGCAGAACAGGGGGAGATCACACAAACTCCACTCACTCGCTCTGCAGAACAGGGGGAGATCATACAAACTCCACTCACTTTGCAGAACAGGGGAGATCATACAAACCCCACTCACTCTGCAGAACAGGGGGAGATCACACAAACTCCACTCACTCTGCAGAACAGGGGGAGATCATACAAACTCCACTCACTCTGCAGAACAGGGGGAGATCAAACAAACTCCACTCACTCTGCAGAACAGGGGGAGATCACACAAACTCAATTCACTTTCTCTGTAGAACAGGGGGAGATCATACAAACTCCACTCACTCTGCAGAACAAGGGGAGATCATACAAACTCCACTCACTCTGTAGGACAGGGGGAGATCATACAAACCCCACTCACTCTGCAGAACAGGGGGGGATCACACAAACTCCACTCACTCTGCAGAACAGGGGGAGATCATACAAACTCCACTCACTCACTCTCACTGTAGGACAGGGGGAGATCATACAAACTCCACTCACTCACTCTCACTGTAAGACAGGGGGAGATCATACAAACTACACTCACTCTGTAGGACAGGGGGAGATCACACAAACTACACTCACTCTGAAGAACAGGGGGAGATCATACAAACTCCACTGTCACTGTAGGACAGGGGGAGATCATACAAACTACACTCACTCTGTAGGACAGGGGGAAATCATACAAACTCCACTCACTGTGTAGGACAGGGGGAGATCATACAAACTCCACTCACTCACTGCAGAACAGGGAGAATCATACAAACTCCACTCGCTGCAGAACAGGCTGAGATCACACAAATTCCACTCACTCTGTAGAACAGGGGGAGATCATACAAATCCCACTCACTCTGTAGGACAGGGGGAGATCATACAAACTCCACTCACTCACTCTGCAGAACAGGGGAGATCATACAAACTCCACTCACTCTGTAGGACAGGGGGAGATCATACAAACTCCACTCACTCTGTAGGACAGGGGGAGATCATACAAACTCCACTCACTCTGTAGGACAGGGGGAGATCATACAAACTCCACTCACTCACTCTGCAGAACAGGAGGAGATCATACAAACTCCACTCACTCTGCAGAACAGGGGGAGATCATACAAACTCCACTCACTCACTCTCACTGTAGGACAGGGGGACATCATACAAACTCCACTCACTCTGAAGAACAGGGGGAGATCATACAAACTCCACTCACTCACTCTCACTGTAGGACAGGGGGAGATCATACAAACTCCACTCACTCACTCTCACTGTAGGACAGGGGGAGATCATACAAACTCCACTCACTCACTCTCACTGTAGGACAGGGGGAGATCATACAAACTCCACTCTCACTCACTCACTCTGAAGAACAAGGGGAGATCACACAACCTCCACTCACTCTGTAGGACAGGGGGAGATCATACAAACTCCACTCACTCTCACTGTAGGACAGGGGGAGATCATACAAACTCCACTCACTCACTCTCACTGTAGGACAGGGGGAGATCATACAAACTCCACTCTCACTCACTCACTCTGAAGAACAGGGGGAGATCATACAAACTCCACTCTCACTGTAGGACAGGGGGAGATCATACAAACTCCACTCACTCACTCTCACTGTAGGACAGGGGGAGATCATACAAACTCCACTCACTCACTCTCACTGTAGGACAGGGGGAGATCATACAAACTACACTCACTCTGAAGAACAGGGGGAGATCATACAAACTCCATTCTCACTCACTCTCACTGTAGGACAGGGGGAGATCACACAAACTCCACTCTCACTCACTCTCACTGTAGGACAGGGGGAGATCACACAAACTCCACTCACAAGTGCTACCACTGCACAGCCACCACGCTGCCTACATTTCCATCTGAGTCGCAGTCCTTAATGGGCTGGCCTACCGTGCTGCAGCAACTATCGTACACATTTTAAAAGTACGGCAGATCATCGATTATCCGGTGGCTTCGGGGGGGGGGGGGGGGGGGTAAGGGGGGTGCCGGATAATCACTAATCATTATTCAAAATCGCTTATTTTTGCACATTCGCGTCGAACATGTCTTTAGGTTTTGTGCGTGCGCGTATTTCTGAGTGTTTTTTAAATGTGTTTCCCCTTTGAAATTCACACAAACATACATACAGACACAAATAAATACCGTCAAAAAGGTACCGTATTTACACTGTTACCGCGCTTACCACTCCGATGTCGAAGGCTCTGCATGGGGCGATGTACGTGGTACGACGCCGCTGTTGCTTCAGCAACCACGTGTTTGATGCTCGCCGGACTGATTCAGCCTTTGGAGCGTTGGTGCCGATTTGGCCGGATCAGCCCGGGACCGCCGGATAATTGATGATCGACTGTGTAAGGGGGAATCTTCGTGCGGCGGTACCTGATGAGAAGCTCAAACGCCTCCTTCTCCTGGCGCAGTGCCGTGAGGTAGCGCTGCTCCTCCGTGGAGCCCCCGAAGATCAGGAAGTAGACACTGCGGGGAGGAGCAAGAATAACGCACTCTCACTCACTCACTGACTCACTCAAGGTCACTCTCTCTCTCACTCACATGGTCACTCTCTCACTTACATGGTCACTCTCTCTCACTCACTCACTTACTCACATGGTCACTCACTCACTCACTCTCTCACTCACACGGTCACTCACTCACTCACTCTCTCACGCAAATGGTCACTCACTCACTCACATGGTCACTCACTCACTAACATGGTCACTCTCTCACTCACACGGTCACTCACTCACTCACACGGTCACTCACTCACTCACATGGTCACTCACTCACTGACTCACTAACATGGTCACTCTCTCTCACTTACTCACATGGTCACTCACTCACTCACATGGTCACTCTCTCTCTCTCTCACTTACTCACATGGTCACTCTTTTACTCACTCACTCACTCACACGGTCACACTCTCACTAACATGGTCACTCTCTCACTCACTCACTCACATGGTCACTCTCTCTCACTCACTCACACGGTCACTCACTCACTCACATGGTCACTCACTCACTAACATGATCACTCTCTCACTCACTCACTCACACGGTCACTCACTCACTCACATGGTCACTCACTCACTCACACGGTCACTCTCTCACTCACTCACATGGTCACTTTTCCTCTCTCTCTCACTCACTCACTTACTCACATGGTCACTCTCTCACTCACTCACATGGTCACTCTCTCACTCACTCACTCACACGGTCACTCACTCACTAACTAACATGGTCACTCTCTCTCTCACTCACTGACTTACTCACATTGTCACACTTTTACTCACTCACTCACACGGTTACTCTCGCTCACTCACTCACTCATTCACTCACTCACATGGTCACTCTCTCACTCACTCACATGGTCACTCTCTCTCTCTCACTCACTCACTTACTCACATGGTCACTCTCTCACTCACTCACATGGTCACTCTCTCACTCACTCACTCACACGGTCACTCACTCACTCACTAACATGGTCACTCTCTCTCTCACTCACTGACTTACTCACATTGTCACTCTTTTACTCACTCACTCACACGGTTACTCTCGCTCACTCACTCATTCACTCACTCACATGGTCACTCTCTCACTCACTCACACGGTTACTCTCACTCACTCACAGGGTCACGCACTCACACGGTCACTCTCTCACTCTCTCACTCACAGTGTCACTCTCTCTCTCACTCACTGACTTACTCACATTGTCACTCTCTCACTCACATGGTCACTCTCTCTCACTCACTCACACGGTCACTCTCTCTCTCTCTCACTCACTGACTTACTCACATTGTCACTCTTTTACTCACTCACTCACTCACACGGTTACTCTCACTCACTCACTCGGTCGCTTTCTCTCTCACTCACTCACACGGTCACTCTCTCAATCACCGACTCCCACACTAGCTCACTCATTCTTTTGCAAGCTTACTCGCTCACTCGTGGTTGGGTGGATGGGTGGATGGGTGGTTGGTTGGTTTGTGGGGGGCGGGCGGGCGAGTGGGTGCGGTGCGGTGCGGTGCGGGCGGTGCTGGCGTGCGCCGAGCGAGCGTGCGGCCGGATGAGGCGTCTCACCGCAGCGGGCGGCCGGGCTGCCCGGCCTTGTAGACCTCGAGCTGGCGCACGAGCGCCAGCTCCGCGTCGTAGAGCACGACGCGGCGAGGCCGTAGCTCGCGCAGCACGCGGGCCAGCCCGTACGGCTCGGCGCAGCCCTGCACGGGATGCAGCACGGTGAGCGGCCCGCGAGCCACGGCCAGCCGCCCGTCCGCCGACAGCTCGCTCAGCCACTCGGCGTCGCGCGTCTCCGCCCCGCCGCCGGCGGCGTCGCCGCCGTCGCCGTCGCCGTCGCCGGCGGCGTCGGCGTCGGCGGCTTCCGGCTCCGAGTCGGAGGAGTCGCCGGCGTCGCCGTCGGCGTGGTCCCCATCGTCTGCGCCGGGTGCCCTGCGCGTAGCGTGGCGTGCGAGCGTTAAAGCGACGCGCCGGTGCCGGCGAAGCAAACCGGGGTGCGTATCGCCGGTAAACCGCGTGGATGAAATAAGCGGAAATAATAATAATAATAAAAGGTTTTACCGCAGATATAGACGCGGCTCGAAGAGTGAACGCAACCGCATTAACCTGTTTACACACCAGCGTACACTCACGCGCGTGAGCACAACACACACAAACGACAAAGATCCCCCGTGTAGCCTTAACAGGCTGTAGGGGCAAGTGCTGTTAGCGAGCACCTATGAAGGCCGACACGGCATCACGAGGGGGTGGGTGGCCAGCACCACGCCCGACCGCCTTTGTCTCCCCAGTGGTGATGTTTACACACAGCTCCAGGGTACTCATTTCAGGCCGTGTCGACCTAGGGGAGGCCCAGGACCGGTTTGAATAATCATCGCTGGTGTTAACCGAGCGGGAATTGAACCCAGATCATCGGGTTCGTAGCGTGGCACATTGACCGTTGCACTACCGCTCCCCACACACACACACAGCAACACGCAGCAACATACACACACAGCAATACACACACACAGCAATACACACACACACATAGCAACACACTCACACACACACAGCAACATACACACACACACAGCAACAGACTCACACACACACAGCAACATACACACACACAGCAACACACTCGCACACTTACAGACACACACACACACATCAACATACACAAACACAGCAACACACTCACACACACACAGCAACATACACACACAGTAACACACACACACAGTAACACACTCGCACACTTACTGACACACACACAGCAACACACACACGGCAACACACTCAGCAACACACACACACACTGACAGACACACACACAGCAACACACTCGCACACTTACAGACACACACACACAGCAACACACTCGCACACTTACAGACACACACACAGCAACACACTCGCACACTTACAGACACACACACAGCAACACACACAACAACAACAACCGCCATTCGCCACTAAGTGGCGGTGACGTTGTTCTGAGCGTCGCTCCTCCGCCCTCCGTTGTTGTTGGAGGGCGACTACCTCCAACTGCCCAGTAACGTCCTTCACGAGCCTCCTCCACAGAGGCCGATCTTGACACCGCTGGTACCAGTCATCGGCAAGTCCACTCAACTCCACGTCCTCATGTACCACATCACTCCATCTCTTCTCTAGCCCGTGCCGCGCCTGCTTAACCCCCTCGATCCGGCCGAACAAAAGCTGTTTCGGCATGCGGTGGCTGGGCATGCGGGCTACATGACCCAGCCATCGCAGCCTTCCCCGCCGGAGGAGCTCACCGATGGGACCTTGCCGAGATCTTTCAAGGATTTGTGAGCTCCTCACACAATCCAGTCTGGTTAAACCCAGGATGGATCGTAGGCAGGCCAGCCTAAATGTTTCTAACCGGCGAAGATGTTCCATTAGGGGGGTCCACGTTTCGCAAGCGTAGAGAAGGGAGGGAATGACCGTGGCCGAGAAGACCTGAAGCTTAGTGCGGAGCGACAGACCAGGTAGCTTCCACACAGCGTTACGCAACCGATGAAAAGATATTGCCGCTCGACTGATTCGGAGTGAGACCTCTGCTGTTAAACTGGAGCCAGTCATAAGCACACTGCCCAGGTATGGGAAACTCTCCACTCTCTCCACAACTGCCCCATCACCGATTGGGAGTTGTGGGGGTGGAGTGTCCGATGGAACAAAATACCTAGGCAGGTGCTTAGTTTTGGTGGGGCTGATGGTAAGGCCCCACACCTCTTAGTGGCACGCTCCAGTCTCAGCAGCAGCGTCTCCAACTCCTCCTCTGAATGAGCAGCTATTACCAAATCATCAGCATACATAACGTGGTTGAGCAATAGGGAGCCATCCCTTGACCGCACCCAGGCGTCGATCAGCCTCCCATTATATCTGTACTATATGGAGATTCCTCCGGTACAGCTATTGAAGGCTTCACGAACTACGTGGTCAAAATAGATGTTAAATAATGTGGGAGCCAGAGGACATCCCTGTCGCACCCCAAGGTTAACAGGGAATGGCTCTGATTCCCGGCCACGTAGTTTTACCCGGGCCCGCTCACCATCATGAAGGTCCTTAATGATTGTGAGCAGAGGGTCAGGTACTCCAAAAGCACGAAGAACAACCCAGAGCCCAGGCCTACTGATGGTATCATAGGCCTTGATCAGGTCAATAAAGCAGAGATGTAGGTCTTGTTGGAATTCCCTACACCTCTGCTGTAGCAGACGGACAGAAAATATGGCATCTGTGCAGGACCGCCCTTTCCTGAAACCGCATTGGGGCTCCTCAGCGTGCCTGGCAAGGCGATGTTGAATAATCATTGCCAGGACCTTTCCCGGCACACTGAGGAGTGAGATGCCCCTGCAACACACACACACTTACAGACACACACACACACTTACAGACACACACACACTTACAGACACACACACACTTACAGACACACACACACACTTACAGACACACACACAGCAACACACTCGCACACTTACAGACACACACACACACAGCAACACACTCGCGCACTTACAGACACACACACAGCAACACTCGCATACTTACAGACACACACACAGCAACACACACACTTACAGACACACACAACACAGCAACACACAACACACTTACAGACACAACAAAGATCCCCCATATAGCCTTAACAGACTGTAGGGGCAAGTGCTGTTAGCGAGCACCTATGAAGGCCGGTAACGGTACACGAGGGGGTGGGTGGCCAGCACCACGCCCGACCGCCTTTGTCTCCCTAGTGGCAATGTTTACACACTGCACCAGGTACTCATTTGAGGCTGAGTCGACCTAGGGGAGGCCCGGGACCGGTTCAGAAAATCGTCACTGGTGTTGGCCGTGAGCGGGAATCGAACCCGTGTCACCGGGTTCATAGCGCAGCGCGCTAACCGCTACACTATCGCTCCCCGCCTTACAGACACACACACTTACAGACACACACACAGCAACACACACACACTTACACACACACACACTTACAGACACACACAGCAACACACACACACTTACAGACACACACACAGCAACACACACACACTTACAGACACACACACACTTACAGACACACACACTTACAGACACACACACTTACAGACACACACACTTACAGACACACACACAGCAACACACACACACTTACAAACACACACACAGCAACACACACACTTACAGACACACACACAGCAACACACTTACAGACACACACACAGCTACACACTCGCACACTTACAGACACACACAGCAACACACACATACTTACAGACACACACACACAGCAACACACACACACACACTTACACACACACACACACGCAGCAACACACACACAGCAACACACACTTACAGACACACACACACTTACAGACACACACACACTTACAGACACACACACACTTACAGACACACACACACACTTACAGACACACACACACTTACACACACACACACTTACAGACACACACACAGCAACACACTTACAGACACACACACAGCAACACACACACACTTACACACACACACTTACAGACACACACACACACTTACAGACACACACACAAACTTACAGACACACACACACTTACAGACACACACACTTACAGACACACACACTTACAGACACACACACTTACAGACACACACACAGCAACACACACACACTTACAAACACACACACAGCAACACACACACTTACAGACACACACACAGCAACACACTTACAGACACACACACAGCTACACACTCGCACACTTACAGACACACACAGCAACACACACATACTTACAGACACACACACACAGCAACACACACACACACACTTACACACACACACACACGCAGCAACACACACACAGCAACACACACTTACAGACACACACACACTTACAGACACACACACACTTACAGACACACACACACTTACAGACACACACACACACTTACAGACACACACACACTTACACACACACACACACTTACAGACACACACACAGCAACACACTTACAGACACACACACAGCAACACACACACACTTACACACACACACTTACAGACACACACACACACTTACAGACACACACACAAACTTACAGACACACACACTTACACACACACACTTACAGACACACACACACATGCAGCAGCAGCAGCCCAGCGTGCCCCCTCACCTCCCCCCGTGCCGCGCCTCCTCCCCGCCCAGCATCTGCGTGAGCGTCAGGGCCCCCCGCGCGGCCTCCCGCGCGGCCCCCCGGCCCTTCTTGCGCGCGGGCGCCCCCTCCGGGGCCCCGTCCGCGGCCGCCCCGGCCCCCCGCGACCGCTTCCCTGCGGCCGCGCCGGCTCCGCCTCGTCTCCCCGCGGCCCTCCAGCCGCGGCCTTCACCGCCGGCGTGCCGTCGGAAGGGCGGCGGCGAGGGAGGAGGAGGAGGAGGAGCGGTGGCGGCCGCGGCGGCCGAGGGCTCGCCGCGGCCCGGCGCCCGCGACAGCAGGCGCCGCAGCAGCGCGTCGGCTCCCACGCGCAGCAGCTCCTGCAGCTGCGCGCAGGTGCGGTGGTCGCTGGCGCAGATCAGCACCGGCCCTGGGGGGTAGGAACACGGGCGGGGAGGAGGGGCGGGGCGGGGGGGGGCGGGGGGGGGGCGGGGCCCGCGACGAACCGACGGGTGAGTACGCACAGCACGGACGCACGATTACGAGAGCGAGGGGAGCCGCGCTCGCTCACCCACACACACCACTCGCTCACCCACGCACCACACTCGCTCGCCCACACTCGCTCACCCACACACACCACACTCGCTCACCCACACACACCACTCGCTCGCCCACGCACCACACTCGCTCGCCCACACTCGCTCACCCACACACACCACACTCGCTCACCCACACACACCACTCGCTCGCCCACGCACCACACTCGCTCGCCCACACTCGCTCACCCACACACACCACACTCGCTCGCCCACACTCGCTCGCCCACACTCGCTCGCCCACACTCGCTCGCCCACACTCGCTCGCCCACACACCACACTCGCTCGCCCACACTCGCTCGCCCACACACCACACTCGCTCGCCCACACTCGCTCGCCCACACACCACACTCGCTCGCCCACACTCGCTCGCCCACACTCGCTCGACAACACTCGCTCACCCACACTCGCTCGACAACACTCGCTCACCCACACACCGCACTCACTCGCCCACACTCGCCCACACACACCACACTCGCTCGCCCACGCTCGCTCACCGGGCGGACCGAGCTCGGTGCAGGAGTCGGCGTCCCTCTCGATCTCCTCCAGCACCTCCATGAGTGCGTCCCACTTGGGGTTCCTCTCCACCGTCGGCGCCTTGCGCTCTCCTACAAAGACAAAGGTCCCCCGCGTAGCCTTTAAAGCAGCGGTCCGCAACCATTTCTGGCACCAGGGACCGGTTTCGTGGAAGACAATTATTTTTTCACGGACCGGGGGTGGTTGGGGGGGTTCATCATTGGGTCTTTCCCCCTTTTCAATGAAGCTCTCCAGCTACGTTTGTGTTTGTTACTCATTGTGGCTACTAGGGGTTAGAGCTTGTGGGCTTACTCATTGTGGCTACTAGGGGTTAGAGCTTGTGGGCTTACTCACTGTGGCTACTAGGGGTTAGAGCTTGTGGGCTTACTCACTGTGGCTACTAGGGGTTAGAGCTTGTGGGCTTACTCATTGTGGCTACTAGGGGTTAGAGCTTGTGGGCTTACTCATTGTGGCTACTAGGGGTTAGAGCTTGTGGGCTAACTCATTGTGGCTACTAGGGGTTAGAGCTTGTGGGCTTACTCACTGTGGCTACTAGGGGTTAGAGCTTGTGGGCTTACTCATTGTGGCTACTAGGGGTTAGAGCTTGTGGGCTTACTCATTGTGGCTACTAGGGGTTAGAGCTTGTGGGCTTACTCATTGTGGCTACTAGGGGTTAGAGCTTGTGGGCTTACTCACTGTGGCTACTAGGGGTTAGAGCTTGTGGGCTTACTCATTGTGGCTATTAGGGGTTAGAGCTTGTGGGCTTACTCATTGTGGCTACTAGGGGTTAGAGCTTGTGGGCTTACTCATTGTGGCTACTAGGGGTTAGAGCTTGTGGGCTTACTCATTGTGGCTACTAGGGGTTAGAGCTTGTGGGCTTACTCCTTGTGGCTACTAGGGGTTAGAGCATGTGGGCTTACTCCTTGTGGCTACTAGGGGTTAGAGCTTGTGGGCTTACTCTTTGTGGCTATTAGGGGTTAGAGCTTGTGGGCTTACTCATTGTGGCTACTAGGGGTTAGAGCTTGTGGGCTTACTCATTGTGGCTACTAGGGGTTAGAGCTTGTGGGCTTACTCATTGTGGCTACTAGGGGTTAGAGCTTGTGGGCTTACTCATTGTGGCTACTAGGGGTTAGAGCTTGTGGGCTTACTCACTGTGGCTACTGGGGGTTAGAGCTTGTGGGCTTACTCACTGTGGCTACTAGGGGTTAGAACTTGTGGGGCTTACTCTTTGTGGCTATTAGGGATTAGAGCTTGTGGGCTTACTCATTGTGGCTACTAGGGGTTAGAGCTTGTGGGCTTTATACCAACACCACGTGACTGAGACAAGTGCACAGTGCGGGAAAGAGGCGCGGGCGGGAGTGGTGAATAATAAAACAATGGGGGGCGGGCCACGTGATCGGACTCACCGCCCTCACCTCCTGCTGCTGTGCGGCCCTGGTTCCTAACAGGCCACGGACCGGCAGCGGTCCGCGGCCCTGGGGTTTGGGGACCCCCCTGCGTTAAAGCACCGCTTGGGACAAGTGCTCGTAGCGAGCCGGCACGGTGCACGAGGGCCGCGGCCAACACAACTAACGGCCGGCCCCTGCTTTTCCCCGGTGCTTATCTTTCGTGCACCGGCTCCTCACTTGAGGCCGAGCCGACCCAGGGGGGGAGAGGCCCGGGAGACCGGTTCAGGTAATCGCCACTGGCTGCTGGCCCGCGAGCGCGAAGCGAACCCGGGCCGCCAACCGCTACGCCCTGCCGCAAGCGACCGCAAATCGCAAGACGCCGCGGATTTTGCCCTCGGTCCGGGGAGGAAGCCGCGCCTCTCAAGGCGCCGCGGACGGCCGCGGCGGCGACCCGCGACGGCGACGGTCGCCGGCGTCGGCCGCGACCCCGGGCGCGCCGCGCGTCACCCCCGGGCAGGGCCCGTACCCTTACGCTTCCCCGCGGCCGGGGCCTCCTCTTTGCCGGCGGCTTTGCCGTCGCCGTAGCCGTAGACGCGCGCCCTGGCGTGGACGAACATTGAGTTGGCCGCGTCGAGGAAAAGCCAGCCTGGGGGTTACGGGGTGGTGGTGGGGGTAGTAAGGGGTGGTGGGGGGGGGGGGGGCAGGGGTGGTTGGGGGGGGGGGCGATTACGATGAAGAAGATATTTGGTGGGCCGGGGCAAACTTTTTTTCAAAATTCATTTTTCTTATAAAATCACAGCTGGCGAGTCGCGCGACGAAAGCCCTGCTGCAATGCAAAGCGGACAGCGGCAAGGACAAACGGCGCTCACTCACAGTGCTGAACCGGGCAAGGTTATAGGGGCAAACTGACGCGTGGCAATGGCGTTACCGTGGGGAAGTTCGAGATTCATCTCAAAAATAAATTTGGCGGCGGCGGCGGCGGCAGCGAGATGTTAACTACCTCGCCTGGTGCACAGGAGGTCGTGGGTACGAGCCCGACTCTGACGCCTGCTGCTGTATATTTGGAGTTTGCGTGTCTCTCTCTCTCTCATCATCATCACGGTGGCTAGGAGATGTTAACTACCTCGCCTGGTGTACAGGAGATCGTGGGTTTGATCCCGACCCTGACGCCTGCTGCTGCTGTATATTTGGAGTTTGCGAGTCTCTCTCTCTCTCTCATCATCATCACGGTGGCTAGGAGATGTTAACTACCTCGCCTGGTGTACAGGAGATCGTGGGTTTGATCCCGACCTTGTCGCCTGCTGCTGCTGCTGTATATTTAGAATTTTCGAGTCTCTCTCTCTCTCTCTCTCTCCCCGCCGTGGTCGCGATGGATTTTTCTCCGGGTCCTCCGGTTTTCCCCCTCCACGTTTAGTAACGACGTCGCGCGTTTCAGAGTCATTTCCCCGCTGCTGCGAATTTCCACGCCGCCGGCCACCGCGCCGAGCTACCGCATCTGCGGTGGCCAGGTCGCTCCTTAAAAAAAAAAAAAAAATGCACAGGGCCCTTTTTTACCGGGCGCGTCAAAAAAAAACAACAAAAACCCCCACGACCGACTAAGCGACCCTCGCCGCCGCCTTAGGCAACGGATAAATTACCGGAGTTTTGTCCGAACGCCTTCTGGCTGGAGCGCAGCGACTCGAGGAGTCCCAGGAAGGTGACGGCGTCGTACTGCGTCAGGTAGAGGAGCAGCAAGCGCAGCAGCTTCAGGTCCTGCACCAGCGCTCGCGTGCGCCAGCTCAGCGTGTGCCACACGGGGTCGAGCTGCAGGCGCACCGTCTGCGGCGGGGAGAGGAGGAAATAAAATTAAAAATAAATAAAAGAGAAGCGTCACGTTGACGAAAGACAAGATAATTCACTACTTCAGCCCACCGGTGTGTTGAAGAGTTAATCCACAACATTTACAGTTTGAGTAGTACTGTGACGTTTCGCTGGTCAATACATCCAGCACACACCTGATGATGACCGTTTGAGTTATGGTCGAAACGTCGTGAGAATTTTTTTATTGTTTTATATATATTTTGTTATTTTGTTGTTTCTCTTCAACGTGACTTTACCGAAAAAACTAAGAATATACATCCAGCATCATCGGGCAATTCGCCATTCTGGCGAATTGCTTGATGATGCTGGATGTATTTACCAGCGAAACGTCACAGTACTACTCAAACTGTAAATGTTGTGGATTCACTCTTCAACACACCGGTGGGCTAAAGTAGTGAACTATTTCGTCTTTTTGTCAACGTGACACTTTTTTTTGCTCATTGGCCGTGTCGGGTGGTGGAGGGTTACGACACATTTATAAATAAACGCGATCTAACCCAAAAAAACCTTTATTATGAATAATATTGGTCGCGAAAGCCTACGTGTTAAACTAAATAAAAGAGAATCGGAGAATTGTAGTCGCGCCGGGGCAATCCGATGGGGCCGCACGGAGCTCGTTCAACGCGGACGCCCGGTAGGTTGACCGGCGCGCGCAGGGGCCTTGCAGCACGACGTCGGGGCAGGCGCTGCCTGGGGCGAGCCGCGGGGCCTTTTGAAGGCCGGCGAGGCGCACGAAGGGGGTGGCCACGCTGAGCCGCGCGTGGCGCTTTTTCAGAAGGTGACCTGGCCACACACGAAGCGGCGGCTCGTCGCCGCTTCGTGTGGAAATGCCGAGCAGCTAAATGCTCTGAAGCGCGTGACGTTGGTTCTAAATGTGGAGGGAAAACCCGGAGGGCAACGGAGAGAGATCCACGCGGCCACGGCGGGGGAGAGAGTGGGGGGGGAACAGAGGACACGCAAACTCCAAATATACAGCAGCAGCAGTCGTCAGGGTTGGGATCGAACCCACGACCTCCTGCATACCGGGCGAGGTAGTTAACATCTCCTAGCCACCGTGATGATGATGATGATGAGAGAGAGAGAGTGGGACACACAAACTCCAAATATATAGCAGCAGGCGTCAGGGTCGGGATCGAACCCACGACCTCCTACATACCGGGCGAGGTAGTTAACATCTAGCCACCGCGATGATGATGATGATGATAGAGAGGGACACACAAACTCCAAATATATAGCAGCAGGCGTCAGGGTCGGGATCGAACCCACGACCTCCTGCATACCAGGCGAGGTAGTTAACATCTCCTAGCCACCGTGGTGATGATGATGAGAGACACGCAAACTCCAAATATACAGCAGCAGGCGTCAGGGTCGGGGTCAAACCCACGACCTCCTGAATACCGGGCGAGGGAGTTAACATCTCCTGGCCACCGCGGCGCCCCTCTGCGCCGAAGTGAACAGGGACGTGACTCCGGCACACGCACGGCTGGCCAGGCTCGGGAGAGCGGAGTAACCCTTTGCTGGAAACCTCCGGGCGAAGGAGGAGGGAGGGAGGGAGGGAGGGAGGTCGGTCCTGCATGGCCCAACAGAACGTTGGCTTTCGGCGGCGGCGGTCACCTTGTCGAACGCGCCGGAGACGGCGTTCTCCAGCGTGAGCTCCGCCGACTCCAGCGCCGGGTTGCTGCGCCGCAGCTCCCTGAGGCAGGCGTCAAGCAGCTCCAGAGCGGCGGCCTGCACGGCGCGCATCGGCGCCGTGCAGGCCACGTGCAGCTCCACCACGTCGGCGCGGTGACGCTCCAGGCTGGCCTGCACCACCGCGTGGAACCTACGGGACACGTCGGGGGTCACGCGTCGGGGGGACTAAGCCGGGGATCTCCGTCGGGACACACGCCGGGGACACGCGGGGGGGCACGCCGAGACGCGCGCCGGGGACAGGCCAGGACAGGCCGGGGACACACGCCGGGACACGCCAAGACACACGCCGGGGACACATGGAGGCACGCCGAGACACACGCCGGGACACGCCGGGAAACGCCGGGACACATGCCAAGACACACACGCCGAGGACACGCCGGGAGACACCGGGACACACGCCAAGACACACACGCCGGGACACGTCGGGAGACACCGGGACACGCCGAGACACGCCGGGACACACGCCGGGACACACGCCGAGACACACACCGAGACACGCCAAGACACACGCCGAGACACACGCCGGGACACACGCCGGGACACACGCCGGGACACGCGCCGGGACAGCGTGACGGTAGCAGCGACGGCTGGGCTACCTGGGCCAGAGGTAGAGCTTCCGCACGAAGAGCGAGCGCATGACGCGCTCCACGCGGCAGAAGCCGGTACTGAAGGCGACGGGCTGGTCGGAGAAGGCCTTGATGAAGCCCGTCTTGTTCTTCTGGCGGAAGAGACGGAGCACGAAGGCCTCCTGGCACGACTCGATCAGGCGGTGCGCCTTGTACACCAGGATTCCTGCGCCGGGAAACAAATGCACCGACCGGCAACGCCGCGCGGCTTTTAACTGGCTGCCGGGGGCAAGCGCCGTTCGCGAGCCCCGGTCGAAGGTAGCGGAGCGGCGCACGAGCTGGGTGGGTGGCCAGGGAACGATAGCAACGACGACAACAGCAGCAGCAGCAGCAGGCGCCGTTCGCCGCGTTGAGGCGGCCACGTTAAAAGTTGCCGAAGGCTCGCTCGCCGGCAGGTGCCATGCGTCGACCGACCGCGACGGCCTCCTGTCCGATGCTACCAGCTGCGCAACCAACCCCCCCTCCCGCCGGAGGCCGGGTAAACCGGCACACGCACACGAGGAGGAGCGTAGCAACAAGCGTCGCCGGAAGCACGGCCCGTGGACCCGGCGCCGTTATCTCTCGAAGCCTCGCCTGTGATGAGGCGAGCGGGGATGCGGTCCGTGAGGAAGTCCACGACGAGGATGCGGCTGGTGATGAAGAAAGCGCCACCCTCGAGGTACACGTCCTGGCGCTCCGGGCCGCTCACCTCGTTAGTGATGACGCGGGGCAGCTGCGTCACGCCCGCCCTACGCAACTCCTCGATGAAGTGCTCCTGTGGTGGACACATCGTCAACGCCGCCCACCATCGTCACCATCGGCAGCCGCAGCGTTAGCATCATCATCCGCAAGTGTTGTTGTTATTATTATTATTATTGCCGTTCACATCGTTGCCAATGGCGTCATTATCGACACCGCCACCGGCAGGCGGGAACAGCAACAGCGCCGCTGTCAACCACCGCCGTCGGCATTATCGGCGTCAAGAGGACTGTCACAATCAGAAGTGTGATCATTATCAGCACTAGCAGCAGCTTCAATCATCAGCACTCATAATCAGCATCATTTTTTCACACCCGTACGCGTTATCATCATCATCATCATCAAAAATTACCATCAGCGTTGTGATGTTCCTACTGGGCTAACATCTTTCACCACGATCATGAGCATTTCCACCCTCATCAGCAGCACCATCATCACCGCCACCAGCACCACGAACAGCAAGCACACCCACCGTCACCAACAACAGCAGCATCAGTGCAAAATAATAATAATAATCATCATCATCATCATCGTCATCATCTTCCCCTCTTACTCCCCGCCACTGCTCTTCCTGCCGAAGCAGGAGGCCCCGGCCGCACACCACACCTCCTCGGCGGGCGAGGTGTTGATGACGACGAGGAGGGCGCCGGGCTCGCAGTGCAGAGCGATGAGGTGCAGCAGCAGGCGGTCAGCGCCCATCCCGCGCGCCGTCACCACCAGCCCGTCCTCCGCCATCAACTCCTGCGCCATCTGCCGCTCGTGCTCCAGCAGAGATCCCATCTCCATGCCCGCAGCGGGGTGCGGGGGCTGGGGCGGGGAGGCGTGCCCGCCTGCGAAGGACGTTCGTCGGTTGTGCCGCTTAACGGAACGGGAGTACTGCACAGGTATTGCGTGGGTCAGCGTCAAACACATGAACGCGTGCTGCGGGAGGAATCTGGTGAGCCGTGAAGCTCTTTTCTCACAGGTTGGCTCGTCGGGGCAGGTAAGAACGTAACAACGACAAACACAGCAACAAAACGACGGTGGTAGTGCAAAGTACAAGAGAGGTAAATAAATCACCGCAACAAACACACAAATACAGCTAATGTAAGAATATGTTTCACCCTTTCTGGCAATAAAACAGGTTTCTGCTGCGACTTCTTCGAATGCGAAACGAATCCTATCTAGAACTAGCACCGAACTAGATCAGTTAGACAAGACACTCTACAAATCTGACTTTAACATAGCCACTTCCGTGACCAGTTACATGCTAATTTCTGAGCTTAACATCCTGCTAATCTCTCGCATTAACATAGCTACTTCAATGCTAACTTCCTCTGTTGATATGTAAACTCCCTTGTCAAGGCACTCTGCTCCTCCCACCCAGCTTTAAAATACGCTGCCAAGCTTAGCAGTATATTCCTGGTTCTTTCGGTAAAGTCATAATAATAAAAATGTAAAACAATAAAATTCTCACGACGTTTCGACTGCAACACAAGCAATCATCATCAGGTGCGAAAACCACAGCAAGGGACATTTGTAAAAAGTGACGTTTTTTTAAAAATTAACGTTAGCACCACGGACAGCAATTTTACCAGTTGTTCAGATGGACGAGTCCATCTATTTTGATTTAAAGCTTTCGTGACTGCAGGGATTCATATTCCTGGTTCTTTCGGTAAAGTCACGTAGAAGGGAAACAATAAAATAACAATAAAATATAAAACAATACAATTCTCACGACGTTTCGACTGCAACACAAGCAATCATCATCAGGTGTGAAAACCACAGCAAGAATTTTATTATTATTTTATTGTTTCCCTTCTACGTGGTGACTTTACCGAAAGAACCAAGAATATGAGAATTGTATTGTTTTATACTTTTATTATTTTATTGTTTCCCTTCTACGTGGTGACTTTACCCAAAGAACCAAGAATATGTATCCCTGCGGTCACGAGAAAGCATTAAATCAAAAGCTTGGCAGTGTTCATTGGGAGCGCCGTCTTTCCGACAGCCTCCGTTTCTTCACCTGAGGATGGCTGCTTGCGTTGTGGCCCGAAACGTCGTTGAGAATTGTATTTTATTACGTAGTATTTTTATTATTATTTTATTATTTCCCTTCTACGTGACTTTACCGAAAGAACCAAGAAGAAAAAAAGAGGAGGCGTTAAGAAGTTAAAACACCAAACTGAAACCTTTTGCAAGGTTTCAGTTTGTCCTGCATGAACCACACGTGTACTTGTGGTGAGCGTGCAAACAAACAAAAAAAAACCTGCTCTGACAGTAGATGATGCATTGTCTTTGAAACTAAATTGGTCCACACCAGAAGACAGCTTTCTTTAGAGCCGAGCCTCAAACAGTGTTAGACCAGAAAACCCATAGACTCGCACAGAGTCTCTGTGCTAGTCTGTGGGTCTCTGTGCGAGTCTGTGGGTCTCTGTGCGAGTCTGTGGGTCTCTGTGTGAGTCTGTGGGTCTCTGTGTGAGTCTGTGGGTCTCTGTGTGAGTCTATGGGTCTCTGTGAAGAGTCGATGGGTCTCTGTGTGAGTCTATGGGTCTATGTACGAGTCTGTGGGTCTCTGTGAGGAGTCTATGGGTCTCTGTGTGCGAGTCTATGGGTCTCTGTGTGAGTCTATGGGTCTCTGTGTGAGTCTATGGGTCTCTGTGTGAGTCTATGGGTCTCTGTGTGAGTCTATGGGTCTCTGTGTGAGTCTGTGGGTCTCTGTGTGAGTCTGTGGGTCTCTGTGTGAGTCTATGGGTCTCTGTGAAGAGTCGATGGGTCTCTGTGTGAGTCTATGGGTCTATGTACGAGTCTGTGGGTCTCTGTGAGGAGTCTATGGGTCTCTGTGTGCGAGTCTATGGGTCTCTGTGTGAGTCTATGGGTCTCTGTGTGAGTCTATGGGTCTCTGTGTGAGTCTATGGGTCTCTGTGTGAGTCTATGGGTCTCTGTGTGAGCCTATGGGTCTCTGTGTGAGTCTATGGGTCTCTGTGTGTGAGTCTATGGGTCTCTCTGTGAGTCTATGGGTCTCTGTGTGAGTCTATGGGTTTCTGTGTGAGTCTATGAGTCTCTGTGTGAGTCTATGGGTCTCTGTGAGCCTATGGGTCTCTGTGTGAGTCTATGGGTCTTTGTGTGAGTCTATGGGTATCTGTGTGAGTCTATGGGTCTCTGTGTAAGTCTATGGGTCTCTGTGTGAGTCTATGGGTCTCTGTGTGAGTCTATGGGTCTCTGTGTGAGTCTATCGGTCTCTGTGTGAGTCTATCGGTCTCTGTGTGAGTCTATGGGTCTCTGTGTAAGTCTATTTGTCTCTGTGTAAGTCTATGGGTCTCTGTGTGAGTCTATGGGTCTCTGTGTGAGTCTATGGGTCTCTGTGTGAGTCTATGGGTCTCTGTGTGAGTCTATGGGTCTCTGTGTGAGTCTATGGGTCTCTGTGTGAGTCTATTGGTATCTGTGTGAGTCTGGGGGTCTCTGTGTGAGTCTATGGGTCTCTGTGTGAGTCTATGGGTCTGTGTGTGAGTCTATGGGTCTCTGTGTGTCTGTGTCTCTGTGTGAGTCTATGCGTCTCTGTGTGAGTCTATGGGTCTCTGTGTGAGTGTATGGGTCTTTGTGTGAGTCTATGGGTCTTTGTGTGAGTCTATGGGTCTCTGTGTGAGTCTATGTGTCTCTGTGTGAGTCTGTGGGTCTCTGTGCAAGTCTATGGGTCTCTGTGTGAGTCTATGGGTCTCTGTGTGAGTCTATGGGTCTCTGTGTGAGTCTATGGGTCTCTGTGTGTGTCTATGGGTCTCTGTGTGAGTCTATGGGTCTCTGTGTGCGTCTATGGGTTTCTGTGTGAGTCTATGGGTCTCTGTGTGAGTGTATGGGTCTTTGTGTGAGTCTATGGGTCTTTGTGTGAGTCTATGGGTCTCTGTGTGAGTCTGTTTCTCTGTGTGAGTCTATGGGTCTCTGTATGAGTCTATGGGTCTCTTTGTGAGTCTGTCTCTGTGTGAGTCTATGGGTCTCTGTGTGAGTCTATCGGTCTCTGTGTGAGTCTATCGGTCTCTGTGTGAGTCTATGGGTCTCTGTGTAAGTCTATTTGTCTCTGTGTAAGTCAATGGGTCTCTGTGTGAGTCTATGGGTCTCTGTGTGAGTCTATGGGTCTCTGTGTGAGTCTATGGGTCTCTGTGTGAGTCTATGGGTCTCTGTGTGAGTCTATGGGTATCTGTGTGAGTCTGGGGGTCTCTGTGTGAGTCTATGGGTCTCTGTGTGAGTCTATGGGTCTCTGTGTGTCTGTGTCTCTGTGTGAGTCTATGCGTCTCTGTGTGAGTCTATGGGTCTCTGTGTGAGTGTATGGGTCTCTGTGTGAGTCTATGGGTCTTTGTGTGAGTTTATGGGTCTCTGTGTGAGTCTATGTGTCTCTGTGTGAGTCTGTGGGTCTCTGTGCGAGTCTATGGGTCTCTGTGTGTGTCTATGGGTCTCTGTGTGAGTCTATGGGTCTCTGTGTGAGTCTATGGGTTTCTGTGTAAGTCTATGGGTCTCTGTGTGAGTGTATGGGTCTTTGTGTGAGTCTATGGGTCTTTGTGTGAGTCTATGGGTCTCTGTGTGAGTCTGTGTCTCTGCGTGAGTCCATGGGTCTCTGCATGAGTCTATGGGTCTTTGTGCGAGTCTATGGGTCTCTGTGTGAGTCTATGGGTCTCTATGTGAGTCGGTCTCTGTGTGAGTCTGTGTCTCTGTGTTAGTCTATGGGTCTCTGTATGAGTCTGTCTCTGTGTGAGTCTATGGGTCTCTGTGTGAGTCTGTCTCTGTGTGAGTCTATGGGTATCTGTGTGAGTCTATGGGTCTCTGTGTAAGTCTATGGGTCTCTGTGTGAGTCTATGGGTCTCTGTGTGAGTCTATGGGTCTCTGTGTTAGTCTATCGGTCTCTGTGTGAGTCTATCGGTCTCTGTGTGAGTCTATGGGTCTCTGTGTGAGTCTATGAGTCTCTGCGTGAGTCTATGGGTCTCTGTAAGTCTATTTGTCTCTGTGTAAGTCTATGGGTCTCTGTGTGAGTCTATGGGTCTCTGTGTGAGTCTATGGGTCTCTGTGTGAGTCTATGGGTCTCTGTGTGAGTTTATGGGTCTCTGTGTGAGTCTATGGGTATCTGTGTGAGTCTGGGGGTCTCTGTGTTAGTCTATGGGTCTCTGTGTGAGTCTATGGGTCTCTGTGTGAGTCTATGGGTCTCTGTATGTCTGTGTCTCTGTGTGAGTCTATGGGTCTCTGTGTGAGTCTATGGGTCTCTGTGTGAGTTTATGGGTCTCTGTGTGAGTCTATGGGTATCTGTGTGAGTCTGGGGGTCTCTGTGTTAGTCTATGGGTCTCTGTGTGAGTCTATGGGTCTCTGTGTGAGTCTATGGGTCTCTGTGTGTCTGTGTCTCTGTGTGAGTCTATGGGTCTCTGTGTGAGTCTATGGGTCTCTGTGTGAGTTTATAGGTCTCTGTGTGAGTCTATGGGTATCTGTGTGAGTCTGGGGGTCTCTGTGTTAGTCTATGGGTCTCTGTGTGAGTCTATGGGTCTCTGTGTGAGTCTATGGGTCTCTGTGTGTCTGTGTCTCTGTGTGAGTCTATGGGTCTCTGTGTGAGTCTATGGGTCTCTGTGTGAGTGTATGGGTCTCTGTGTGAGTCTATGGGTCTTTGTGTGAGTCTATGGGTCTCTGTGTGAGTATATGTGTCTCTGTGTGAGTCTGTGGGTCTCTGTGTGAGTGTATGGGTCTTTGTGTGAGTCTATGGGTCTTTGTGTGAGTCTATGGGTCTTTGTGTGAGTCTATGGGTCTCTGTGTGAGTCTGTGTCTCTGTGTGAGTCTGTGGGTCTCTGTGCGAGTCTATGGGTCTCTCTGTGAGTCTATG